CCACGCCAAAAAATTTTTTAAACGGCATTTAATGGGTCCTTTTTTTTTTTTTTTTTTTTTCTTTTTCTTTTTTCTTTTTTTTTTTTTTTTTTTTTTTTTTTTTTTTTCTTCTCGTCTATCGAGGAAAGATAAGATACGTGCAGGGGAAGGGAAAAAAAAAATTGTAAAACTGGCCAGCATCATGAACAAGGTGAGGTCTGTTCGCAACATCAGACCGTAAGATACTCACGTGTTCTTACGATTCGTCTGAGACCGAGCTCAGCTCAGCTCATCTCAGAAGCTCCTTTTCGTGTAATGCAAATTTCCTTTCTTGTGCCTGGTCCATTTACAGATACATCGTCCTACCTGATTACGCTGCCTCAATTAGCAAGATAAAAAAAAAAAAAAAAAAAAGGGTTCACGATAAAGAACACTGTACTACGTAACTTTCGTTGGGGGTGGCTCTCAACCAAGGATGATGATGGCCTTAGCTACCTATACGAGGTTTAGCGTAGGCTATTTGGTACACTGTGGCTTTCAACTCGTCACCGTGCCTGAATCCCAAATCTCACTTTGGTGTTTTATTTTATCTTGTCTCTGTCGAGTGACTCTTGTCTTGTCTTGTCTAGCTCTCGTCCTGGCGAATCGCATCAAGGGTTAGCGTCACACTAGGCCTCCAGCGTTGCGCTTTCGGCTAAATTGGGTTCGCAGTCAGCCAGGCAAGCCCAATTCATCTGTCCTGCAAGCAAATCCCGATGTCGAAGGCACAGCAGAAGAGCACAGCACAGGAAGCTTGGTATCGTCTCTGCATGCGGGCTGCATGAGGCTGAGGCAATATTATGTCCCCGGCAGGCGTGTGGCTTGAAGAAAAAGCCCTGTCCGCCCTTATGTGTCACAAAAACAAGGCCGAGCAATAAAGTGAGGCTTTTCGATCCATCGGCCAAGTCGACCGTAAGCGTTGTGCAGTCTGTTGCTATCATTGCAGACAGCTCCAGAGCGTCTGACGACAGGATTCAAGCTGACGAGTGCGATGCATCCTACCTAGTGCGAAGTGAAATGAGCAGGCAATTTAGCCTGTAGATACTGTGCTGTGCGAAAACGAATTACATTTTGGCGTGACGGCCGTTCCGGAGGTCCCCTTAGTTCCCATCAATCCCGCCCCTGTCATCCCGCGCTCTACATTTTCTTAGTTATCAGATAGTAGATTTAGGAAGATAGGTAACTGACGTCCATGATGTACATGTTTTACAGCATCCTTCGCTCACTTTTTGCAGATACACTAGGACAGCAACAGCTGTTTATAGGTAGTAGCATATATCCACGATAAGCAAAGGCATCTCGTCTACTCTAGTCATTCACAGGTGTTTCAGCTTTTCGTTCCATTAATCATGTATATAAATAATATCTTCTTGAAAATGCATACGCCTGTTTGGTCCCAGCGCTTTCTACAGGTGAGAGGTATATTTTGAGCAAGAAATGAAAAATGAATGCCCGTCCTTGGAACTCCATCATACAGGCCAAGCCGGCGGCTTAACAAAACAAGCAGCTCGACAATGTCGAACAGAGTTGCGCACGTAACTATACGCAACCGACCGTTGCTGACGTGCAATGGCTAACCACCTCGTCTCGACGCCACTGTCCCCAGAAGCCCGCCCACACGGAATAAATAGACTAGTGTGTTGGGCTTGGAGCGCCGCTTTGACAGTGACTCCGGGTAGAACGGCTTGTTTCGTCGTTGTGTATGAACCATCCGCGTCCAGTTTAATGTCACGATATATACAATGCTTTAAAAACAAGATAAGAGAGAAAACAAATATACTTGCCCGTCACCAGCTGAGGTTGCTGAGGATCGACGTAGACACCACCAATTTTCCTCGCCTTAAAACGCCATGGATGCAATGCAGTCATCTGAGCGACGATCGTATTCGCTTGTGGGTCATGCACGTGCAATGACAACGTTAGAAGTGTTTGGACATGGCTGCGCTGAGATCGACAAAGTCCACCGGTTTCGTGACAAAGTCGTCAAATCCCGCCGCAATGCACTTCTCTTGCACATCGGACATCACGTTGGCCGAGAGTGCAATGACTGGTGTAGGACTGTAGTTGTTCTCTCGTTCCCACCGCCGAATGTCTTGGCACGTCTGGTAGCCGTCCTTGCGAGGCATGTGAAGATCACACTAGGACACCTGGTTAGCCTGTGCTGCATCATGATTGGGTTACCTAAGCGACTTACCAGGATGAGAGAATAATACATTGGAGTGCGCGCAAACACCATTTCCGTGGCCTCCATACCGTCTGCGGCAATCTCCGCCTCGATGCCTACCTTTTTCAAGTACCGAGAGAGCACTTTCTGATTGACTGGATTATCTTCAACCAATAGAACCTTGACACCTTTGGCGCCTATCCGCTTTTCCACGTCCAGGTAGCTCTGTTTCTGTGATTCGACCATTTGCGCTGCACTTGAGCGGTTTAGATCAGTGCTTACGTCGCGCTCTCTGGCTGGATCAAAAATGACAGCAAACCGTGACGGCTTCACGGGCTTGTGCACAAATATGATCTTCTTGTCTGCAAGAAGTTGAGAGTGTCCAGTTTTCGACGCAAGGTCCAGCACTGCCTGCCTCTGTAGGGAATCAGACATGATCAGCGTAATCGTTCTACCTGCTGACGAGGCAATAGTTTGGGTTGTGACATCCACAATCTCCTCTGCGGAAGCGAGATTGACAACGACATGTGTAAATGTGACTGCTTCATCCCCACCTATCAGGCTTTGGGCCTCTAGAAGGCTCGACCGAGCTGTGATCTGGCGAGGCACATACTTAGGCAGCGTCATTTCAATGTGTTTCGTGATCGCTTCTCTACTGTATTTCTGTGGGCAGATGATGAGGATCGAGTACATTGGTAAACGAGACTGTTGCAGGTTTGGCAGGGTATTGTTGTCGGTGACAGGTAACGTCTGCAGTGAGAGCCTTCCCATCGGCATTTCAAACTTCATTTGAGACAGATCCTGCCCACTCGCCTTCGCTGCTTCACTGAAATGCACAAGGCCGACGTTAACAGAGGAGACTGATGATGTGGTGGTATGTTGAGTATGCACAGACCGTATCGAAGGATCAGAGCTACCAGATGATGCGAGAGCTGGAGAGGTAACTCCGGCGTCTGAGCTAGGACTAGCAGCCATCGGCTGCTCCAATGTTTTCTGAAGCATGAGTGGCTTTATGGCTTGCATGGAGGCGTTGTGCTCCCCTGGGGGGGTGGCTGTTGCCCCCATGGGCGGCGTAGTCGTCACTTCGGGGTGATCAGCCGCATTTGGCAAGTCAAATCTAGCGGTGAAAGTGAAAGTTGACCCTTTTCCAGGCACCGCTTTGCCATCCATCTGCCCTCCGTGAAGTTCTACTAACTGGCGGGAGATTACGAGACCAAGGCCACTGCCACCATGTTGTCTAGTGCTGCTACCATCAATCTGGCTAAAGGGTTTGAAAATCAGACCAGCTTCTTCCTCAGAAAACCCTCGACCGGTATCGATGACTGAGTATTCTAGCATGATCTGGTTTTCCCCTAGCTCACCAGCATATTCTGTATAGACGCGGCATCGGCTGAAGACCTCGCCTTCAGTGGTAAACTTGATCGCGTTGCCGATAACATTGAGGAGAACTTGGCGTATTCGAAACTTATCACCCTTCACCCAGGCCGGGACGTTTTCCTCAACTATGTAATTGAGCTCGAGCCGTTTCGCAATTGCCATTGTGGAAACTAGTTCGTTTACATCTTCGATGAGAGATCTCGTATGAAACCACTCAAATTTGAGTTTCATCATACCAGCATCAACCTTGGATAGATCAAGAATATCATTTATAATCATTAGGAGACTGTTGGCGCTGGTCTGGATAGTGTTTGTGAAGTCCCTCTGCTCTTCACTCAATGTCGTATCCTGCAAAAAGCTGACCATCCCTGATATACCAATTAAGGGTGTTCGGATCTCATGAGACATGTTGCTTAGGAATCGACCCTTGGACTCCATAGCCTCTTTCAGCTTTGCCTCTAGCAACTTATGATCGTTTATATCAGTCGCTGAGCCAAAATATGAGCTAGGCCCACTGCCAAACCCAACATCATCAATTTCGACACAACGGATCAAATGCCACCGGTATTCGCCAGTTTTGGACCTCAAACGAAGCTCGGTTGTGTACGAGAGACGACCATTACTATCCGTCGCGACTTTGATGATACCTTTCTTGGCTAGTTCACTGAGATCGGCATTCGGTAAGCTAGATGCTTGAGCATTACTCGACGTTGATTCATCTTGGGAGGCCGCCGATAGTGACTTTGACAGGTTTTGAAGAGATTGGCCCTCAAGAGCTACCATAGGAACTAGTTCGGATGTAATTGTTGATGTGGACGAACTTGTAGGCTTTTTCTCTACTTTAGGTATCATGCTACGATCGATCGGTACCCGACATCTTGCTAGGTCTTCAGGATGAACGAAGTCCATGAATCCATTTCCCAATGGACCATCTTCACTCTGCCCTGTATATGCTAACCACTGCTCGTTTGCAAATGTGATTCCATCGCTCTCTGTGGCGGTGAATATAATTTGTGGGATAAGGTTAGCTAGGAGACGATGCTTGGCCTCTGACGCTTCAACCTCGGCCTGGCGGAGGGCCATAAATTCGGCGACTTTCTGGTCGTGTATGTCCATATAAGAGCCGATGAACTGAACGATAACACCACGTTTATCTCGCGACGCAACGGCACGAGCTTGGTGCCAGCGGTATGCTCCATCAAATCGACGAAGTCGGACAGTATGGACAAACTGTTCTCCTGTTCGTAATGAATGTGTCCAGTTTCTTAAATAGTCTTCACGATCTTCTTCGTGAAAGCTAGCCCAGGGATCCGAAATTAAGTCTGCAAGAGTTTGACCCCGATATGTCAGGTATCTAGAATTCACCCATACAATCTCTCCGGTTACAGGCCACGCTACAAACACTTGCACAGGTAATAGGTCAAGCATGAGGCCTTTTAGTCGGTCTGTTGGTGGATTCATGCTGACTTGCGTTGTTGGCATTGATCCCGAACGAGTCGGAGTTGATGTAGTAGGTTTCGTAAGCAACGGTGTGCTAGGCGGCAAAGATTGGAAAGTGGCAGCGAAATCGCCGCCATATGAATGTAACTTCGTGTGTTTATGGCCACTCTGTGCGGCGTTGGCGGCTCGCCTTTTGGGATGGTCGGTAACATCCTGGCCATGAGGTTCCTCTTTCAAGCTTGATGATGAGGCTGACTCCTTCGATACATGTCGCGGCCTAAGCACAGGTGTGGCATCCTCCTCGGTAGTTGCAGCTTCTGGAATTTCCGAATCTTTTGTTTGAAGAGGCTCTTGATGTTTACGGGAACTTGCCGATTGTCGGTGCGGTCTATTTGTGGTAGATTCTTTAGAGTTACGGGAAGCACGATGACTGGAGATACCTGGCGGTGTCTCGGCACGTGTGCCCCCTCTCGGTTTGGGATTGAAGTAGCTATCACCACCGGCTGAGCCAGGGCTAGTCCCTGTCACACGGCGCTCAACAACTAGACCGAATGATCCAGGCTCCCAAAGTGGTGTACCCATAGGAGATCCAGTTATGCTCCGAGACTGTGTTGAGTAGTCGCTGGGACTCGTGAGACTTCCAGCAATCGAGCGTTGAGAAGCATCCTCCGATGACAGCCCAAGTGGACCAAGAGCGCTGAGGTTAGCAATCGGCCTACCATCTGGACCAATGGCGCCAAATCCAACATTCGACGGTCGCTTCCGCGATAGACCCATGACTTCGGTCTCAAGATTAGTATAATGGCGGCATAGTGAGAATGACGTCGCCAGATGAGGTGCGAGATGCTCAAGGGAATACCGTAGGTTTGAAGGATACGGTATAACAGGGCTGAGTATTGATAGTATTGCGATGGGTGGTTGCTGCTGCTTTCGGGGGGGCTCATCAGGCGCTACCAAGGGGGACCGATAAGCTTCGTGTTTTGCGCGGAGATTGGTTTTCTGTTCAAGCACGGATGGGTCTAACTTGAACCTTTGGGGCGATCTCGAGAGCAGAATATGGTTCAAAGGAATGTGCAGTACCGTCCACGAATTGTCAACTCCAATGGTCTCGGGCGCTTGGACAGACGTATAGTCATGTGGACTAGGACCAGGATTGAAGGAACCCTCATCAAGCACGGCTGCGTCAGTGAAGAAAGGGTTTTCTGTAGGGTCAGCTCGAACAGCCGGGGACGGGGCAGGAGATTGTGACCAAGGCGAAGGGGGAGCCTGTTCAAATTCTTCAAATTTCGGTGTAGGAGGACGGGGTGGTTCATCGTCAATGACGGAGTAAAGATGTGGGATTTTAGACTTCTCAGGCACGGTAGACTTTCTACTTTTATTTTTGGTCAGAGGTGCACTAGCATTGGCAAGTAATGATGACAAGTTCGTCGCATTTTCGGACTTTGTTTGCTTCGTAGAACCCTTTATTTTCGCTTCTTGTGGCATTGGCTTAGGGCTTTTGGCTTTCGTTGAATGTTCATCAGCACCAGGGTCAAGATAGGGATAAGTCCGGGTTAAGGCAATAACCTTGCCTCTTTCGATTACTCTGGTGATGCCATTATGATCGATAAGGGGATCCGCATCAAGATCAAGAGCTTGTAGAACGGGTAACACCTGACCTTTCAGCGCTCTTTCAGGCTCTATGGTTGCTTCCCAGCTGGGGAGATGCTGTTGTTCTTCAACCGCATCATGCTCCTCTAACGCCTGTTGGTTTAAAGCCGTGTGCGAGGTGACTATGCCACCACGATCAGCACCTGGGAAATGACTCTTGCTCCTAGAAGTAAGACCAGGTCGGCGGGTTGTCGGTGAAGCTGTGGCTTCGCTAAATTGTATCCTACGTGATTCCCTTTTCTCTTCGTAAGCAGTGAAAGAATGTCTACTTTGTATGTTCGGTCGAAGAGAATGTTCACTTCCTGGCGTAGGCTCCGTTGCGGACAACACTTCAGTCCTATCGCCGGCACTGTTCGCTGTTAAGCTACTACCCCTCCCTATATAGGCCATGCTATATTCGTCTTCTGCTTGGGCATTATACGTAGCCTTCTGGCCCCATGGGACATTGTCAATGTCTGTAGCATCAGCAGGTACTGATAATGTAATCCTTTCGGCTTTGTAAACTTCCGTCATGATTTGGACAACAGTATTCCACCAGTCATTGAGGCCAGGCTCAGCTGAGAGCATTAGCGAGAGTTCGTAAAGGTTAGGAGTTGGGTAGTTGGGGTCCTCCGAGAATGGAGTGCATCCGGGAGGAAGAAAGGTCATGGCGGAGGCCGGGGTAGACGGGTCTGATGTCAGCTGGTCGTAAAGAATTCGCCCCTCAAAGGGAGAGAAATGATGTTGTAGATGAGAATGACGAAAACCCGGAGTATGCATGCGAGGGAAAGGATATGATGGTGTTCTTGCCGCAAAGCCCGGTGTCATACCTCCGCGAACAGTCTTGTTTGATTCGGTGGATGCCGTAGGCAGGTCAGAGACGGAACTTGAAGAGACAGATAGATCCTCTCGAATTGGCGAGACGCGTATATTCTCCAGATTCTCCGCTGGTGAGCCCTGGGCCTTTCTTTCCATGTCCCTAGCAAGCTTCGCACGGTAATCCTGGATAGATTGGTGGCTTGTACTGACCTCGGGCGACCTTGTCCCGACGCTGGAGTCTTTACTCCTTTGCCTCGTGCGTATGCTCGGCGGCGATATACCATAAGGGCCCACATCTCTACCTCCGGAAACTTTTCTTTTAAATGAGGGAGAAGGCGGCTCGGCATCGCTAGCCTCGAGCCCGCCTCCACGTAACTGCAAACCGCAACCCCCCGGCGCGCCTGTAGACACGAGTGCCTGGGGCACCTCAGTAGCTGAAGGGTTGAGGTGCGGTAACACATTTAAAGATGTGATTCGATGCCAGTGAGATGTGCCAGACGAAATCGGAGATGCTGTTTCTTCATAATCCGAAGTCGTGGCGACATCTTCGTCATGAGCGCGAAAAGGGTAGTGGTCGCATGGTTGGCTGGGGCTTGCGGGGGGATTGAGGATTGGCATGCCTCATCAAGAATCCCCCGAGTAGGACAGCCGGGATCGGTGCTGGCTATAGTCTCGTATCTTCGGCATTCGCTGGGCAAAGGGGATCTCTCGGTGGTCTCTTAGGAGGCAGTACGGTACGCGCAACGGGACATGGAGCGGGACGTAGCTGAGCAGTGGGTGCACGTGGCGCGGCCGGGGTAAAGATGCGTGATTCGGGGATGCTGGCGGCGAGGTGTAGGCTGGGTGTAGTCGTGGACGGGGAGGAGGTATGGCACGCGGCGATGGCAACTAGTGTGGTCTGGTTATTGGACTTGACCAGGTGGGATGGCTATGTTGATCGAGCAGACAATCCAGGGTAGTGGTGTGTTTGCCTGTCTGTCTGATGGTACTGTCTGATGGTACTGTCTGATGGTAGGTAGGTGGGCAGGGCGGCGGGAAGGCTCGCAGGCTGGCAGGCTGGTTGATAGTATGGTGGTATTGCGGTATTGGAGACGTGTGGTGTGATGCGTCGCTGCGTGGATTTCGTTACAGAAACGGTAGTAGGAAGATGGATATTGGATATGGAGCAAGTGTGGGATGACCTCGTTCAGGCAAGGCTTGCTAGAGACCCGCTCCTCGCCTTTGCCGCTACGTCAGACAGTGCCGAATCGTGCTTTGGTACTGTCTTTTCCCCCTTAGCGTACGAAGTACCTAAATACCTATGTAGGTACATCTGTAGGTAGGTATACTTAGCACTTGGTTCAGCGTGTACGCACCCCACGATGCACAATGCCTACCACTAAGTAATCGGTAAGTACCTAAGTAAGCCGCCTGTATGCACGCTGATGTGTACATGTAGGTAAGGACATGGGTACCTAGGTACCTACATAGGCACCTAACTGTAATAGACCCCTACCTAGAGATACCGGTATGTAAGTACTCACAGTACCTAGGTAAGGTAATGATGGTCGTAAGAAAGAGAGAGAGGGAGAGAGAGAGAGAGAAAAGAAGGGTCAAGCCATCACTAGTATCGCTAGCAATGCCTACTTTACCAGATATATATCCATTTATAATATCTTGATGATTCTTCCCACTCGAGCACTCTCTTGGTTGTTCCTGTTCGTCCTCCCGAACCTTAGCCTATCTATTAAACTACCTACCTATTTCTCTGTATCGACAAAGTATTTATTCGTTCGCTCGTTTGTTTGTTCGTTCGTTCATACCTGCCTGCCTACCTGGAAGTAGAGAACCAGCAGTCCCAGCAACGGCTGAGTGTTGTAGTCGACTTACATCATTCTACGTAATACATGATGCAATTGCAGCTAACCATTGGGACCTACATACCTTGACAGACCCTGAGAACCCAAGCCGACCCAAGACCTCGTTGAGCGTCCCTGGTCAATGCCCTCCGGCCAAAACAGTCCAGGCACTGGCGTCGCTGCTTACCTACCCTCTCGCCAGACTCTTGCCAGACTCTCGCCTACCTACATTCTCGATTGAATATTGAATGCTTCAGCACCCCATCTCGATATAGGTACTGTACTTACATATAGGTACTAGTGAACGGGGCGAAGGGTCCCTCCCAGGCTTAATCTACGGCGAATCTACGGGTTCCTACCTAATCGCCGAAAGAGTCTTAGAGCCAACAATCCGATCTCGATTTAGCTCCAACGTGGGAGTGGTTTGCCATGAAGTTTCCACCATTAGCTCCACGTTAATGCTGATCCAGGTTTTTATCCCCCATCTACGTGTAGCCAGAGTGTAGCTTTCTTCCGCTCGCACTCTAGGTACCCAATGACCAAAGAGAGGCATAACAATAGTTGCAAACGCCTGCCTACCCCATGGTCGAAGGATGTGTATAACGTCGTGTGTTGGAATATCTATCTGTCTGAGTAAGTATTTATCTATTTATCTACCTAACTTACCTCTCAAGATCGCTTAATCGCGTCACTATTACCGGCATCAGAAGGGGAAGGCATCAAGTGGGTAGATAAGCACTTGCTAAGGTAATATATTAATATCTCAGTTCCACGTTGCGTTGTCCCCCTACCCAACCTGTTGACCGCTAGATCATAGGTACGGGAAGCAGGCAGATATTTCTACTACCTATCATACACTATTGTCCACAGTAATGGTCAGCCTGCTGGTCTCCCAGACTGCACTTATCTGGCTCGTCTGGAAATAGTGTGATGGTGAGTGAGATCGGAGGCTGTCTTGTTACTCAAGATACCTAGTCGCCAATAGTGTGCGCTAAGTTGGCAGGGCTATCCAAGGCAGCACGCCCTTTCTTGTCTTTCTGTTTCCATTAGATAGGTACCTAGATAGCTATCCTCGCTATCATAGCATGCACATGAAGGAGTGGATGCTCTTCATACCTAACCTACACACTTACTATGTATGTAGCTATGACCTGAAGTGCTTAGGGAAAGCAGTTGAGTTGCATGCGTGTTGTGCGTGCGCATACCGTACTAGCTAAGTACTTCGCGTCACTATCAGTGCCACTCGCCATCCTACAAACGGAGACCTACCTGCTTGCTCTCAGTCAGTGATTCAGGAGTTGCATGGCTTGGTAGGAAAACGGAGACGCTTGTAGAGTAGTAGTGTAGCAGTGTATGCGAGATGCTCGCTCGCACGAATCATACACGCATTCGATGCCTCGTCAGCCTGAATAGCTACACATGAGTACTGGCCAAGGACATACCTACTTACCTATCTCGCATATGCTCGCGACGTTGACTCAGCTGACAGTGTCGAGCCCTGGCTTGTATATACTGTATATCATCTGAAGAACCTCACCTTTTGAATGAATTCAGCACTTATCTAGCCATACATGTAGGTGCTGGCACAGCTGCATGCCCTCGACTTCGAACTTTACCAAATTGTGTTGTTATCGCCCCGCCCCGAATTGGCCTTGATCTGGTCTTAAGTAGGTGCCTAGACTTCCTATTCTGGACATCCCTAAACTCCGTTCAGTCATCATCATCAATGCGTCCGAGTCGAAGAGCAATCAATATTCCCTACTCTGTCCCTACTTTTCATTCGCCTACCGAGGCAGTGTAGTGCAGGTACAGGTAAAACCCTGTTCAGCGGCCCCGGCAATCCATTGTTCGGACCAAAGTCAGGCCAGAATTTCGGGCCCTAGGAGGTCACGGGCCGGCCATTGTGAGGCGTGCAATTGTAGGTATACCAGATCGGAGAATTTCGATCTCGCAACCTGAGCGAGCGAGCCGGCATCAGTCATTACTCATATTTTTCTTGGCGGTGAGACATCGTAACCGCTGCTATCGTGCACAGTCCACTGAGCACTGTACGATAGGTCATGAGAACAAGCCTTGCCGTCGTGGCGTAGAACGGCTCCTGGAGGTAGTGTAGTGTAACTTATATGTAGGTACCTACTCGCGTTATATCTGTGGCAGACGCCTCCCGCCTACGTACCCAAACACCACGCAGAAGTGGTGTTCGATGCAAGGGCAGCAATCTAGACAATAACTTAGCGCCGGTAGATTCGTTGTGCAATGATCGTATTAATCCTAAACCTAGCCTGGGCTTGCAACTAGCAAAACCGACATCTAATCGTACCAGTTGTGGCATGCTGCTGGGCGTGGAGGCCTCGCCTGAGCGTTCAGATCGGGAATTTCGAATTCGCCATGCCAAAATCGAAATTGCCATGATTTGTCATTCTGCTAGAGGCGAAGAAGAAAATAACAACCGAAAGCTCGTGTGACGCTTTCGAAATGAGATCGAGGGCTTGTGCAATGTTGCTAGTTGTATGACCAACAATGCAGACTATCCACGAATTGTCTAACGAAGTTACGATTATCTTTGATATCATTCGGTAATTCACTTGCTCTACAGTTCGACGAACAATGAGATCAAATGTTACGTCAGTTTCGAGTTGAGTGCAGCACTGTCACATCCGGCTTGGACTCGGTCCCGTACGATTTTTTGTTTCTAGCCTCTGAATAGGGTATTGCGGTGGTGAAGCATTGAAAACATGTAGTGTACGATTTAGAACCGACTTTCTATTCTGTCCGATATACCCTCAGTCATGCAGACACTATGAAGCACGCCGAGCGGTTCATAGTATAATATAAGAATGACCCGTGACACCGCTTGGACGCATTCGCACCAGGTCGCGTCCGAACTAGATAGACTGTAGCTACACATCATTTCTCTATAAAAACACATGTGTATCGTATGTGTCTGAGAAGTCGTATGTCTCGTCACTCTGGCTCAGGGTCAGCTCTGGGAAAGCACTTACTCTATGTTCATAAAACAGATTGCCTCCATGGTGATTAGACAAATTCAAAGTATATAATAAACATATAAGCACGCAGTTACATGATGTACTCAGCATTTTTTTTTTTTTTTTCTCGGTGTTATCGTCACCGGGACGTAAATAGAGACCACCCACCATCATCACCATGCAGCGTTTCATCTGGACCACCATCACCGCCTCTGCCGGCGTCATGATAAGCCCAACAATAGCTGACGCAGACCTGGTCTATGATTCTAAAGGCTATAATAGCGGGAAATACGGTCCCAATCCTCACCAACATTACTTTTCTACCGATATCACTTCTCCCCTTTTGCTCGTGAATTACTGGGATCCGACCAGAACCGAAAACTCGTCCTACATATTTCTCACCTTGGATAGTCCCGGAGACGGCCGCAGTACTGGACCAGTCAGTATGTGACCTCTGGAGTCATTCTCTTTCTGTTCTAGTCACTCCTGGTGGCCACAGTTGCCTATTAGGGGTACGAGTGTGTCTCGGGTGTCTGCAAAACTCTCAAAACTTTTGTCTAGAAGATTATTATTGACTCCAGCGGTTCTAGTCTATCGGGCTGACGACCTCAGTCTAGTCTACAGTGACCTTCACTGGTCAGCCGCACACAATTCTCACATCGACCAGTTCAACGGCAAGGACTACCTCGTCTTCATTGAACAGTTTGGTTTAGGGGGCGGCCCATCGGCGAGTTGTCTGCTATACGACTCCACATATTCATTAGCGTACAACATCTCGTCTCATGGATATGAGAACACATCCATCGGATTACACGAGTGTCAGCTTACAAGTGATGGCTCCGCAGTAGTGATCCTGAAGGCAATCATATCCTTTGACCTAACAGCAGTGGGAGGCCCAGAAGACGGGGACATCATAGATAACATTGTCCAGGAGGTCGATATAGAGACTGGAGAGCTTCTCTGGCTATGGAGAGGCTCCGAACACTACAATATCTCTGATTCGTACATCGAATACAAAGATGGCAACGGGCCCTACGATTACATCCATATGAACAGTGCTGACAAGGCAAGTGTATCAAAATCCCTTCTTAAAACCAATTGAATGACTCATCTGTTCGGGGCAAGACCTCGAAAGGAGATTTCCTAATCTCAGCCCGCCATACCCATAGCATCACGCTCGTAGATGGAGAACACGGTAGTATCAAATGGACCCTAGGCGGCAAGCGCAATGAGTTCCTCGACATATCACCAACCGGCAACGCCACGGACTTCGCCTGGCAGCATCACGCGCGACTCACAGATGACTCCCATACACGTCTTACCATGTTTGACAATCATAACATCACGGGCATCGTCGGATGCACAACGAACTGTTCGCGCGGCAAACGCATCGAACTAGATTACGAGCACCGCACCGCGGAACTGGTATCGGAATTTTATCATCCGCAGAGCTTGGTGAGCAGGTTCGAGGGTAGCTACCAGACCACGCGGAGCGGCAATGTGTTTATAGGCTGGGGGGCGAACCCGACGTTCACAGAGCAGTGCGCATCTCTCACCCCTTGTTTCAATATAAGTCAACCCCTTATATTTGCCTCTTTATCCTGACCTGAGCGAGCCTAAGCTCCGACATAAGTAGTTATCTCTGATCTAATAATAGCATTCTCCTAGCACGCCTTCAGGGTTATGCGTCCTCGACGTCCAATTCAACATCTGGCGTCCAGAAAAGGGATATCCCGTGAACTACCGCGCGTTCAAGATGGACTGGAAGGCGCACCCGACTTGGGATCCTGACATGGTGGCGCTGGGGGGTGAGACGGACGGCCAGTTCAAGATCTACGTCAGCTGGAACGGGGCGACGGAGGTTGCTAGATGGCAGCTTGTGAGTGGTATTGCTACAGAGACCTGGAAGTAATCAAGTGTTAACTCTTACGCTCAAAAAGATCGTAGGCGACTCCTACGACAATGTCACGGACTCCGCCATAGTGGTCCCGAGGGCTGGCTTTGAAACAGAGATACTCCTGAAACTTCACCAGCCATTTATACGCGCTGCAGCCCTTGACAAAGACGACAGTGTCCTGGGTATGACGGCGATACTTCAACTCGTGTTGGACGGGGAGCTTGCTAATGGGTCATAAGGCTAACTGCCAGAGCAACAGAGCTTTATCGCAAATACGCTCGAAAAGGTGCTATACAAGCCGCGATACAGAGATCACCGGTTGAGACGGGGAACTCGGAGGAGTGAGAATGATATGTTAGGATAACAGCTGCAATTCTGTCGCCCTATGATGTAAATTTATAGAAAATATCCTATGAATAGTGATCAAACTATTTAGCACTTTACACCAGCAATGAGAACCAAACTATACTCGATGCTGGGATATGTACGTAAGACTCACGGCCGCCCCAGCATACATTGGAAATAGAAGTAATCAAATAACGAAAGAACAAACAATGCCGATTTGTGTTGTACATAAGGTAGGCCACATACCCACCGTCCTGAAGCCCCGTCCATCAACCTTATCCTCACCAAAGCTCACAGGTTGGTTCCTTGACAGGACAGTTAAAGCTCTCCCTGAAGGCCCGAGAATTAGACGTTGTTCCAAGGATACGCGCAAACGCAGGTGAGTGCGGATCGACGTAGATGTAATTGATGGCTTGCTCCTTGCGGACCTTGCCGCACCACCAGTTGGCATAGAAGACAAAGAAGAGCTGTTCGTGTGTGAAATAATCGAGTCCAGGTAAGCTCTGGTCGGGGCTATCTGCACGACGCTTCTCCCAGGCCGCGAAGGCAGCTGAGACTCCTCCAGCGTCGGCGATATTCTCGCCTAACGTCAACTTGCCATTGACGTGCAGGGGCTGGCCATCGTTGCCTTTGATAGTAAAATTGTTGTACTGATTAACGAAGCAGGCTGCACGTTTATCAAACTGATCGACAGTATGGTTCGTCCACCAATCAGTGAAGTCTGCGGTATTTCCGTTAGTATCTAAACTTCCACGTGAAATGATCTGTCCGGGCACAAGAGTCACAAAAACGACGCTAGGGAATAATGACCTCGAGCTGATGGAGGGTGGATACAAGTAAAAGTCATCAGACTCGCCAAAAAGTAGATAAAAGTGTCACTTACTGCCATTCTCATCATAATGGCGGCCTGAGTTATCAAAAGCATGGGAGAGCTCGTGCCCAGCTACCGACGCGAAAGCTCCATATGAAACATAACCCGGTAAGTCCACCGAAAAGACAGGAAACTGCATTATACCTGCTGGGAAAACCTAAAATAAAGTCAGCCATTGCTGGCCACACAACTATGAGATATACTAGGAGATAAACGCTTACAATCTCATTTCCCGCGGGATTGTAGTACTAGAATAATGTCAAGTTAGCTATCGCTCTGAGCGTGATTTGAAATTGGCTTGAAATATGGAAAACTGTGAATAGCAAGAGTCATTGTAGAAAGAACCCTGGAGCGTCCTAAGGGGCCGAAAGAAACGTTAAAACAGCTCGACGACTACTTACGGCATTGACAATGTCAGCCTGCATCCCCCACTCGCCGCGATCTACGGGTTTGCCAAGAGCAGACCATGTCTGGTTTGCGGAGAATTTATTGCTAGACAGTGAATTGTTAAAGAAGGAGTTCGTGATCACTAGCCCCTTATAGTAGTCCCGTAACGCGTCGGGATTCATGATATCCGGGGATTTTGTGGGATAGCCGATCTTTTGGTCAATATTGTGGACTTTGTTCGTGGCAAGTTTCTTGACTGAATCGTCCATCCAATCAAGTTCACCCAATCTGGTGGTGAATTGCTGCTTTATGTCCAGGATGATCTGGTCACCGTACTTTTTAGCAGCCTCTGAAAAGGTAGCTTCGATATAGAAGCGGCTTAGGATCCACCCAAGTGTTCCGTCGACATAACCCAGGCACGTCTTCCAGCGTTCCGACTTTGTCTCCGGGTCCTAGTGCTAGTGAGTACGAAAGTATTGTCTTCACGATCTTCATCATGACTTACTCGACCTGCTAGGATGTTATTGAAACGAGTGATAGGTTCCACCTCAGCGGCTTCAACGTAGGTTGAATAAGACAGTACCAAGTTCCAAATTAAGTAGGCCTGTATCGTGGATTTTGGAGTCTTAGAGACGATCTGAGATACGTTCCCTAAGAATTCTGGAAAAGCCAGCAGCATTGTTTCAGGTGTGTAATTTGTGGGTGCCAATCCCTTCACTACCTTATCCAACCCTATTGTTGGTCCAATCATGCCTACGTCTTCAACCGAGACGATGTTATAATATTTCTGTTGTCGTTAGATATACATGACCACAGTTTTCCAAAATTGAAAGCATTAGTTACTTACTGTAACATCTTGCCTATCTTCTGGTGGTGGAGTCAGAGCCGCGATCTTTTTCTCAAGTGCAACTACAGATCGCGAGAGTTTGGTTGCGGACTTCTTCGAAGTGACGGTCGGAAGTAGTGAAGAGAAAACCTGTTCAAGCATAGCTTGGTATTGTTCCACAGTATCATTATCCTCATAGTATTCGGGCGATGGGAGGTTATATCCCGCTGGCATAGCCTGAATAATGACGACGTCCTATAACGATGAGAAATGAGGAGCTGGCTCAGGGTTTGGTGAGACATACAGGATTCTTATCATCCGCACCGGTATATAGTCCCTCAAATGATGCGACACCAAGTTGCTCGAGGAGGAGAATCGTGTCGCTTAGCTTCGAATAATCTTCCAGTTGTGGAATCTCATCTGTTTCATAGGAGGCATCGTCTACCGGGAAGGACTGAGCAACTTGGCTAATTAGATCGGTCAGAGGACCAACACCGATCTGCTTCAGGGTTGCTTCATTCATGCAGGCATTGTAAGACTCTTGCATGGTTAAGAAATTTTCTTCGTCAGTCGATGCTGCGACCCTTTGAAGATTCATTGGCGAGAACGAGGAGTGCTGTATTCATATTAGCAATCCAAGTTCCCCAGACTACGCGACAAGGTGGCCGTATATTCGCAGGAGGCACTGGCCTCACCGGCGCGACCTTGTAGATAGCACATGTACTTCACAGCAACGCCAAGAGCGGGCATTATCTGAGCCCATATGCACTTGTATCGCAATTGAAATGCCTCCCTCACTTGATATATAGTGATAGGCACATCTCTTTTATGTCTAACTCTTCCCATATGACGTTGTTGGCACTTGCAGAGATGAATGTGGCAGAACCTGAGATGTGGGCAAAAGGCGGTGATTTTACACACCTGGGAGCCACCTGGGTATGGTGATTCTAGAATATGTCTGAGAGTAGTTCGACCGTTGTCAGACATGATCGAAGCCGTTGAAAACGATGATCGATCCTCGGGAATGTCATGGCGCGCGTTAAAGCCATCGCAGACCAGAGTGTCGAAGTGAGTACACGGATCAAGATTCTTGTAATCAGGGGACAAGTTGTCTGATCCATTGTGAGCTTATATTCGCATCCCCGAAAGTGCGGAATTTAAGAGACTTACACAGAATTTCAGATGCAGCATGAATACATGTCGGTGTCGTACAGGTAGAGTTATTCATCTTTGGCGATTTTTTCTGACCGCGGGATAGCACTGGAGCATGTTCAATTAGCGGAGGCTTAGAGGTAAACAGAAAATTGCTGAACAGCATGCAACTCTTGTGGTAACTGGGAGTAAGAAGGATAGACGCCGATATAAGGGAGTGAAGATTAGGTTGATAGAGAGCATGCACTATTTGACTTGGAAATGTTACAACTCATTCTTTATGATCAGCTCTTGTATGATTGTGTCGTACAAGCACGGGTACTTAGCTCGGTGATTGACAGCTCCACAGGGTATGGAATGCAAGCTGGAATATAAGAAATGAGGTGGGGATGTAGAGGTAGATAATTGAGAAGCAATTTTGAGGGTAATATGAAACTCTCTCGCAAGGCTCATAACCATACATGATACATACCTCCGCTTAAGATCAATATCACAACGAACACGATGATGAGGAAAACGCTAGCAATCAGCGAAATCCAACGACGACGACGCAAGGTCGTGATCTCTTGAGCGAGCAGGCCCTGATTTTCGTCATCGGTGCCATCTGTAGTGCCATCTCCCGTGTTTCCCACCGCAGCATTATTAGGGGGTTTATTTGTATCACGCAGAAGAGGAGTTCTCTCATCCTCCCGGCCAGCTGCTGCTTGGCCCGTCTGCGACTGGCTGGCCATGCTACCTAGTAGTTAATAATGCCGAGGAGGCTGAACTGACGTAGCTAAGCGTGAACGTAATTGCGTTGTCTTGATCTGGATCTTAGCCGTCCTGCGGCTGCTTCGGTATCATAGGTAAGTACTCGGGAGCTCGATACCAGCAGTAACAGATAATATGGGGATCCAATGTTCCGAGTGAACCATGCGATAGCCCAGAGCCTCGTAGGCTATACAACAGGCCAGCACGAGACTGATTCGCCTGGATAAAAGAGCCCTTGTTAGTTGTCTATATTGCTGGATATTGGGTCTGTAGCGAGCAGCTTAGACTGGAGTTGAGAGATCAAGCAGCATCGCGGCTCAATGCGTCAGACCGTGACAACCACTGCTCCCTCCCCCATGCATGCCCCAACCCCCCCATAATCCGTAATGCACCCCGTGATTAGTTGTAGTGTAGCAGCCTACCTACCTACCCGTGCGGGCGCTAGCCTGACACGGCAATGTTTCCACATAAGCTCTTTGAGCAACGGTGAATCATGACCAACTCATCGCCTTAATAGCTAAGTAACTGCGTAATCACTTGCTACTATTAGGTAGATGGGACGAGTCAAAAGAGTTGAACGAATGCCCGCAGTTTGCAACGGTGTCTTCTAAAAGGGAAGCCGTGACCGTAGGGTAGAAGAATGTCCATGGAGAATACATTCCATCGATGTTCGATCTCTCCCGAAATTCCACTCAAGTTTGCACGACAAGTCATCACTCATAGTAGGGAGAAGCCGAAGTAGAAGTAGTGACCGCGTCTCTATTTAGGTAAGGGAGAAGATGTATCCACCTGTCCCGGGACAAAATGTTTGACTAAACAAAATGCTTTTGCCTAGCTCAAACTATGCAGCTAACATACCTATGTAGACCACAATCCCATTGTCCCATTTGTAACACCTACTCACTATTGCCGAGCGCCTGCCGCTGAAACCCAAGTTACCATATCGCCATTTGATCCTATTAAGTAAAACCCAAGCGCATACACCTGCAGAGAAATAAACCCATGCCTTGACTTTCATGCCCTGCAATTTGTTAACTGCTTGCTCAAATCCGATTCGTCCTACTTTTCTCCCCTTCCTCGCCCCCTTCGGTGCAACATTTCAAATGCGTTAATGAAAATTTAAAAACCAAGCTTCTGCTTCTTGATCCGGGGGTATACGCCGACGATCATCAGAACGAATATTACGATCATTGCCCAGAGCTTAAGACCGAGGACGTTCTGATTGTAGTCGGTTTTCACGGCGCTCGTAACCGTCGCCATCATGAGCAATAGAAGCACGTAGCCGCTGCTACGATGGTACTTCCAAATCTTTTTGGCATTCGCCTCGCCGCCATATAATGCGGGTACTCCGAACATGGTGAAACCGACAAAATACTGAATGAGTATCCATATCGAGGTAATGACTCCTAGATAGCCGTGCACAGAGTGAAAGTGTGCGCCGTTGGATTTAAATTTGTTGACTTCGATAACCACAACACCCACCACGAAAATGGCAAAAGCTAGTAGATTCAGTCCCGCGTGTACTTTTTGCCCGACTTGCTTCTGGGCGCCCGTGTGTGTTGGCTGCAGGATTAGGATCGATTGCACAAGAACTAGCACCCCCAGAGATTGTGCGAGTGGGTGCACCGAGAATAAGATGACGGGGTTTAAGAATACGGATGCCCAGACGGACGCGACGAGCAGGAGGGATGCACCCTCGGCCAGAACACCGGTGCCTGAAGACTGTATGAGCTTTGCCATGGTGGGAGAGTGCAAATATGACACGAAATGGACTAGAGGTATCGATGACGGATACAATGGCCCAGTCGACTTTGTATAAGTTGAGAGTGTGGGACAAGGTGGTGGTGGACAACTGTTAAAGAAGGTGTGGGGTAGGATGCTATATTGAAATTGCAGCGGCTTGATGGAACAAATATGGAAGTCCACACTTGGGGAATGGCGCTGGGAGAAATGAAGGAAAAGAGTACGAAGCAAGAACATACCTAGCACGAGGTTTTTGATGATGGGGGCCTCATCCCTCTGAGATGCATCACCTGGGCGCCCTAGGAGCGGTTCAGTGTCGCCGACTTGTCCGTCCGTGTCCGGATCAGTCGGGGGATGTTGGGGGATTCCCGTTGCCGAAGCCATTGGGGCAAGACGAAAGCAACTGGAAAGTGTCTGAGCTTAGATGTAGAAATCCTCTATGCGGCAGTAGAGTGAATGGAAAACGTCTCGTCAGGTCGGTGCAGAACAGCTGAAGTGCAGACGAGATAAACTCGTAATAAGAGAAGCTTCAGAGGATGGATGGTCTTCATGTTTAATGTTTGGCGAATTCCGATCCTCGATGACGAATGCCAGCCGGTGTGCTGAAGGAGCATCGCCAGCCACCTAACTCCCAGCTTCTGCCAATCAGAAACGAGGTAATTGATCGGGTCGCTTATCAAGGCGGCCGTAATGAGCGGGCATTGCGGGGTTCGTCAAGGACGCAAGGTTCCCGGGTACGTACCTGCTTTTCAGCTGCCTGCCCCTCATTAATATGGTAATACTTAAGTACTTCCAGATAAAATCCGACCTTAAGTAACAAGTGGTAGTGTAGGATGAATGAGTCTTGATGGGGTCAGATTTCCTCTGCTGCTCCTAGAGTGTTTTGTTTTATTAGCATACTGTATTGCATAACTCTAGATTATTTAACATGGCGTTTTGTTCATGGCACGCGTTTGAATCAACATGATGATTGGAGATGGTACCTCTCATCGGCCACTACCGTCTTCCGATCAGGTTCCGATGACCCCACGCTGGCCTACGTTAAGAGAATAGTTTTATTGATGGAACCAAGTCATTTAAATATACCTTTAGTCCTTCTCAACTTTGCAACAACTACTGCTGAAACGGAACTCTACGGCTATTGGGGATCATGGAGGACACCAGGTATCAACTTGAGACTGTCAGCGCGACAAGGGTCGCCTCGGAGGACATTGACAAGACTTTCCGATCTAGCTGTATTGGTAAGTCAGCATACAACATGGGGGAGTTATTGGGCGTGTCGAAGGAGCTGACCAAGTAATCCGTGCAATTATCCCCAGGCTGACTTATCCCTCGTAGATCTCATCTCAGGCGCATTGGGTGGGAAAGTCCTGGGCTTCTCAGATGAGTGGTTTGCCGAGGCCAGCAATTTGCTGACGCCCACAGCCCCGATAAGGCAGCCTGGTAAAATGGTGTATACCGGTGCTTGGTACGATGGTTGGGAAACAAGACGACACAACCAGGCACCCTTTGACTGGGTCGTCATACGTCTCGGCGTTGCTTCGGGCACTGTAGAGGGCGTCGAGGTGGACACAGCATTCTTTTCGGGTAATCATGCACCTGCCATCTCAGTTGAGGGTTGCTTTAATTCAAATGATGAACAAGTTCTTTCGTGGAAAGGAGAAAGGGGTGAGTGGGAGCCCATTTTGAGCATTCAGGAATGCGGGCCCTCTCAACGGTTCGGATGGAAGCTGGACAATCCTACGACTAAGCAGTATACTCATGTGCGCCTTAACATGTATCCCGATGGTGGAATTGCTCGCTTCCGGCTCTTTGGACATGCCGTGCCTGTCTTTCCCGCCGATAAAGAAGCAATATTCGACCTAGCGGCAGCCCAGAATGGCGGAGTGGCCGTCTCCTGCAGCGACCAACACTTTGGAACCAAAGACAACTTGATCCTCCCCGGCCGAGGTAAGGATATGGGGGACGGATGGGAAACTGCTCGTTCGCGAACTAGAAACCATGTTGACTGGGCCATCATCCGTCTCGGAGCACCTGCTCTCATTGAGAGCTTCATCATTGACACCGCCTTCTTCCGGGGGAACTTCCCCCAGTACGCGAAGCTTGATGCGATTGAATGGACAGATGAGGGGGAGCCAGGAGCCGACGGCTTAAAGTGGACTGAGGTGCTGGCACCGAGCAAATGCGGCCCGGATCAGGAGCATGCTTTTGACTGCACAAAAAAGGACCAGCCTTTTACTCATGTGAAACTCACGATTATTCCCGACGGAGGTGTAAAGAGGCTCCGGGTCCTGGCCAAGCGATCTGTCTAGGCCTACATTATTGGCATTTCAGCTTTGTGCCTACAAAAGGAATCGGCCATGTGTAACTACTTATAAGAGAAGCAGGCAATTTTGAAACTATCATACTGTTTTATGCCATAAGACGATCTCTTTCAAGGACATGACAGAAGAAGCTTGCTAGAAAGATGCGGATTGAATTCCCCTTTCTCTTGTACCAAGTAGCTATTTCACTGCCAAATTAGAAGTGCACAGGCCAATCCATGACCCCCACTTTAACGAGTTACATGTAAGTACTGGTTGTAGTGTACCTACAGCAGCCCCTCTTGCTAGCTGCGTCATGTAAGTAGGTACAATGCTTACCTGCCTAAGAAGGTACCTTCATCTGTAACGAAACGAACTGGCAACTTTAAAGCATCCTGCGAATGATGACCGGTGCTGTTTGACGAGGCTTCGCGATTAACCATTTCGCTCTACGACTGGCCTACCACACTAATATACCTCTTCTATAGGATATAAGAAGCATGCCGAAGTGCGATCTTCCATTTCAACAAGCCCCCTGAGCAGTAAATGCGGACGACCTTGAATCATGGATTTCGGGGATCCTGATGGCGGGGGCTTCGGGGACGTTGAGCCCAAAAAGCCACAAACTCTTCCAGCCGATTTGCCAAAATCGTTGGACGATCGCAAAGTTGTCCCAACTGAATTTGTACCTGAAACGGAAATGTACGATGGCTGGCAAGGTGCGCAATCGTCCGCTCCCCTTGCGGGCTCCCTGTCCACCAACTAACTGACATCTCCAAAAGGTCAATCCCAATTTCTAACGAGCCCAATACCCGCGAAGCCCTTACAATTCAACAACCTGACGCTTGATGACCCGGACTACGATCGGCACTTGACCCAGGGGATCGCCGACAGCGACACGCGATTAATGGAGATGCTGCAAGCACAGGCCCAACACCATGGAGGACAGACCTTCGAAGATGTCGATGCCGTCGCTGAGGACGGCAAGCTATCAGAAGATGAAAAGAAAACGATGCTACAGAAAGCTTTGAATATGGCCGCAAGTAATGGCGACACGGCACAAGTATCCAAGATATTGAGTGGGAAGGCGAGAGCCTTCGTCGACGTGGATGCTCTTGACGAGGATGGAACGCCTCCCTTGATCTACGCCAGCTGCTTCGTGAGTGGTACTACCAACCCGATTCACCACCGCTTGCTGACAGTGGTTACAGGGACACGAAAGTGTCGTTCAGGCTCTTGTGGACGCTGGAGTAGATGTAGACAAGCAAGATCGAAATCGTTGGAGTGCTTTGATGTGGGCCATGACAAATCGGCATAAGGGAATTGCTAAAATTCTGCTAGATAACGGTGCATCCCCAGAGGCGAAGACATCGTCGGGTAGAACTGCGTTCGACTTTGTCCCCCCTGACAGTGAAATGTCCTTTTATCTGCACGATAATGGGTACACCATTGGCAGCGCTGGAGTGACCGATGATTTCTATAACCCTGGCTTCTCTCAGGATAGATTCGAGGAGGAGATGGCCGAAAACGAATTTCGACGTCGGATGATGATGGAGAGTGCAAGAGACCTCGAAGTCGATCTTGGAAATATGGGATTTGACGATCAACCTGAGGTAGGTCTCAATGAATCCCATTCCATTACCTCACTAATTCATTTAGCCTTTGGACGACTTTGAAGAAGAACAGCAAGAGTTTGACTGGAGTCGTTGTTTACATGATCAGATGTTCGTATTTCAGGAGAGCGAGCTCGATAGAATTCTTGATATCGTCATCACCAACATGCGTCCTCAACGATCTCCAACTCAAAAGCCTGTACCAGCAAACATGATATTCCTAAGCGCTCGTTATGCGCATTACCATGCAAGCCACGAGTTATTGGGGAAATTGCTTATTACTGCGCAAGACAAGATAAATGACGTCGTGGAGCAGTATCAGTGGGATATGACTATACTGGCTTTTTGGATGTCAAATGCGACGTTGTTATTACACTACTTGAGAAAAGATGCCGGCCTATTAGAGGCGACAACGGAATTCCAGGCACAACTCTCTGAATTAATCAATGAGATTTTCATTCTCATCGTCAGAGATGCTGAAAGAAGAATGGACAAAGTGCTAGACCCGGCATTGCTAGATCACGAGACAATCCCGGGCCTCGAAGATGTTACCTTTCAACATGAGTGGAAACTTTTCAAGAGGAAAAAGGAGGTCAAGGTGGAGCCTCTTGAGAAGAGATTTCGACCTCCATCACCAAAGCAACGCGCTAAGCCAGCACCTCGGAACGTCACTTCGCTCCTTTCTTCGACGCTATTCGTTCTCGACCTCTATGATATACATTCAGTTATTACATCCCAAATAATCTCTCAGCTGCTTTATTGGCTTGGGGCGGAGCTTTTCAATCGGGTCATGAATAATCGAAAGTACTTGGCAAGGACAAAAGCAATGCAAATCCGAATGAACGTTTCGGTCCTTGAAGACTGGGCTCGGGCAAATAACCGTAAGCCGGAACACTACGAATACGGTGAGACTCACGCCTCAGGCGAGACAACGGTGGAAATAGCACGTAGACACCTCGCCCCTATCATTCAGCTCCTTCAGTGGTTACAGTGCTTCTCGTCACTTGACCCAGATGACCTTGAAGCACTAGTTGGGACACTGCAGCAACTCAAACGTTTGACCCCTCAACAACTGATATACGCTGCCAAAAACTATCGTCTAGAAGTTGGCGAAAAGGGGCTCCCTAAGAGTGCATTAAAATATCTCGATACTTTGCAAAAGGAGGCTGAGATACGAAGAGATAGAAGAAGAACAGTCTCGCCGATGCCGCCGAGCAGCACGCCGTCGACACCAGTGAAAGGCAGCTTTAATGGCCCAGATGCAGATAATGCAGGAAGTGCGCAAGAGACACCCCGTTTTGACCCGGACGATGATGAAGATCTCGATTTACCTCACGGCATCAACTTCGACCCATCAATAATGCTACCGTTTACTCTTCCTTCAGTCACAGACATGCTCGTATCTTTTGGTGCTGGGTTTGGTGGTGTCAATCGAGAACGGGAAAGGAAATACATCCCTACCATTCCTCCAGAGTTCCTAGAAAAACTTGAGATAAGTGGGAACTCAAATAAGCCAATGTTTGGGGAGAAAGACTGGGAGAACGAAGTAGTTGAGACGTAAGAGTCATAACAACAGCGTTGTTTTTGAACCATAACATATCGCTCATCACCCAACTGTTTGGCCAGTTTAGAGTACACGCATACTATAATGCCCCATGACTTATGCTTGCAGGCGTTAGAACTCACTGAAAGGCTTTATCATCATCACCCTTCAATCTCTTTACCTTGAACCGGGCAAGGTTTCATAAATGTTTTGGGTTGCGTTGGACCAGGGACGCTCGAGTTCACGCGAATGACGTGATTAGATCTGGCATTTCCAATAATAAAGAGGCCGCTCATCCCACCAAGGGGTACAGCGAGTATGAAGTTTTTGGGGATAGACTTATCTGGAATATCATGGAGTTATTAGATAGAGAGAATATGTTTTCTTTTCGGATCTAGTAAATCTTATGGAGCTCAGCCCAGCGGCCTGGCAACACGATAACCCATCTCATAGTACAAATAGCACCTAACTAGCGGACTGTCGTTGCTAAGTTACTCTATCTGGTGATCTACATGACACATAACTAGACTAGATTTAATTTGTTGTCAGCTATTCATCGTGGCATCACTTGACGTTGTTCCCCTTACAATGCCAACTACTCCGCCAGTTCGTGAAATATATAGTTAGCCTAGAATATCTACCAAACCAGGTGTTTCACGCCAAGTCGGGACTGCACAATTTAGTAAAGAGAAAGAACGAAAAAAAAAAAAAAAAAAAAAAAACAATGTCCCGTCTTTGCACCCGATAGGGCGGGATGCTTTGTACTTCCTTGTTAATACACTATCGTGCAAATTGTTCGATCGCAGGCGGCAGCTTTGGGATACGCTGGCTAAATACCAGTGTCAGATTGGCGGCAATACTTTCTCGGAACTACTAACCCGCGGGGGTTTTCTAGAACAAAGCTGGATTGATTGCTCCACGTCCCCGGTCATTATTAATCTGTTGGGATACTACGTGGACGATCCCTTGATATTTCGTCCCTTCCCTTACTTCGATCTACCCCGCCGTTCCGAGTTAATGGCCGAGCAGGCTTGTGATGATGTCTGATCAGTTAGTTCCTTGTCTGGTTGTCAACATGATCATCAGAATCGAATTCAAATCCCATACCTCGGGCATCTTGGTTATGTTACCTTCCGATACCGACATAGTTGTCCCGGTAGATCACTGTCTGTGCAGGCGACGAAGAGATACTGAAGTGCAGAGATTCCCCGGCCCGGTTTTGAAGCCATATCTAGACCCCTACATTACCCAAACAGGCATGTCGACGGAGAACCCACACACATGATTCATTGTACTACTTCGTAGGCTGGAGTGGTGGGGGGAAACCAGCCCCTCCGGAGGAACAGACAATTGCGGAGACCGTTGAAACAGGTTAAACAGAGTCACAGAGCGCAAACATACCTGGAAACCACATTGTACATTGTGGCCTATTCACGAGGTATACTGAAGCCCCTCTCCTGCCACATGCCATACTTCACGAAACGTTGCGGGCATACGGACTTATTTCCTGGCGACCACCCTCACCACGGCACGTTGCTCGCCGTCTATGGACCGTAGTGGCTTGGTCTTTGATTGGGTGAGCAAGACATGCGGTGAAGTAGGTCTGATACAAGCCAAAGGCCTTGAAGTTGGCTGTCAATGAGCTTATGACAAGTTTCTGTGCGGTTTTAGCTAGGAACGAGCTTACTACTAATATCTTGGATTTACAGCACAGACGGCGGATAGCTAGCTCACTGAATTACTATACGCTAACGGTGCTTAACAGCTCCGTGGCGGCTGATCGGAGGAGAGTTCGGGGCAGATAGAAATGGGCGTGTCTACCATTGGGGGGAGTTTCATCCTCCGCCACTCAGTCAGTCGGCTACGTGGAGGATGCACCATCGCCATGTGTAAGTGACAGATGGCCTCTTTGGCAAATGCGTAGACAAAGCCCCGGGTCCTCGCTCGAATCTATTAACAGACCACGCGGGAAATGATACGTAACACAACCGACGCATCAGCTTCTCGTCAGCTAGGTATGCTCGGTACAACCAATGCGCCAGTGGCCACGCGCGAGGATGACGCTGCAAGTGTGAATATATATATGCCTTGAAGTAGTAAGTGCCGCGTCTCGACCAATGCCGGGGCGTACTACGTAGAGCGTGAGGATGTGTGTGTGTGTGACGAGCTCTGCTGCAACAGCTGGATAAGGACTAGACCATCGCCAACGCTGGCCCACTCCTTGGGCATCTTGTGCAGGGCAGGTATTGACGCCTTCCGTTTTGTCGCCAGAAATCGGACCGCACTACAGCCTACAGGCCCAGGCATAATCATGTGGTTCGTGGTTGGTATGCCGTCAATTGGTCCTCCCACGCCGTTTCGGCTGAGACCATGATGACCATGCCTGACTAAAAAAAGAGTCGCGTATGTAGACCGCTTAGGCTAGGCCGGCTTAGTTAGGAAGCGATACATGTCCGTCGCCAACACCGTTGTATGTCGGCATTCTGGGTGTCAGTGGTTGGTGCTACGTAAGGTTGGTCCCTCGGCGGTGGGTGCGTACGCGTGCTGGACCGTCTTCCCGACGTAGAGCGATAGACAGAGATAGACAGACATTGTTTTAGAAAAGAGAGAAAAAAGGAAGAGCCGCCACCCTGTTTAGCATTTCAGAAACGCTGTCGCACTGCTCCTCGCTTGGTCCCTCTCTCAAGAAATAAACCGGGCAGCGCAGATCCCTCATGATACTACTATACTATATCTATCACACAGTGGCGCCGGCAGCCTGTTACTGCACAGGCCGATGAAGGACTCCTGCACTGCAGCCCGCGAGCGTCTCGTCAATCAAGAAAGCAAACAAGCCTAATCTCAAAGACCGCCAGGCTCTGGTATGCGTTTTGCAAAAGAAATCCAGCTTGGTCTATTAGGCGCTCTATCTTGCCCAGCCGGTATGTCTCGACTCAATTGGCCGTTTTAGCGTCACCCCCATTTCCTACCACCAGGCAAAGGCCTGGACTTTTTCCAGTCGACAGCTGCATCCCACTTGATCAATACAGCTGACGTAGCCTTCTCGAAGGTAACCCTGCTTAGATCTGGACAGATCAATATTTCTGGCCGAGTGCGAGTCATTCCAGGGTGTCGAGACACAGCTTGTTAGTGGTGATCCAGCCTGCTTTATATTGATGCATGACAGATGATCGTGTAATACCCACTCCTTGTCTCTGGCCCCCATTGGACTTATAGATAAAGGAGGCCCAGCGTAAGAGATCATACATCTCATATTGCTGTTATTACCCACGCCGAATCATTATAGTGCAGCTTCTGTTGGTAAAGATTACTGGCCTCTACGGTGCCTTACCCTATCGATTGGATAGCCTAGCCGGGAATCGGGGATTTCAACAACGTTGTGATACTGAGGCGGCGTGAACATCCCTGCCTCCACCGAGTTGTGAGACCCGGTTAAGCGTTGCATCGTTCTCATAAAAATAGCATCATTCAGGTAGTCGAAATTGCGAGGAGATCATGTTCGGAGCCGTGCAAGGAGGCGTTGGAGGAGTCGGAGGAGCAGCGCCATTTTCCAATCCTTCCTCACACCCCTCGTCGGTCGAGGGACTCAAGAGTCGCGGCAGCGTGCAGCGTAGCAAACGCGAGCGGCACTCTACATTGGCAGCGCCATTCAAAGACGACTCAAGGCTGATAGCACTACGGTATGATCAAACCATCGCCTTAGAGCCCCCGATTCCTCTGCCGCCCCCTCGTTCACCCCGGCGACCGCCCCCTCGTGCCTCCTCCCTCAATCTCACAAGGCCTGCTGGGGTCACAAACTCACCTATTGTCGTGCCTCCTCCCATTCCGCCTCCCCGTCCTCCGCCGCCAACTGAGCAGCATCCCGCTCTACGCACCATCAGTACGCCCCGGACCTTTGACAGTCACGGAAGGAGAGATTCTGTGCACGCATCAATATCTTCTCACTCGTATGGCTCATACGTAAATGCCTATTACAGGGAGAACAGCAGCGACGAGGACGAGGACCCTTTTGCCTACGAGAAATACGGCGCGGTGTCCGGAGTGCAGCCGCTTCGATTAAAGTCCAATTCAGTTGGCTCGTCGATATACTCATATTACGAACGGGACTCTGGCTTCAGCCAAGAACAGAGCCGGGGCTACGTGCGACACGGAGAGAAGACCAGGAGAAAAGAAGGCACGCACGGGCGAGCGCGAGAACGAGAACGGGAACGGGAACGAGAGCAGGAGCAGGAGCGGGAACGGGGGCAGGAGCGAGTCAGCGAAGCAGACAGCAGGCCCAGCGAGTCGTCATTGTCGCCTGCACTTTCCGTCGGCAGCACAGCGTCGCCGGTATTGCCTGCATCCCCCGCGACCCCGCCGCCCCAGTTCTCGAGGCGGTTCAGGAGCTTCAGCCTGCGCACCGGCTCCTCGTACAGATCGTCGCCGTCGTCGCTAATGCGAATGCGCAAGAAGTCCACATCCACTGACGACGGGGAGGCGGCCGGGATGGGGCCCAGAAACGGGAGCTTGGATCTGGACGGGTCTCGATCGATGCGCATGTGCGCCGAGAGAGAGTGTGGTGGGAAGGGAGGTCTGGGAGGTCTGCACATGGACAATGACTCGAATGGCAAAGCCGCGGCCAGTAAAACCATGGCGGCCCCATCGCCCTCTTCCTTGTCGTCCTCCTCCACTTCGTCACCCCTGCCCCTCTCCCACTCGCTCTCCCATTCGCGGAGGCCGACTAACCCGATTCACTCAATTAATAACTCTAACCCCAGTGCCGTCCCAGGTCCTGCTGCTAGTCATGGACCGTCGTCGCCAGTTATCTCCACCAACATCCCCTGCGAAAGCTTCTTTGAGGAAGATGACTTAAGCAAACTCTCCTTTTCCATCCGCGGTAGCCTCATCTTCGGCGGCAAACGTCCGTGGAAGACAAGTGGCAGCACTAGCAGCGCCAATCACCATCAAAAGATGGCCGATAAGGCTGCGATCCCAGACCAGTCGACCTCTACCAATACCAAGATCAACTCCAGCGCCAATAACAATAACAACAAAGCTCGTGTCTTCCCCCTCGTCCCCACCGCGTCGAAAAGGGAACATGCCAATCCAGCGCCTGCGCGCCCCCCGCGCGAAGATGATATGGGCGTCGCCGCGATCATCCAAAAACCATTTCAACTTCCCGAGTCGTCGCACGCCCATCACCCCCAACAGCCGCCTAATGCCGTGAGCGATAACACATCCACATCCCATAAGCCACCCCCCAGTATTCGGGTCATTTCTGCAGAGGCCGAGAAGGAATCTCAAAAGGTGAGATCTCTCTATGAATCCGGGGAAGTTCTCCCATTCGGAGACGGTGACGTGCCTTCGCCAATTGGTGAGGCATTTGAGCCTCCCCAAGAAGTCCTGTCAGATGTGGTTGGCAATGACGCGTATGATTTCCTTGACTCTCCAAACTCCTTTCTGCCATTGATCGTGCTAACCAGCCTTGACTATGACAGACCAAGCGACCAAAGACTTGGACACCCTACTCAAACGTCGGCTTCTACGTCCTCGCTAGCGCAACAAGGTAATCGTGAACTAGCCGGCGGCATTGAGGACTGGGAGGGGGTAGATGGCCAAGATGTCGATCGCTACGGTTTTATTGTGCCCCATCGGCCAGAATCAAGCTCACCGCCCAGCACTGCAACACCACCTGGCTCTTCGCCTATCAGATATTCATCTCGGAAGAACAGAAACGTACTGATACGCAAGGATGCCGCGTCGCTTTCGGTGGGCGCTAAGCGCGGCCCTACCAAGAAGTTCTCAGCGCGATCTCTCAACACGCATACCTCCGAGGTTTCTGCTATGTCGCGCCGGTCCGTCCGATCTACTATTCGCCAGGCGACCAATAAGCTTCCCCACAACAGAGATAGGAGGTTGATCGACGAGGCTGGCGATCTACTTGCGCTGCAACCGGGACTCTCAAACATCACCGAAGATGAAGGGATTGACAAGATGATAGCCGAGATGAAACGCAAAGAGGGGAAACGCTCTGAGAAATGGCGAAAGATGGCTAAGATAGTGAAACCTGGTTCCGAAGGACAGGGTACAATCTTTCATTTTGATGCTAAGAACCCTAAGCTTATAGAGCGCACTTGGAAGGGTATACCGGATTGCTGGAGATCTGCGGCCTGGTATTCGTTTTTGGCCTCGAGCGCGAAGGCTGATCAAGTCAACTATGTATCTGATGAGGAGCTCATGGCCGCCTTCCGCCGTCTTGTTGACGAGCCATCACCGGATGACATACAGATCGACCTGGATGTCCCTAGGACTATCAACCAGCACATCATGTTTAGGAGGAGATATCGAGGCGGACAACGACTCTTATTTCGGGTCTTGCATGCCATGTCCCTCTACTTTCCCGATACTGGCTATGTCCAGGGTATGGCAACGTTAGCGGCGACCTTACTTAGCTACTATGACGAGGAACAATGCTTTATCATGCTTGTGCGACTTTGGCAGTTCCGTGGCCTCAACCGGATATATCAAACCGGTTTTGTTGAACTCATGGGCGCCCTAAAAGATTTTGAAACGCATTGGCTGAACGACAAGGATGTGGCAGAAAATTTGGTAAGTTGCAACCAAAGTCCTCGAAGGTTACGAATCTCCTAATTCTCTTTAGAAAGAGCTTTGCATCGATCCCACGGCCTATGCTACTCGATGGTACTTAACTCTATTCAATCTGTCAATACCATTTCCGGTTCAGCTTCGCGTTTGGGACGTCTTCATGTTGCTCGGCTCCTCTCCTCCCGAGCAGCCGCTACCTACTCCAGGGACAGGCAAGGAGACGGAAAATTATCCCACATCTAAGGGACTGGAGATATTACATGCAACAAGTCTTGCCATCATCGACACGCTACATTCGACACTTATCGACTCCGACTTTGAAAACGCCATGAAGTCTCTCACCTCGTGGGTCCCTATTAAGGACGAGCAGAGGTTCCTGGAAGTCGTGAAAATTGAATGGAAGAAGCACCAGAGCAAACAGAAGAAAAAGGCATAGGATGCACCTTTTCACGCTCTGGCCCTTCCATCATTACACGAATCTAATTCAGAGATTCTACGCCCACACTCTTCACGCACAACTAAGCCCAAGTGCCTAGACAGGCGATAAACACTCTATGCCATATTTAATGACCTTTATCGTATGAATGTCGATGAAGCGTTTCCTAATACTGTTCTACCTTCATGCCCAAGGGTTTTAAAAGCAAAATCCGTGCTGGCGACACATCGCCTTTTTTCTTTCTTTGCCGCCTTACAACCTGTTTTTATGCATTATACCTTTACGCATTATACCCTTACGCATTCGATTATACTCATAGTTGCTCTGCGTGTTTCATAGGACACGGAGTCGACTTTGGATTGCTCCACGAATATTCCCTTTGTTGTCAATTGGATGTGGTCTATTGCGGACCAGAAAGTATGGCGAATTATGATGCTATGGCTCCATAGGCGGTTCTTTTCTTGAGTTGGAGATGGGCTATGAAACATCAAATAGTTATGCACAAATAAAGTAATGTTGCACTTAACATAGGGTATTAAGTTATGATGATGTCGATGGAGATGTATTTGGCTTAAAACAAAGTTTATTGATGAAAACTTAATTGATTAACATCAATTTACCTACTGTGGTGAGTTACTTTTGAAACGCGGTTGTTATGGCCTGCTGGACTTTATCAAGTACTTGCCAGAAACACCAGTCCTAGCATTTCGATGATTACCAGGAAAGTTCAAAGCGCGAAACACTCATGCCGCAATGCTTTGAAATCAGGTCTCCGTCCACACACGGAAAAAGCGCAGGTGCACATATACAGAGCCCTTTCTGTTTGCTATAGGAAGCATTATCTTGAGATTACGGCGTTCTATTATCCGCTGAGAACTCTTTGTCGTTAATGAAAAGCGGAATCCTGAAATATCATCCAGATCACCGCCCACCTATACAGCCAATTTGCATTGAGACGCATTCACTTCCAAGTCATTTTTCACCGTTTCCTCAGAATGAGGCCCTAAAGGACACTTACAAGCATCTTCATTTCAACTTACACCCTAGACTATGCTCAATAGTAACCCTTTCATATGACGAAAAGGTGAATGAAACATCTACATAATGGCGCCACCAACAGATCTGGATCTAGATCCGGATGATCCTCCCCCTTCGTACGCCGAGGCCACGAGCACGAGCCGTCACCGTCATCGCAACAGCAACAACAATCAGATTGACGCCAGACGCTACACCCTTGCCACCATCTCAAGCACGATAATCCAACCCGTCTATGCTCATATCAGAAGCAGGATCGACGAACCAATCTTTCCCCAGGCCTTCTCCTTGTATTGCCAAAGCCTACAACACTATACGATTGGGGAGGGCCAGGTGTCGCCGCTCTATGCCGTTTCAACGCATGGGTTCGGCATGCGACCTGACATGGTCATTCACAGGGGCATTTCAAGGGATTGTACGTTATTTTCGTCTTTGAGTCATCCTGTGAAGCTACACCATTTTCATACATTTATATATCCCCATACACATACACAATACCCTTAGTAACCTCGTACGCTAACATCTTCCCCCCTTTTCCCCTAACCGTAGCGCCACCCCTAGCAACGATAGATCACCAACCATTCAGCCACTCGACAACCATCACGCTCCCAGCACGCCAAGGATCGGGGTTCCTCGTGGCTCATGAGCTCCTCGAGTCCGTCGGCGCGTTCACGCGGATCATGAGTTTCAGCATCGAGACGAACGCCTCGGGCCGGGGCAGAGAGCGCTTCGAGTGGCGGCACAGCCGCGGCTTCGAGGTCGAGACGCTCGGCGGGCGGCATTCGGGGTGGAAGCTCGTACGCGTGTCGAATCCGCCTCTGTCGATACTACACCCCTCGTCTCTGTATGCGCCCTTGAAGAGGAAGTATAGCAGCAATGTGTTAGGGCAGAGCAGCGACGGGAAAGAGGTTGTGGCGGTGTGGTCGGAAGTGAGTTGGTCCATAACAAAAGTCCTGCGCTTCAGATTCCTTGGGACAGGCGCGGATGGGTCGCTCGGGGATCGTTGGGCGGTCATGGCTGTTGCATCGGCATTGGCCATTTGGTATCGCGAGAGGAGGTCTACCAGTGCGGGTTTCTGATAATGGAGGATTGTTGTTGTGTGCGTTTCAAAGGAATTCGATTGAAGGACTTTATACATAACCGAGGGGGCCAAAAACCACGTCACAAAGTCTATATTTACATAATATTCACTTTCAATAGCAGTATTACCTGTCAACGGCCTGATCTTTGCTTGGTTTCAGCTATGACTCAAAAGTCTACACAGTGTATTCTCAATGCAAAGAAAATATCAATTGGCATAAAATCTATTACTGGAATGAAAATCTATGATTGAATAGTAAGTACTATTTGAGAGCAGACGGTGCAGGGAAAGGTTAAGTGCCGAATATCACTCGCCATCTCGACGTTCTATCATCTTCCTAAAACCGTCATAAATGAGCAATACGGTGCTCACTAGACACATGAGGACGAAGATAGTAAGATGGACAAGGTAACGACAAAGAAGAGGATCCCTACTAAGAAAGTTAGCACAATGCAACTTGTGTCAACTCACCTACCAATTCGACGGGCCATTCTCTCCATGAGCTCATCTACATCGTCCCATTGCCCCTGAATAGGTGGGCCATGTTGACGGCTACGACCACGTTCTGATCTACGCGAGCCAAAATCTGGCGCTGTTGCCATACCACCAACAATGGCATTCCTTCGCTGCAAGTTTGGCGGCTGTTGGCCCGTTTCAGCGTAGTGTCTCGCACTTCTTCGTGGTAGCCGTTGTGGTGGTGAAGCTGCCCTTGGGTCGTACGTTACCTGCACCCCTGACGCCAACTGGACTCTTTGACGAGGCCCATGAACATTTCTGCTCGATCTGAGTTCAACGCGATGCGCCGCTCCATTATTATCAATAAAAAGTATTTCAGGCTCTGCCTCATCATGCGCCGTTGCATTATCGCCAATAAAAAGTCTTGCAAGCTCTGCCTCATCAAAGAGAGGTCCGGGAGCGTCGTCTCCGTGATCGTCTGATGGGCTATCATCAGCGTTGCCATGGCGGCAATGCCGACATTTTGGGGGGATCTGTCTTATACACTTGGATATGGCTTTACGCATATTATTCATCCCAGCTTCTAGTGGTCTGAGGCTAATGTAATGCTCGCAATCGCGGTGCCATAGAGGCTCTCGGCAAGAAGGACAAGTTGCCGAATCCGAGGCTATGACCCAAGTCTGTACGTCCTCGAGACCGAAGGCGTGGCCACAAGGCAAAACTGTAAATGTCTCGAAATTCTCACCATCTGCGGGATCTGAGATAGCGAGTGACTTGCTGCAGATCTGGCAGTCTACTTTGAAGGAGACATCAGGGAGGATGTTGCCTTCAGGGGAAAAATGAGGTAACCAGTTTGTCGCGAAGTTATCCGTGATGCAGTTCTCAGACATGTTGAAAAAAGTTTACCTAAATCTGATTAACTGTTTCTGGTAGTGTAAATGAGATCTAGACGTACTTGATTTCTTCAGTTAAGCTTGTTCCTGACAAATATCTGAAGGTGGTGGTGCAGTTAGCTGCTTGTCCAATGATGAGGACTGTCTCGAAGCGACGTCAAGAACCTCTTAAATAACTTTCGATCTCGTGGGATTATTTGTTCATTGTTTCTAAACATGACAAAGGTATGAGCTTTCCAGAAGAAACAAGTCAATTAAGGCGCTCTCTCGTGGAACAAGCCCTTTGTTTGGCAAGAATAGTCCTTGTGTAGACATCTAAGGTAGAGCTTCAAGTATCGAGGAGCATAGTCTTGGTTAGGGAAACCATCGTATTGTCATTGATCTTCCGTATCTGTTTAATAAGCAGTATTTTAATTCTAGTGGTGTACACCCGGCACGTATTATGAGTATGCTATTCGCCTCCTTAAGCAAGTCCACAAGAGTGAAGATGGGGTACCTAATTGCTTCTCTAGCTACCCCAGCCCAATATTACCCTCTCTCCCTAAACACTAGCGACGGGCTTTGGGAACTCCTATCAGCTCCCTAATCAATCTATACACTATGATAATATAAGCTCATGCTTACAATCTGCAGCCTTGAAGGAATGCCGTCAACTGGTTCGAAAAGTTATAACTAGTTAGTCTGGGTAGAAATATTAAGTTCTCCTATACTATGCTGTTCTAACCCTCCCGCAAGGACCTTGTCTGAACCATTGTTGCGACCGCGAATCCAACCCAAAGACTTATGTCGTCGTAGACCCATCTTCATTGCTTTTCGGATAGGCGTAGGATTTCTCCCGTCTTCGGGTTGTTCGATCTTGATATTACCAGTGGATTTTGCTCGTTTGATAATGGCCCTATCTTGGCCTTCAACTATGTTGTTATCGTCACCCTCATCGAGCATCTGAGTCTGCACGCAATCTTCGTACGCACTTTGAAATCCCGCACTACTGAAAGGCTCTTGATTATATGGCCCAGAGCGGCGAACAAGGGCATGTGCAGGCGACAAGAACTCTGTAGGTGTCGAAAATTTAGTATTGTGCTGGATATCGGTCCAAGGGGTATTCTCGCTGCCAATCTGAAATTTATGGACCTCCTCAGCAATACGACTTGCTAGTGGACCTCTCGCACCGTCGTTACCAGATTGTCGCACGCAACGCTTTCCAGATATAGAACGGCGTTTCATTGTATCTATCTGTTGGTCCAGAGCTTGTACCTCTCGGTAGCTTTCTGCAGTGGGAAGTAGCTTGAGCTCTGGGTACTCCAAAAACCCATGAGACATCAGGGAACCCTGGGTTGTGAGTCCATGGTCAGGAGTGCGACCAATAGAGCCTGTGTGCATCATTTTGTTCCAGCTAGATTTCAGTGCCTTGCCGAGCTGGCTCGATATGTTTCTGGATGTTTCGGTCAAATCTGGCCCCATTGCCTGTTTATTGTCTGTTCTAGGTTTGGAAAGATCCGGGCTCGGTACAGCTGCAAAATCCCGAGCAATTACCCTATCCTTAGCACCAGCTGCTGCCGTTCTCTCCCGGCGTGTATGTGATGGCCATTTCGCCCATGAGGCGGGAGGAGTGTGCAGTCTCAGAGGCTGATCTTTGGGGACGTTATGTCTAAACTGAGCTTGACTTTCTCGTTGTACGGCCTCGGCCTGAAGCTGCTCTACCCACTCTTGAAAGACACCAGCATGTATGCCAACAGTCCTTCCAGCTTCAGCATCTTTCGTTCCGCCAATATCCTCCGGCACCGGAAGGGGATGTCTCGCCTTGTCTTTTCCTATACTCTTTTTACCGGTGGTTGTATTGATATCGAGGCATCGAGTCCCGGGATGGATGGCTTGAGCTTCGGAACTATTTAAGTCTGCTTTGAGGGCCGATACTTTGATGAGTCTACCTTTCAAACGTCCAGTGTGGTGATCCGCTCCTTGGTTCTTAGTACGTTGCCGGTGGCCTGTGGCTTCCTCTTGGGTTTCTGTGTAATATGTCAGTCAATGATAGTGACCACGCATAGCGAATCCACGCGAATTGATGAGTGACGCAATTAGCTCTTTCCAACTAGGCAACTCCCACTCCCCATATATTTCAAGGAAGGATATGATGGATTTTGGGAGCTCACCAGGGACCGTTTTGGAGGGTAGACAATGTTCCTGATTCGAGTCTATCGCGGATAGCTGTAACTTCTGTGACTTTCGGCAATCTACCAGGTGCATTCCAATCTCTTCGTTACTTTTGTTCAATCCCATATGCGAGCTCGGCATTCTGGACTTTTTGGGGATTGCAAGATATAATTTGGACAGAATCGAACTTTTACCAATACTTGAATCTTTAGAATCATCAAATTCCTCTCTGAATTTGCTACGCACTGGTGTCCTGGGATATCGGCGCGCTGGTGTGAGCCCAAACCGTTTCTCAATCGATTTTAGCTCCTCTTCTCTCTGCCGAAAACTTTCTGTTTCTGAAGCATTGATGGACAATGCCTCAGCCATGCCAACCCGTGTGAACTCTGGATCAGTTTTGGTATGATCTGATGATGGCATTTTGTTTAGAGCTGTTCGATATGAGCTGCCTGAGTTCTCACTATCCGTTACGTTATATTGACTGACGGATCCTTCGTTGTGTCAGCTTAGTACAGTTCATCTGAGTTGTTACTCACAACCTCACTTACCTTGAGCTGAAGAAAGTGGCTGCAGTATCTGGCGATTTCCCAGAAGCTCTGTTAGGCTTTGATGCGAGTCCATTGGTGCAGCCTGTTGGCTATTTGGCCTGGTGGTGTATCGAGATGACGTATAACGTGAGGATACGTCTTGGTCCTGATCCTCCGTAGGTGTCGATGCTGTGTCAATTACATTATGTATTAGGTTAGAGGGATGATACGATACAATAGATTCATTGCCAGTGATCTGCTCTGGTGTCATCGGCCAAGCGCCTGGGGGGTGCTCTCGTACAATCGAACTGGAAGCAACAGTCTGTTCCGTGAAGATCGAATGACTTGAAGACTTTCCTGAATACTGCTGCCCTGCAGCTCTATCTGTGATATCACAATTGTTTGAGCTTTCGTGTCCTATCTCAGGATCTGAGCAGCTTGATGAGTCCGAAGCGCAATGTACGTTCTGACTCCGTAACCACACATCCATTGGTGAATATCGGCCATCTGTCGTCTCAAAAGAGTCGCTAGAGATATCCCTGTTTTCACTGTCCTCTTCGAGGTGGGTATTTTGACCAGTTTGCATGGCTTGGCTTGTTCCAATCATTCCGTTTTGCATGGCAGGCTTGATATAGTAACTAGTGGCATCTGTTTCGGATGCCTGGGTTGTGTTATTGTCTAGCTTGGACAATGAGCGTTCTGGTAGTAGTGATTGAGGACGAGAGGCTGCTCTAGCCTCTACTAATGGTTCAATATAGCTTTCTATGTGGATCTCGCTGTAAGACAAGCGCCATGAGGCAGTAGAGGGGGATCCACGACCACTTCCTCCCAATAGATGAACAGGGGTAAGATGCGGAGATGATTGGGGCTGAACAACAGAGTCGACTTTGTTGAGTATGTTGTATTCCTGACAAGAGTTGTCGATAGATGCTTTAGGTGACTTAGAGTGGTGGCTTCGCTGTTGGAATGACTCTTGCGGCCCTGTAATAACAGGGGTTGAGGGAAATGGTGTCCCTGACGGTGTGTGGATCTCCTTTATAGGTTCTTGATCGTCGACGGCAGAAACAGAGAATTCAATTGTATCTCTGGGACCACCTCCGGGAAGCTCAGACTCTCTGCAATCATTGATGACAGGAGGCTTGAGAGGTGAGAGCCCCATGTTATTGTCTTCATCCTCCTCTTCCTCTTCTTCACTTTTCAGCTCGTCTTGAATTCGTTTGTGCATTAGACGCTTAAGCTCTGCGCGTCGGGCAAGTTCTTCATCACTAGTACCAACAGAGGGTCCAGAGCAGGCCTTGGAGTCGGCTCGGTGGGATAAACGCCGAATAAACTTTGTTCTGAATGATCCCAAGGCAGTCATGTTTGGCTCTCGAGTGTTTCTGTCTGGACCCTCGTCGTCGGAGTCTTCTACGTCAACGGCTTCTGGATCGACAATATTATGGTAGGCGGGGATGATCAGCTGTGAAGGGCCCCGGGAGGCTAAGATGGATGACAGATACATATCAGTGTCAGATCGTGACAGCGTCTTAGACAATCTTGCACGAGGTGGCTGGATAGGCAGTTCAAGGGGCTCTGTTTGTGTCTTTTTCTCGGACGACTGGTGATTACGACAACAACAGAGGATAGACATTCTCATGGAAGGCCATTGAACACAGCGTTAGAAGAGGACATGTAACATTACGCATGTGTTGAAGCGGCCAACAGTTGGGAGAAACAGAGGTGTCGAAACGTGAGAGCAGGTTGTCGGGGCTCTTGTCTACAGTCCATACTGTGGCATTGCCCTACCTGGAAGCGACTGGACTGCCGCTGCCTCGGACAGCATACACGTTAGGAGAAGGAGCTAGGGGCTTTCGATATCTTCACCATTACATACTAGATAGGTCCCTAGGCAGGTGCGCTGTAGGCGTAGGCACCAAAGCAGGTAAGGACGTCGGCAAGTGAGAGCCTCCTGCCACCGAGCACTTGGAAGCTCTTTGGGGAGGAAGGAATAAGGGGCAGACACAACATTGGAACCGATTCACAAGAGTTGGTGGTCCTGGTGATAATTTCCTCTCTTGTTACAGCAACTCGCTGGTCTGCGCCCATGTGCCATATCAATTCTATCGGAGACGTAGCTAGTCTACAAATATAAAGAGGTCTGTAGTATGGTTGGAGCTGTAGAGCTATGTGTGTAAGACTTGCTCTGCATGAACGTTAGCTATCTATGAAGAAAGACGGCACCCGGTTTCAATAGGATTTGATTCTATAAACCCATTTCATTGTGAGCTATCGCTCGGTTTATGGAGGTCTGAACAAATAACTAGTATAGTTGATCATTGACTGAAGTTGAATCATCGCTTTTCGGGGCCCGGATGGCTTGAACTAAATATTCGTTTAGTTTCTTGAATCAATGAAACAATTCATGTAGTCCAATTGTGGAATTCGAAAACCTCGATGCAGAAACTGACTCCAAAGCACGATATATGGCCGTTCAGTCAAAGATTGATCTAGCAGCGCTAATTACCCCGACGCTAGACTAGATCCGCCATCGGTAGCGTTCATGTACGACCTAGAGCTCGAAAGCAGATAGTCAAAGCCTGTTAATTAGATCGAATTTATAAAACGAGGTTATCTATATTAAACTCATAAACATTTTACTGATCATTGAATACTTTACTAAAAGTTAGTTTATAGTGAGACTAGATTTGAAAGGCTTGGTCTGCCATGTCAAGTGCAAAGTGCATACATATATGTAAGATACCTACCTGGCGTGATAGGATAAGCGAGTTGTGTTGATGCGAGATTAGCACAGGGATTCTCCTCTTCAAAACCATTCTTGCGTACCCATAAGATGATACTTGGGTCCGCACGATCTATCCGTACTGATTGAGCAGCGGCATCTAGCCCAAGAACTCATTGTGTCACCATACCTTGGCTTTCGCCTACTTGCAACATCTCAAGAGTAAGAAGTTGGCCCGCGAGTCAATAATTACATCAATCATCTGTTGAGTTATATAAGGAATCTGCACTGGCCCAGCTTGGTTGACCGTCGAGCTTTGAATGAAGGAGGGCATAGAATGGGCTCTGTGATGTCTTTCGCTAGAGGCGACTTGTTGCTTGTTTTTCTAGCTTTGGCGTTATATGTAGTGCGTCGAGCTATACTTCCCAAGCCGCTGGCTGGCATCCCGTATAATCGCGATGCCGCCCAAAAATTGTTCGGCGACGTCCCTGAGATGATGAGTTATGTCATGCGCACGAAACGAATATTCGTGAGTCTTCAAAAAACAGCCATCATAGCGGATCTGACTGTTTAACCATAAAACAGTGCTGGCTTACCTCACTCACTACACGGCATCAAAGTGTTATTGTTCAGGCATTCATTAAACCGGGATCGCTACCGTGGGTCGTGGTTACAGACCCCTTTGAGGCGCAAGATATTCTCTTAAGACGGAAAGAATTTGACCGCAGTGGCTTCTTCGGAGAGCTGATCAGCGGCATTCTCCCTGAGCAGCACATTCAATTCTTGTCGACAGATGCGCGCTTCAAGAACAATCGGAACCTTATCAATCACCTTATGGCCCCAACTTTTATCAGCAAAGTAAGTGCACCAGAGGTGTATAGATCAGTCTGCACCTTAATCAAGGTATGGCAGGCCAAGTGTGACAGAGCGAAGGGTCGGCCGTTCTCGGCTCATCATGATATAACATACGCAGCCCTAGACGGCATATTCGCCTCTTCATTTGGACTGCCTGAAGCGGAGAGCATTACGATCCAGCGTCTCGCAGCCGTGTCGGAATGGAAACCTGACTTAACCTCTGATACTGATCAGCCGGTCCAATTCCCAGACAGCAAGATCCCTGAGACATTCGCCGCGGTTTTGACATTAGCAAACTCAGTGACGGACACACAATTGTCTCCAGCCCCTATCCTCACCTCATGGGTATTTCGAAAGCTCCCGTACATGAGGAATGCCACAGCTATTAAGGATAGCTATATTCGGAATAAAGTAGACGAATCAATAGCTCTGATAGACAAGGGCAATGACGAGCCTCGCAGTGCCTTACACTCTGTTTTGCTACGCGAGAGGGAGGTTGCTAGCAAGGAACGTCGTCAACCAAATTACCACAAGCGGGGTATTTATGACGAGTTCTTCGGCTTCATGATGGCTGGGCACGATACTTCGGCTACCACCGTGGCCTGGGGAGTCAAAATGTTGACTGATAATCCCCATGTTCAGGACAACCTACGCACGGCTCTTCATACTGCGTTTCCCCAAGCCTCCCAAGCAAAGCGAGCCCCTACTTACCCAGAGATCGCCAAGGTGCACATTCCCTATCTCGATGCCGTGGTTGAAGAGGTGCTCCGACACGCCAACACCATCGCATTCGTAGTGCGCCAGGCCCTACAAGACACAACCGTGCTCGGACGTCACATCCCTAAGGGAACCGATGTATTCTTGATGGCTAACGGCGCCGGGTACTTGGAGCCCAACATGAACATACTAGACAGTGTCCGTAGCCCTGGGGCGCGACGCAGCGAAAGAAAAGCCCTCACAGGTGTCTGGAACGACAAAGACATTGGCACATTCCGACCTGAGCGCTGGCTCAAGACAGACGCAGTATCTGGCGTGGTGACTTTCGATCCTGCATCTGGGCCCCAACTTGCTTTTGGACTAGGACCGCGCGGGTGCTTCGGCAAGAGACTGGCGCTGCAGACCCTTAAAATGCAATTTGTACTGATTATCTGGCACTTTAAGCTGCTTCAAGTACCGCTTCACTTGGGCGGGTACGATGCTGTACAGAAGTTTGCGAGAGAGCCGACACAATGTTACGTGCGGTTAGAAAACGCGCTCGTATAGATCAGCCAGTGGTGCAAAAGATCGAATAGCCCCTATTCTAGGCTGCGTAGGATTGGATGTAGGTCTATCACCTCAAATTGCTCGATCAGCTGGCATTAGCATAGCCAATTCGAGTGTCGCAGCCTAAAGGTCTTTGGTATATGTTAGACTCTTCACTCCGTAGGTACCCCTATATATTGACCTGCCGATCTCCTCTTGAACAAAGTGATACGTGACGCCCTTTCGAACTAGATGTTGTTGCTGATACCATCGCCATGCCTGTTCAAATTTAAGCGAGATGGGCGGTGTATACTTTCGGGGTTACAGCACAGAATAGGGCACACCCTCGTTTTTGTGTGTGCTGTCAGCTCAAATATGTACGTGGTGGCATCGTCTTTTGATCGTAGAGAGAGAGGATAATATGAAAAAGTAGTCATCATATGTAGCAATGCCTAGTACCACCTGCCTACATTTACAGAGGTGAGGCTTGAAGTGCTGTACATTTACAGATGGGCTGTCTCAATCCTCAACTTGGCATCTCTTATTGATTCCTGGTATTAAACCTCTTTAGGCGTAGTGATATGCCCACATCATGTATGGGAGAGTCTGGTAGAGCAAAGGTAAGGAAGGTGTACTTTCTCCAAGGATGAGTTCTCGACCCCCAGTGGACTGTAAGTAAGCTACCTAGGTAGGTACCCACATACCCGATAAGTCCCCGAATCGGTTGTGCTTTGTTCACGGCCGATGTAGGTGGGCAACTAAACTATCCTCTCTGTACTTAGACTACTAGTGACATGACTACGGCAGGCAAACCTATGGGCCAAGATGTAAGCTGTCCAGGCACTGATATGTAGGCAGGCCTTCAATGAGACGTAATCACGCATGGTCGTGCACTAATGGCCTCATCCCGAAGCAGACCGAAGGCAATGTGTGGCCAATACAGTAAGTCGGCTTGTCGGTCGAACCAGATGGATCAAGTGAGAAGAAGTATGTACTATGTAGATCTTCCAACCTTACCTAGTGTTCGCCGCCTAGACACACACTGCTTATCAGACTCCTACAATGATCCCTTGAATACGTAGCACTTCCTAAGTAGAGGAAATGCCTACACCGTGTTTTTTTCTTTTCTTTTCAAAGTTCTGACTGTTAATACCGGCATTATGAGAGCCTGGCTATTGAGCACTCGCAGGCGGGATGAGGGGGCGGTGAGAATGCGAAGGGTGTTGGTGTTTATATCTCACTTCAGCCCCCTACATTACCTAACTGTGTGCAGTCAATGAATTCTAGGTTGTTGAAGCATTGCTCAACAGGTTAAGGTACATACACATACATACATACCATAGTACATAGCTAACTACATAGTAAGTCCTTAGCTACTATGTACTCGTAGAAATGTTAGCCGTCGATGGACCATGGTTGGGCAATAGCCGGGGTCGAATCAACGCCGGCCGGCCCGGTGATCTTACATACCAACAGCTTCCTTAGTTCTGTCCTTAGTTAGTAGGTGCCCTTGTCTGCCTTGGTATCTTTGGTATCTTGAGTATCTCCGCCTGCCCGCTTTCGGAGTCGGGGCCTCTTGCATCGAGCAAGGGCGCGCTAAGTGGAAAAGATTTGCTGACTGTGGAAAAGAAAGGCCAGCCTCCCACAAACAGACACAAAGACCCCTCCTTCAAGCCAACCCAGACCAGACCAAACCCCTCCATCGCGCTGCATGAGGCACAGTGACACAATCCCCACTAATAGCTGCTCTTCCCGGCTCCAATTGGCCCCTTGAGCTCCGAAAACCCCTCCTTCGCCGCTGCTTAGTCTTACACGCCAACCGCTGGTCAACCACTGGCAGCTTGACCTGTTCTTCGAGGAATTACTTATCTTCGCATTCCCTCCTCTTCAGATCCTTTCTTCCCTTCTCCTTTTTCTCTTTCTTCCCCCAGATCCCTCCATACATCTCATATCACCAGTATCCCTATACCCTGTTGTTGTTTTTGGTAGCAGCAACTGTATCTCTTTTTCTCTTGGTTGAGCAATTAGAGAATTCGGACGTGGAAGTGTGCTGTTTCTATCGTAAGCAAGCCTCTACTTACCACCTACCTTTCTTTCCCCGCCTTGCCCTGGCCATTGGTCTCTCGCTGACATTTCTCTGTGCCCTCCAGAAAACTCTTTCACACGCAGATCTCCCGGGCCACCGTCAAGATGGTTCAATCCGCCATTCTTGGTTTCCCCCGTATGGGTGTGAACCGTGACCTGAAGAAGGCGACTGAGGCTTGTGCGTACCCCAGCTTCCCCGATAATAAATAGTGTTTATGCAGCCACTGACTCGTGCATAAAGACTGGGCTGGCAACCTTTCCCAGGCTGACCTCCTTGCCGAGGCCAAGCGTCTTCGTCTCGCCCACTGGAAGATCCAGAAGGATGCCGGTGTCGATGTTATTCCCAGCAACGACTTTGCCCTCTATGACCAAGTCCTTGCCCACATCCAAGACTTCGGTGTAAGTAGAGGCCGTTAATACACCGATTAGCTTTACTACATTTGCTGACCCGTCGCTGTTCACAGGCTGTCCCCGAGCGTTACTCAGGCGCTGGTCTCGACCGCATCGATGAATACTTTGCCATGGGCCGTGGCCACCAGAAGGGTGGTGTTGATGTTCCCAGCTTGGAGATGGTGAAGTGGTTTGACTCCAACTACCATTATGTCAAGCCTACTCTCCAGGACAACCAGAAGTTCACCCTCACTTCTAGCCCCAAGGCTATCAACGAGTTCAACGAGGCTAAGGAGGCTGGCATTATTACCCGGCCCGTTCTCGTTGGTCCTGTCTCTTTCCTACACCTCGGAAAGGCCGACCGTGGCCAGAGCGTCGACCCCATTGATCTCCTTGACAACCTACTGCCCGTCTATGAGCAGCTTTTGACCCAGCTCAAGCAGGCTGGTGCCGAGACTGTCCAAATTGATGAGCCTGTTCTTGTATTTGATCTTCCTGCCAAGGCCAAGGCTGCCTTCAAGCCTGCCTACGAGAAGTTCGCTAGCCTCGGTGACAAGATCCCCAAGCTTGTCTTCACCACTTACTTTGGTGATATCGTCCACAACCTTGAGGCCGTACCCAAGGACATCTACGCCGTCCACATTGACCTGGTTCGCAACCCTGAGCAGCTAGACACTGTTGCTAGCGCTCTTGGTCCCAACACCATCTTATCAGCTGGTGTCGTTGACGGCCGTAACATCTGGAAGACCAACTTCAAGCGTGCCATTGAGACTGCTGAGAGTGCCATCCAGAAGCTTGGCAAGGACCGTGTCGTTGTTGCCACATCAAGCTCTCTCCTTCACACCCCTCACACTCTTGCCAGCGAGAAAAAGCTGGACCCTGAGATCGCCGATTGGTTCTCTTTCGCCTCAGAGAAGGCCGTCGAAGTTGCCATCATTGCCAAGGCCGTCACTGAAGGCCCTGCTTCCGTCAAGGAGGCTTTAGAGGCCAATGCCAAGTCAATGAACGCCCGTGCTACATCCAAGCGCACCAACAACCCTGAGGTTAAGGACAGACAGTCCAAGATCCAAGCTTCCGACTACAACCGCAAGTCTGAATTCCCTAACAGAATCTCTCAACAAGAAGCCAAGCTTAAGCTTCCTCTATTCCCCACAACTACCATTGGATCCTTCCCCCAGACCAAGGAAATCCGTATCCAGCGAAGCAAGTTCACCAAGAAGGAGATCACTGAGGCTCAATATGACAAGTTCATTGAGCAGGAGATTGACATGAACGTCAAGATCCAGGATGAGCTTGACCTCGACGTCTACGTTCACGGTGAACCTGAACGTAACGACATGGTTCAGTACTTCGGCGAGCGCCTCGATGGTTATGCCTTCACTACCCACGCTTGGGTTCAGAGCTACGGTTCTCGTTGCGTACGACCTCCTATCATTGTCGGTGACATTTCTCGCCCGGCTCCTATGACCGTCAAGGAGTCTAAATATGCCGTCTCCGTGTCCAAGAAGCCCATGAAGGGTATGTTGACTGGTCCCGTCACCTGCCTGCGATGGTCTTTCCCCCGTGACGATGTCCACCAGTCCGTCCAGGCTGAGCAGCTAGCTTTGGCTCTCCGTGACGAGGTCGTTGACCTCGAGAAGGCTGGCATCGATGTCATCCAGGTCGATGAGCCTGCTCTTCGTGAGGGTCTTCCCCTGCGAGCTGGTAAGGAGCGTGAGGCTTACCTTGAATGGGCTGTCAAGGCTTTCAAGCTCTCTACTGTCGGTGTAGAGGACTCTACTCAGATCCACTCTCACTTCTGTTACTCCGAGTTCCAGGACTTTTTCCACGCCATCGCTGCACTTGACGCCGATGTGCTGTCCATTGAGAACAGCAAGTCTGACTCCAAGCTGCTCAGCGTTTTTGTTGATGAGGCTTACCCCCGCCACATCGGTCCTGGTGTCTACGATATCCACTCGCCTCGTGTTCCCAGCGAACAGGAGATCAAGGACCGCATCGAGGAGATGCTTCAGTACTTGAAGCCTGAGCAGCTCTGGATCAACCCCGACTGCGGTCTTAAGACTCGTCAGTGGAAAGAGACCAAGGAGGCGCTGGTCAACATGGTCAATGCCGCCAAGTTCTTCCGCGCCAAGTACGCCAAATAAATGGCAGTTTTGCCTCAATACCCAAGTCTGCGTTCGGTGAGCGCATGACATTTTGTTTAAAAATTTCTTTTGTTTAGCATTACTGCGCCGGGCCGGGCACTTGCCTTCTCGATTTCAACATCGGCGTTCTCATGGTGTGGGTTTTCATGAAACTGTCATATACCAAAAAGTCATACAGGCAAGCCAGGCGGCTGGGAAACGGGAGCATTCAACAAGCATTTAAAGCGGCGGGAAAGGAAATATGATACCACGGTCCATCAACCGGACCTGGGGAGAAAGGCGTTTACTGGAATTTGGTTAGCATATTCCGGCGAGGCTACTACTGTTGCCTTGTTTGTAGAGATAGTAGTTGTCACGAAGAAGCTGATCCCAAAACCCTTCAACTGGGTAGGGATTGAAAAGACAACAATAATTGACATTCGAGACGGCGACAGCTGTTTTCTCGATGTGAAACACCATTTTTACTTTTCTCCTCATGCCCTCGTGAAAGAAAACAAGTTTCATTTAAACCATCCCTTGTAGTCTGAATTTGAGTTGAGCTACGTTGAGTGCCTTGAACTCATACCTTGAAGTGCGATAGTCTGAGTGCAAACCTGTAGTGGACTTGAGAGGCTAGCGGAAGCGTAGGTAGTGAAAAATCGCAGGCGATCCCCCGCACCGCTAAATAGAAGGAAACCATCGGGTTGCCTAGCCTCATTGCCTGGCCCCAATAGGGAGGAAGAACATCTCTATGGTAAACTGCATAGCTTACTTGATGGGCAATTTGGCAGACAAGAATAGACGTGTAGATCTAGATAACAGTGCCTATTGCATTTAAGATAGGTTATGGGCTATGAGAACCATTCCATCGCTCATCATATCAGCACATTAGTATTATGCGTAAGTGTGTTAAAAAAAAAAAAAGAAAAAAAAAAAAGCTCATCGACGGCATCTTACTAAGGACTAGGTAGGATAGCGGGGGATGGATTATGGTAGGTATTAGTGTAGACATCCGCCCGCTTAGCGAGAAAGACCCTATTTTTACTGTCTGTCGAGTTGTCAAGTACCTAGGTGGACGATTCTCGAAGGGAAGGGCCAAGTTCGTAGGCAGGATGGGCTAAGCTACTTGTAGGCATATTTTACGTGCGTCGTAAGAATAGCTTACTTAGCTAGATATTCTGCGACATATAGGTAGGTATGTCCGTAGGTACATACATACGGCATACAGATTCCGATGGGTACAATATCGTGGACCAGGATTTCTGGGAGCGAAATATGGAATCCGACGGATTAGCTGAGGAAATCTCATTTACTTGTCTCATCTCTTTGTTCTCGTGACTGAAGTAGGTAACATCGTTACCGTTTGGTGGTGATAAGACAAGCCTGTGGTGGTGATAAGACAACCTTGTGGTGGTAGTGGGCGGGTAAGAGTAGCGAGCGGCTGGTTGAGTTGGTTCGTTTTGACCCGGAAAGAAAGCTGTCTCGGATCAAACGAAAAAGGAACTGCTGAGACAACGAGGAGAGACATTTGATTGATACCTACATACCTAGTGTGGGTGTGTACATGTGAGTAAGTATGTAGTGTAAGTTTTAAACAAGAGCCACGGGAAAGAAAGAAAGAGAGAGACAGGAGATTGAACCTGTGTGTTGTACTAAACGTGGCATTGGGCAATTGATGACAGGGACTCGGTGTGGCGTAGGGCCAAGTTTGTTGCGTTGTTGTGGTGCGCTGGGAGTATTCTGGGCATCCGTCAACCTCTTTTTTTTTCTCTCTCCATCTTTTCTCAGCCGACCGTTCCTATTCGCGCAACCTCTTCGCTCCTCTAGCATACCAAGCAAAATACCTTAGCGACGGAGGGTCCTTTTGCAGCGCTTACAGCACTACTGCGTAATTACAGTAAGTAAGGGTGTGGCGAGGCTCTTTTTGTTTTGTATGAAGGGTCAATCACCGACTTGTCTCAACAAAAAGCTTGAAATGAGTGTATCGCAATCGTAGATCAAGCGTTTCGTCGGCGTTCTTTCATAATACTAATCTTGTTGTTCTACCCCGGGCTGGTTTATATTAAAATCTTATAAGTTATAATTACTAAGATAAGTAGGGTACCTACTCTAGGTACCTACCTACATAGTAGTACTCACCATACTGGCTGTTGTTGTTAGTGCTCATGGCATGCATCCCTCTGCATGATGACAGAATCAGAAATCTGACAAAGGATCCCCAACTGCAAGCAAAGACCGAGAAGACGGTGTGTTCAGTGTTCCGAGTGTTCTGGTCTAGGCCATTACCAAGTGGGTGGCGTTCCCCGTCTCAACCCACTCAGGATTGCCGTAGTGTAAGTAGTGTAAAGTTGCAGTCCCGAGTATCGCGAGAATATTCACACTCCTAAGTATGACTAAAGGAATAAAGAAAGAACTCGTGGTTAGCCATTGTGTGTTGTACACGGCACTAAAATTGTCGCAATACCGGGGGCCTTGGTTGTACACTACACGTGGTTGCGACATGGACCGATGAAAGCAATATCGCCAAATTGGCCTCAATCTCCGACTGCAAATATTCCCCGGGATTGCTCAGGAGGAGAAAGCGAGCGAGTGCCAACCTGGGAAAAAGGGTCTCGGAGGGGATCCATGGCAAGCATGGTTACCTGGTTTCACGAAGCAAGGCCTTTGCGCCTACTGCCGGGTTGCTCCGTGGCTGGACAAGCGTCATGGAGGCCCTGTTTGTGCCGTTTCATTGAAACGCCCGAGAGAGATTAGACGAACGAGTTTTATATCAGTGGAAAATGCTTAAGTACGTGGAGATATGTATTGACATCTGCACTGATGTAATAGAAAACCGATCAGCTTGAACGGCGAGAGCGGGTGATCGCCTGCCTACCTCATGGCTACGTAGATTAAATTAAGTATGTGCATGAGATGAGATGTTCAGCCGGCCTAGTGCGCTGTTCGTTGATGGACGTCCATTCATTGCCAAATCCCCGGTCAGCTAGCTATCGCAGGTCGTGCAAATCTTTTTTCATTCTCGCAGCTGGGCTGTAGTGGTAAGTATGCAGACAAACGATGGATCACGGTTTGCAGATGTTGGCTGGACTTCTTCTTCTCTCAATGGCCAAAGGCAGGCTTGGCGAGGACGGCCTGTCCACGTCCGGAGCTTCTATTGGCGGGGGTTCGTGTTTCACGATGGTGTACCTGCATATGCTATCGGCAGGGGGGGAGAGGGGGGTTCATTTTCCTTTTTTTTTATTTTTTATAAGAGATGTACTTACCTAGGTACTTAGTGTAGTCTGTGTACATATATAGGTAGTGTAAGTACACACTCTGTACACACTTTGTTCATACTTAAGCTGGGCTGACGGGCTGGGACGTGGGTCTCAGGGGCAAAGGCGCCACGCCGTGCTCAGTAACCCTGCGCTGGGCAAATCCATCGCCCAACCTGCTTCGACCCTCTCCCAGACTCTCCCCCCTCGTCAGCCCTCATCAAACGCTCGTTTTTGCTCCTCTGCGCCGCTACTCCTCTTCACCCGAACGCTAAGCTTAAGTGGTCCACAACCCTGCGAGGATATTGCAGTGTAGTACTTAGTGGAGGGAGGGAGGGCTGGACATTCGGTGGAGAGTGTGTGTGTGTGTCCGAGGTACCACTACACCATGTCTTGTATGCGCGTGTACTTGATCGTAACATTGCGTGGATATGTGTGGATGTGTGTGTGGATGCGTGGAGAGAAAAGAGGTTGGGTTCTGGTTGGTGTGCCTGGTCTGCCTGGGCTGGGATGGTGGCGGGATGGTGACATTGATCAATGATGAGTGGCTGCTCGTCGACTGACCTGACTGTACCTGCATGGGATTGGGTTCCAGGTATCGAGTAAAAAGGGCTGCTGTTGGGGATCCCCTCTCTTTTCCCTTTTCCTCTCTTTCTCTCCTCACCTCTTGCGTGTTCTTTATTCTTTTGGGTCTATCTCGAGTCTCTCCTTTTCCCCTTCGACGCTGTCCGTCATTTACATTCATTCCCTGCCTAGCCAGCCGCCTTCAATTCTTTTGCGAACTTAAGCAACTGTGTCTGCTCAGCTACCGCGGAATCGACTTTCGCTTTTTTATCTCGTATTGCACTTTGCAGACGTCCACTCCTTTTGACGACACTCGAACTATCATTCTCTATCCGAGACTAGACTGCTCAAGTAAGAACCGCAGATCCCAAGAGATCCAAGTTGTTAGAGTCCAAGTGAACCCACACCCTCCAACAACACTGGGAAAAGAAAAAGAAGAGACTATCAAAATGAAGTCCACTACTGTTGCATTCGGCCTGTTCGCCGGCCTTGCCTCTGCATACAACCACCACGCTCGTCATATGCACGCCCCCTATATTCGACGAAATGACACTGCCGCCTATCCCTCCACTACCTTGACTGTGGCTATCACCAGCACTCACACCATCACTTCATGTGCTCCCACAATCACCAACTGCCCTGCCAATGCCGACAATTCGACCGGCCCGGTCACCATCACTGAGGTCATTGACTTGACTACTACTGTCTGCCCTGTCGGCGATGCTACCTCCATCTCCAGCTCTGTGGTCGATGCCCACAGCAGTGGTCTTGTCACCGGAACAACTCATATTCTCACCAACACTGATAACAGTCCCGCCCAGACCCCAGCCCCCAGCTCTGGTGCTGACTTGACTGTCTATCCCACTGTCTCCACTGGTGACTCGACCTTAACTTACACTGTTGGTCCTGAAGGCTCTCAATCAGTTACAGTCACGACCATCCACTCTACGTTCACTCAGTTCGTCACCATTACTTCCAGCCCTCTGCCCAGCTCTGGCTCTGAGTCTGGCTCTGATGGTTCTGATAACGGAAGTGATGTGACGACTGAAGAGGGCACTACTACTACCACCAGGACCACAACCTCCACTCGCACTGTCACTGTTCCTGGCCACTCAGCCACCGAAACTGTTATCGGCTCTGACAACTCTGGCTCTGGCTCTAACCCTGGTTCCGGTTCAGGGTCCGGCTCCGGTTCCGGCTCTGGCTCTGAGGGCGAATGCTCCCCTGTGACTGTTACCGTCACTGAGTCCGCGCCCGCCAGCACCGTTTACATCACTGTTGGTGATAACGCCTCAGGCTACCCTACCGGCATCAAGGTTCCTTCCGATGCTGCTACCCCCACAGCTGTTGCTACCCCCACCAGCACAAACGACAACAGTGGCAACACTGGTAATGAGGGCGAGGGTGATGACGAATGCCCTCCTGAGGAGACAGAGGGCGATGTCACCGCTACTGCCACTGCCACCGTTGTCCCCTACCCCACTGGCAGCGCCAACGGCACTCTGCCAACCAATCTTCCCGTTGGTACCGGCTACCCCGTTTACAAGCGCAACGCCCTCTACTAAGTTAACTCTTATTTGTAAGACGGGAGTTTTGATTCGAGGACAGGGTCCAACAGGTTCGATTCGATTTTGTACTATACCCGGGTCAAGCCCAAGACAACGGAGCACATGACTACATGACATAAAAGTTGTGATACATGTTGGCGCGAATTTGTGCTGGTTTTCCTCTAGATGTGGGCTGGGTTAGGTTGGTTCCTCGTTTGGGCTTAAGGGGACCCAACCGATGGAAATTTTGGGTGCCTCTGGAAGTATTTTTTCACCCTATTTGGCGTGCGCATATAACCTTCAATTCTTGTATGTACTGGATGACAATCAACTTTCAATGGAGATTCACTTTTGTGGTGGGTTACTTCAACTCGCACGATACGTTATGATTGGAGATGAAATTATGATGATCAACGTTTGCGAAAGCAGATAGGTAAAATTGAAAGTTTATAGCTCGATATATTGAGCTATGACTCGAACTTTTCTCGCCTATCCTAAGTTGTAAAAATGTGATATGTATACAATTTCTGTCTCTAGTTCTCAATACCAGGGCGGCTAAGTGAAGTAATATGGTAACTGTTTGGTTTGAATCTAGGCATCTCATGGCATAGTAATCTGAGAATTCCAGTGTCAATTAAAGTATGCGAAACATTATAACGTGTAAGTTGTACAACCCCAATTCATAGTGCAATTTGGCTATCTACATATTTGAGAGCCAATTTGCTAAGTATTCCCGGTAAACATTGAACTAGACCTCGATTTCCTATCACGCATGGTTGAGTATACAAACTAGACCCCGGTAACGCATGGCTCAAACACATCGTAGAAGCATATCGAGGGCAACCTTATCTAGGACTCTTTGACGTTTGATTGTGGTAGGAATAGATTAGATCTGTTTTCTGGGGAGTAGTTAGCAGCCTTCTAAACTGATAGGCTGACTGACTTATTAGATTTACGGCTGAAGCTAGTTATGTATTTCCCTTCCTACTTAGCTAACTGCTCGTAACTGGCGGACCCGTTGAACATAGTATTTGCCAGTGTCTAAGGTAAGGGGTATTGCCCATTCCGACTTATAAAGTATCAAAATAATAGAGGGCAATGGTTTCTCGGTAATTTTTTTTTTGTTTGGTGTTCCTTAGTGATCCTTTCTCTCAAAAACGTACTTACGTTCCTTCTTCTGATGACCCTAGTGATGTTTTCCATCGCTCTTGGATTTATGATGCGCGTCCTCCTCCTCTTCCAGCTCTTCAATGACGAGGTGGGGGAGGAGGTCCAAACGTGTGCCTCGATACTGTGCTCATCCTGCTTCTGTGAGGGTGTCCAGACGCCCTGCTGGTTGATGAATGGTGGCTGGGCGGTGCCGGCGCTCTTGCCGTTGAAGCTCTAGAGATCTGACTGACGGAGTCTTCGGGTCTGACCTGTCTTCGAAGCGAGGAAATGTGGGAGTGAGGGCTGGGATAGTAAGAGGCACTACCTGAGACGCTACGAGGAGGACCGCTTCTGACAGAGGGTGCACGCGAGTCCACGAGCGATGCAGGTGGCGGCGGTGAGTTCACATACCCTGGCGAAGGCAGACTTGCTAGTGCTTGGGGGCCCGATGGAAGTAGGACGTAACCTGTTGATCCCGGAGGCACTGGTGAAGGTGGGTGATGTTCTAAGAGAGCTGGGTGCCTTGCCGTCGACCCTGAGACCACGGACGCCGCCGCATGTCTTTCTGGTGGGCCTTCGATCTCATGTCCACGGCCAGATCTGAGATCGGAGCTGGATATATGGTTCACGATAGCTACAACCGCTAGAGTCAGTAATTACTCTTTCGGGTAAAGGTTTTTGGGGGGTTTTGCATACTCCTGGGACGCACTTGTGCCCTTAATAGGAAACTGGGGTCTCTGAGAGTAACTAGAACAGGACGACAATGACTCTAATGGTTACATACTAACGTTGTACTGGATATTTGTCTGATGGCGAGCGGAATGACTGGAGGGAGGTCTCATTCTGGCTTCAACGTGAGGCAATCCTGGAATAGATGTAGAAGTTTTGTGGCCCTTGGAATGACTGTGTCGACTTTTGGGCATTGTGGTAGCGCTGCGTTGCGGATACGTGAGTGCAAGATACAACAGGGACAAAAAAATGATTACCAAGGGAAGGTTTGAGGTGGTAGATGTTATGGAGTATGAAGAGGGTAGTGTATAATAATTGGAAAAGGAGTCCAAGACCAAGCGGACTTGGAGACGATGAGAAGGTTTCCTTCTAACAGCCTGCTCTTATATCAGTTCGTTTGTGCCAGTGGTTCGAAGATACGATGTGTTGAGCATTGTCGCAGAGTCGTACAAGTCAAGTCATAAGAGCCAGAATGGGTACTGGGGAAGTAAGGGATTTGAGGTCATCGTCGTGTGGGGTAGCACATCATAGAGGTCTTATGATCTATCTCAGAGTTTATCAAGTAGTAGGTCTATGTCAAAGGCGTGCAAACACTCTGGATCTGATGTGTACAGAGTTTGTATAGAATTGTGCATTTGGAATTCCCCTGTTGAAATTCAACTAGCATAGCTGATGACCACTACCAACACGCTTTGCGACGCCACTTGACCTCAGCAGGGAGAGTCCAAGTAACCAAATGATACGCGAGGCAAACGAGAGCAAATTAAATATTCAAGGAGAACCAATGTCACCTTGGGAACGATAGATCTTTCTGAAATCAGCAATATCTCGACCTCGATCAAACAAGTTCGTGTGTTTTATCCCTGGCTCCCTGATGCCTCTCCCTGCTCCTGTGCTCGACGTGCTTGTCTCCTAGCTAAAGCATCGTCGCGTGCCGTCATCACACGATCGAAGAAAAGCTCATATAGAGTCTTTACATCGTTGTAGAAGTTATTGTCAACCCCGCCCAGAGCGGCATTATCTCTGATCTCTTTGAGCCCGTCCCGAATATCACCAGTGAATCTATTAATGTCTGATCGGCTTAAACCAAGTTCGGATACTAGGGCTACCAATTCATCGAATGCTTCCATGAGTTCGTTGATGGGAGGGTGGTCGGGCGGCGTGTGATCAAGGCACGACTCGCAGTAGTTGATCCCGACCTTGATACGAGTGAATTGCGCCAAGGGACAGCGAAAGGGTGGTAAGGTATAATGTTTAACGCGACACGGCTCCCAATGATTATCCTCTGATGGGTATTCGTGACTACAAACATCGTAACCCCAGTACCTTATGAGACAAAGAGGCAATTGTTAACTAGCTGATCGTAGCTGTTCCAAGTTGCGCGAGAAAGGGAAGGATATTGAGACAGTATATGATGATGACGATGTAAGGACCACTAACCTGTAGAGGCACATTTTGTTAAATTTATTAGTTTTGGAAAAGTTTAGAATGCCTTTTGAACAGTGATATTAAGGATTATAGAATACGCTAGGTTCGACAGGATAAAGACAAGTTTTTATAATCACTTGACTGCATGACTATCGGGTACTCGTAGTGATCAAGGTCCAACATGAGATGGAACATATTCGCCTCTGAGCTGAAACAACTGGATAGAGGGAGAAGAGTGGCTTGTTTGTGTAGTTGAGAGGGGGTACTCAACATAACACAGGAACACAAGGACTGTCGTTAGAGAGACATATAGATAGCTTGGAAGTTATACAGACCAGGATAATTATCGTGTAAGCCAAGTGCCTTGTAAAAGGGTGATGGGTAACAACAACCAATACAAGCTGAGAGATCTCTCCACGGGGTTACAATGAATAGGATCAGCTCCCTTAAAGCTGGTGTATTGGTCATTGTTTTCGAATCATACAGCATATGATATGCTTAGCAGACACGAATTAAAGGGTATCTTCTACTGACTGTGCAACCACACCATATATCCCTTGGAGATACGAGGTCCTCGAAGTCATGATTTAGCCTGGCCGAACATAATATTCTCGAGTTGCTTCAGGCTCAATTGCGGCTGCAATGTGGTCCTAAGTAACGCATGACTTTCCGCAATCGCTGGTAAAACCCCATCAACTTGTCCGAGGTTCCCTCGCATACTTTCCATATGATTGTTAATCTGACTAGCAAGACTAAGTAGTTCTTCATCGTGGATTCTAGTAAAGACTTGACTAGTAGTCTTATCGGCATGGAGCAAATCGATTTGGTTCGTAGCCAAATCATGATTTGACTCGGGCACAAGAACATGTACCTTTCTCAGCCGATCTCTTCTCTCTCTAGCCTCAGCACGAGCATTAGTGCTGAGTTGGTTGAGTACTTTATACTCTCGGTCAAGTTCCTTCTCAGCACGCTCCTTCTCACGCTTCAGTAGTTCAACGCTGTGTTGCAGAGGATCAAGCTGAGATAGTAGTACCTCTGCGGCAGACTGTGTTTTTTCGAAATCTAGTTCATCTTCGCGGCGGGGGAGGGTCGAAGCGAGTGGAAACGGTAGTCTTGCTGATCTCTTGCGTAAGCCCTTGATGACTTTCTCAAGAACATCTTCGGCATGCGCATATTGCTTCTGGGGAACATGGTGAAGTGTGGGTAATGATGCAGAATGTAAGAGGCTGGCGACGTTTGTGAGTGAGGAAGGTTCGAGAGAAGACCACTTGGACTCAATGACATTGTGAGTCACTCGCCGCGTCCGTTTCGCAATGTGTCTGTAAGGGGGAGAAGAAGGAGAGGCTGGAGAAGGTGAGCGGCTAGGCGACTGATCTCGTCTCTCCGAAGAATCCTTGTGGCTGTTCATCTTCCGGTGTGGTGCGCCTGACCTACGTTTCTTAGCCTCCGCTTGCGACTCATTATCTGCCTGTTCTGTCCTACGTTGGGAGGGCCTATTTTCCGAGGCCGACCCTGATATTGTATCACCACCTTCGGCCCTGGCTCGGCGACCTCGCTTTTTGCGTGGCAAGTCGGGCTCGAGCCCAGATTCGACTTCATTCATAGATGCTTGCGAATTTGGTAAAGGGCGATTTCTTTTCGATCCTTTCTTTTGTGTTTGGGAAGTGGTTTCAGTCTCTTCTTCGGGATCAGCTTCTTCCTCTTGCTGCTGTTCCTTATTCTTGGACCGAACTGGCTGTTTCTTTCTTTTCACTAGCCGTTGAGTTGCGGAGGACCCAGTCTCCTCTCCCTGTACCGCGTCTCTTCTAGGAGAAGCATGCGAATCCTCCAATGAACGGCGCTGTCGCTTACTTCGCCGGAGGAGGCTCGAGTCGCCTTCATTCTCATTCTCATCGTCGGCTTCTTCTGCTTCAGGCTCTGTTGGCTTGGCCTGCTGATCACCTTTCTTCGGTCGCCCTCGCCTGGTTGTTTTCACCTCATCTGATGGTGTGGATTTACTAGCCTGCTGCTCAGGATTTACTTCTATTCCCATGGCAGAAGGTTGACGGCGGTTACGCCTGCCGGGTTGAGTCTCTGGGGTTTCAAGCTGCTGCTCTTGTAGGGCAACCTCTTTGGCACGCCGACCACGTTTCCTAGGGCGAGAATTTCCATCCATATCACCGTTCTCTGCTTCCTCATTCACCTCAGGCTGGTTGTCTTGAGACACAACAGGCGCAGCAGAAGTTGACGCGTCTTGGAGGCCGTTATCGCGTGACGCGTTGGCTCGACGACCACGCTTGCGCTTCTGGTTGGCAGCAGGAGGCTGATCCTGACGGTGATTTAGCGGTCTATTCATATGCTGCTAGCCTAGTCGTACTCACCATTCTAATCCCTTGGCCAAAATTATTGTTGATTCGTCATTGTTGTGTTGATTTCCCTGTGCATCAAGTACTACCCCTTACATTTGGGAAGTCGCGTTCGCCAATCACGTGTCAGACGGCTGTGGCTGGTGTATATGTTTTGTGTCATAACCTTTTAGGTACCTAATACCTAAACATCCATTGTACACCGTACCTAGGTAGGTAGGTAGGTGTCAAAGCTCGTTGCTGAGCCACAGAGCTAGCCACAAAATGAGGGGATGGAGAGCACTAATGACGCTGCTGTCTGCCTGCCCAGGTGCTCTCTACTGTACTGCCTACTGCCCCAGCAAGAGCTAACCGGTAGCTGGCTACCCCAGCGCATTGATTGCGGGTGGGGAATTATCGTCGAAATCCCCCCCAGACCTAGTTCAGAGACCAGCAATGTTAGTAAGCTCCTCTACGCATCTGGCAGTCTTGGCAAACCTGTGAAGGGCTAAGGGCCGATGTTACATAGTATTTTTTTTTTTTTAAATGATAAGGCTCAGGCTGTCTTGTCTGTCTCTCTTACGACGTCTGCGTCCTGCTCGCTGACTTTCTCCTCTTCATCTGCCTCTACAATAAATACCCTTGCGGCCGTTTGAACTGTAATCAGAGCTCGCCGTACCTAATTTGACACTAAATTTTGCCTCTGTTCGAGATATTCGTCATCACTTCCCACGTCTCTGACTTCTTAGTTCTGGAGTTTCTGCTTCTGTAACTCACATACTGTACGTAGAAGTTACATCATACGCGCCGATTTCTCAGAGTCAAAGTTATTTGGGGTAGCTACCTGCCTTATAGCTCGCGCGTTTGCTTTCTACCTACCAGTATCTTCTAATAACACCATCAATATAGCCCCATCTGTCAATTGTACCCTGCTTGTCGCTATTTGCTGTTCAGTATGCGTTTTAACCCGGCTTCTGCACTCTTGGCTTTGCCTGTCCTGGCTGCTGCCGACTCGCCTGATTACCAGGCGCAATTCCAGGAGTATCTTGGCAAAGCTCAGGGCTACTTCGAAAAGCTGACAACCTCACTGCCTAATCCTAACAAGTACGATGCTGCTGGCGCTGCAGCAGCCAAGTCCGGCCCTAACAAGTTGAGCGTCATTGGTCTGGACAACTGGAAGGAAACTCTGTATGAGCCTGTCACTCCGGCGAGTACAACTCCCGAGGAGTGGTGGCTGTTGATTACCGGTGGAAACAAAACCTGCTTTGGTAAGAATCCACAATCAACCTATGGATGGACGTTCATAAGCTTTTTTGACTAATCACTCCATGCCTAAGGCCACTGCGGTAGGGTTGAGGCCGCCTTCAATGAGACAGCTGGTATTTTCACGAAGCTACCAGACACTCCTCACATGGCGCTTCTAAACTGTGATAACCAGCCAATCTTGTGCAATGCATGGTCTGCACCTGCTGGTTCTCTTTGGATTTTCGAGATGCTCCCCGAGCCCTCTCCCATCAACATCTACACCAAGAGACTGAACTTGACGACCACTACATCCGAGGATCTGGTCAAGCTACACGCAGATGGGTACAAGACCGTCGCCAAGGAGCACGACGGAATCTTCCACCCCTTCAATGGACCCATCGCTAAGAACGGCTTGTCTGTTCCTGCTGGCTACACTCTATGGGCCTTTAGCCTGCTTCCAAGCTGGGCTTTTATGGTCGTGATCTCTCTGTTCAGCCGGAGAATGATGTAAGTAAATACCGGAGAGGCAATCCCTTGATGCGAGAACAAGACTAATTCGAAATGCAGGTCAAGCCGCATGGAAGGTCAGATGCACGGAGGGCCCCGACCTGCCCCCACGGGCCAAGCTACCCCGCGGCGATAAGAAGCAGAATATAGGGGCAACCAAGCGTGAAGCAATCTGGTACTCGGGTGGGCGTACCCAAATTCAATAGCAACAATCGAATGGGAAGTGGGGAAGGCGGCGCATCGGAACAATCGGACAATAGTTGCGTAAATCAATCCTAATAGTTGTAATGAACTCTTCATGTTCCAATCCTGGGTCATGTCTTCTGTTTACATGTCTCTTGTATACTGTGGAGTCCGTCTATGACCTCGGCGGCCAGGTTGGTGTTGGACAGTCGGCCGTATCGCAGGTCGCTCATGTTCCCTGCACTTTGTCGGATAGATTCGAGAAGGGTTGATTCCTCATCTTCTAACTTTCGCAGGTCACTTTCAATGTCATCTATGGCACTGTCAAGTTCAGGTATTATGCTTTGGAGAGAGTGTTGCTTGGGGGCAATCGTGGTCGAGGTAGAGCCGAACAACTGTGGATGCTGCGGTTAGCTTGCGCAAGCAGAGACACACGGAAAATGATGCTAATAGTTTTGGTTAACACTTACTGCCCTTTCGATCTCGATTTCGTCATCTTGCTCCTCAACTTCGCTTTCTCTCTTCGTTCTGATTATTGTACGGCGGAGCGCCTTGGCCTGTTTGACTTCAGCGTCAATATTGGCCGAAACGGTGTCGACCACTGCATTTCGTTGTTGCTGAAGGTCTCGATATAACGCGCGAACCTGCGGTGAAGATTGTTGCGACTTTGGGAATAACGCAATGAACTCTTGAAGGGATATGATGCTTGGTAAGCGAGAAGGTAGGAGGAGATAGTTGTGTAGAATTGTGGCTTCCGTTGGCGCCATATTCAAGACAAACCAATTGAGAGATGAGCGAATCTACGGAATATTGCACTCTCAAGTATGTATAGTTATCTTAGGTATGGAACTTGAATGATAGGAAGAGAGAGAGAGAGACCTTATTTACGTAAGTAGGAACCTAGGCACGTTAGCGATTAGGTACTTGATGCAAGACCCAAAAAAAGAGTACAACGCCCTGGACACCTAAAAACAGCAAAGCAAAGCAAAGCGAAACAAAATATAAGTTAGTTATCCAACTACCTAGGTAGGTAGTACATATGGAAGTTCACTGTCAAGTGGGCTATGTACCTAGGTAGACAAATAACACGCAATTTTGAATTGCTTAGGTGGTTCAAGCAAAGGCGAATAACTTTAGGAAGGAATGTCCAGAGGGGACGGTGGCAGGCGCGTGACGCGTTATAAGAGCGCGTAAAACACTTGGGCAGGTACTCATGTAGGTAACGGTAGCATCCTGGCCAGGTTACGAATACCTAGGTCGGTACCTACTTCACTCACCAAGTACCATACTGTCTCCTATGGGTGCGCTAGGTACTGCGTGTCCGTGCACTGAATCCACTACCTACCTACAAGGTACCTATCTAGGTGCCTACCTCTTACTCCAGAGACGGCTTGGCATTTCGTTCTCCTTATTCAGCCAACCTTAACTTTGAATGTCTTTCTTACTAGTAGGCATTTAGATAGGGCGAACTCAACTCAACTTGTCCCTCATTATCAATTTCATATTCAATTCGGCGATAGACATACATCACTCGCCAGTCAATCGACAGATAGGCTTATTACGTCTAGCACTGCTCGACTGCTCGACTGCTCACTGAACAATCAATCTACTTTGTCTGGTCATTGATTGTCCGCCCCAGACAACTAGACAAGACAGTGTTGTTTGACTCTCGACGGAACAAACTGATTCTGTGGCCATGGCACCATCAAAGCAGGAGAAGGTTCCACCTTACAGCAAGGACGAGAAAGTGCTGTGCTTCCATGGCGACTTGATGTATGAGGCTAAAATCATAGATGTGAAGGTTGAGCCGGGCAAGAAACCTGATGATGCTCAATATCGCATCCACTATAAGGGCTGGAAAGCTAGCTGGGATGACTGGGTTACTCACGATCGTATCCGAAAGCTAACCGAGGACAACAAACAGCTTGCTGCCCAGCTGGTCCAGGCTCGTACCAGAACGCCTGGCTCAAAAGGTGCCAAGAAAGGGGCGAAAGCGACCGGCTCCGAGATGAGTTCTGCACGGGGTAGTGAGGAGCGCGCCGCTGCTTCATCAAGCTTTGCCGGTAGAGGGCCGAGACGAGGGCGGGATTATGAACTTGAGACTGTAAGTACCCATTTCTATTCTTGTAAAAACCCATTAGTGTTCCATCCCAAGAGGGAGGGTGGCCATTGAAGTTGCGGGGCGTAGCGAATGAAGGAATCCTGCTGGAACTGCTCTCCCGTACCATTGAACGCATCAACAAATAAACTCAGAAGACATCGAAGGTTTATGATCCCCCCCATTTGACCCTGGAATATGCTTTTTTCATCGAGGCATACACACTACTACGCCTGTACCTACGTACCTCGCTGGTTTTTAGGGCACCAAATATCACCCATCTAGCAAACGACCTACCTATAGGCATTGCTCTTTGACCAAACCACGCTCATTACCTGTCTCTGGCATATCTGGAACCAACTTTCGCGCATATTTTGAACCACTCTTGGATCATATATAGCCTCTGCACTCTCCTTTCGTTTTGCCCAGTCTACATCATCAGAATCAACCACTTGTGGTGCACCGTGGCGTAAATACAATTGCTGCCTCATGCCTTCCACGCATATCCCTATTATCAAACAACAAATATAAAGGTCCCTGCGTCGCGCAGGATTTACTCTGACCAACCCCTTCGACAAACCCTCCTTCTCTTGCACAACACTTCCACCACTACTCTGCGGCGTGACCTGCCAATTCTCATGGTGCTTGCTGGCTGGTGCTCCTTACCTCGTACCACCGACCCAGTGCTTTACAAAACTCTCTGGGTCTCACCCCGCTACCTAAAGCGCCAACTTCATTTCCAGAACAGCTGAGCACCACCATGGATCGAGTAGCACCAGCCGCTGCTCGGTGTGAATTGACTCCGCCTACCATCAATGAGCCGAACAGCCAAAGCCTCAGTTCTCAGGCTCATTTACCAATGCTACGGCCCTCTTCATATCCAAGAGGTTTTGACAGAATACCACAACCAACTAGCTCAATCAATGTTGCGTCTTCACATGCAAATACCCATGATTCAACTATAGTGTGTGGTCAGCCACTGAGAGCTTCAATTGAATATGGAAGGAAGAAGCTGCCTAGTCGAAAACGCCCTCGGGCGAGAATCCCTGATGAAATCGCGGCGATGCATGCTGTTGGTTTATCAAAAGATGAGTCTAGTATAGGCCATCATCTAATAACTCCACCGCCATCGTCCACACCGGCCCATTGTCGTTCAGCCAAGCGTCGTACCCCAACCACTCGCAAGGAGGCTGTGTCTTGCAAACGAAGTCTACGGAGGAGACTTTCAGATGAGGAAAAAAACGTGATCAAAGCCTTACCGGAAGAAATGCGCAACTTTACCGAAAGGGAGATGGGTTGGTCTAAGGAGGCAGCTGATGCGGACTTTATGCTCACACTACCGCCGCCAAAGCATATATATGTCGACGTGAAAAATCGTCTCACATTCAATGATTCGCGTTTCTGTGCGCCTGTGAAAATGAGGACAGATGCACCTCTTGTTTTGGCAGGAATTCCTTCTAGCAAACCCTACGCTCCCTATTCGCCACCTATTCCTATTGAGCCTACAACATTGAGATTGCCCAAGAGCTCTGCTCTTGCTTTTGATGTGATTGCTGATAATTCCCCACAGGAGGAAGCTTTCCACTCTCGACCATCTATCAAGCTCATTATCCCAGACGTCATCAAGGCATTATTGGTGGATGATTGGGAAAATGTTACAAAGAATACGCAACTCGTCCCTCTTCCACATCCCAAACCTGTCACAAAAATTCTAGAAGACTATTCTGCATATGAGATGCCAAAGCGTCCTGCCAACTCTTCCCATGCAGATATTCTTGAGGAGACGCTGAGTGGCCTGAAAGAGTACTTTGATAAGTCTCTTGGACGTATCCTTTTGTATAAGTAAGTATGATTCATTTTGAGTTGTTGGCAAATATAATAACCATTCATAGGTTTGAACGTCCACAGTATGCAGAGGTACACAAGAAATGGAACTCGACAGACCCGGAGTTCCAAGGCAAGACAGCTAGTGATATCTACGGTGCTGAGCATCTCTGTCGCTTAATCGGTATGTTTCTAAAATCGTTTATTTCGGTCTGGACTGTATCTAACTTTCGTCAAGTCTCTCTCCCGGAGCTCATTGCACAAACCAACATGGACCAGCAATCAGTCAACCGTCTCCGGGAAGAACTTGCCAAATTCTGTACATGGCTGTCAAAGAATGCTACAGAATACTTCACAAGCAGCTATGAAACGCCCGCACAAGACTATGTCGAAAAAGCCAAGAATTAGTCTGTCTAGTCTCGCTCTCACCTTAATTTGCAGTCGCCACTGGCATTACCATAGCACTCAGTTAGTCCCATAATCAACATTAAAACGACCCATAATCCATACGTTATGCAGTCAGATGCGACAAGACACGAGGCAATGGCCTGTGTCCACCATCTGCCAAGCTTCAGTTAATCAAGAACAATCCCTCAATAAGGATCAGCGATAGCTTAGTTGAACAAGTAGAAGAAAGGGCTTGGTGCCCATAAAGGGATTTTCATCACTTCGTTGTATTTTCTTCTCTGCCCAGGAGAGTCCCGCATATCCTTTGTCTCGATCGGCGTTAGGGAGAGCTGTTGATGGCAAGGGTGAATAGCCATGTCTAGGGCCCTTGCACTTGAGAGAATGTAATAGTAGGGGCAATCAAGGACGTATGATTGCCACTCATCATCACAGGCTTCTCGGAGAAGCGTGTAATATACTATTAGCCCTAATGAAAGTTGACAATATTTGGTATTGTCCTCCACCAAATAGCTCTGGTTCTAGTGTCAACACTGGTTTTTGTTTCATTCTTTTTCATCAAGTTAAATAACGGCTCAAACGTACTAATTATTCTTAAAATGTGTGCTACTAAGTACAAATGGTACCGAAATTGGCTTGGCCAACCCCCGGACATAGAAAGGCATAGGAGAATATATACCAATAGCTTCAAATTAAATACTCTGGGCAACGAGGACGTAATTGGAGCAGGGTGTCATATTTTCTCTCATTCCGCTGTTGAATAGTTCATCAAGTTTTACAATGTTTTTATGTACATGCCCCAGGCATCCACATCCGGCCTATTCGGGGCGTGGCTGATAGTACAAATATACAGACATACATTCATACATCTTGCTGTCTCCATTGCACATAGACAGCAATCTCCTCTCTTATGGCGACCAGCTCGTCTGTGAGGATTCCCTCCCATAGTCAACGATGGGATCTAGTCTTAGCCGTGTCTTCCTCTCCACATCTTTGCTAGCATTTCCCCTCATCACATCCTCTATTACTCCCCTGCCTGAAAGCTAATTGATTACCCCTCACCTAGGCACGGCCTTCTCGACCCAGAACCCGGGCTCGGGCTTGCGCTCCTCGCGCAGCTGCTTCGTCGTCAGGGCCTGGTCGACCTCCTGCACGAGCACGAGCTCCTTCACCTTCATGATCATACCCGCCGCGTCGGGCGTCACTGGCTGGAAGACGGTCTGGTTGCGCTTGCGCAGGCCGAGCGCCGCGAGAACGCCGCGCGTGCGCTGCGGCAGGCCGATGGCGCTGCGGTGTAGAGTTATGCGGAAGTAGGACATTGTTGTTATTGTTGTTTTGTGTAATATCGGCTTTTAGGCTCTGGTTGGTAACTTTCCTCTTTCCCTGTCTTTTCCTATCCTTGCTGCCTGCTCCTAGTCTCTATTCTCGCGAAGCGGAATGGTAGTAGTTCGGCGGCTATTCGCTTCGTGGTATCGGCTCGATAGTTGGCAGGGTATCTATCTCTGGGCCCTTTCTAGGAATATATATATGAATTCGGGGCCTGTTATCTTCCAAGCCAGAAGAGGGTATGTATGTCTCTCGTGATATGTCGACAGGAGTAGAGTATAGGAATCGGACAGCACGTAGAGAAAAGGCCAATCCCTGACCTGGTCCGGAATGAGCGTGCAGGAGCGCCGACGCACAACGATGGAGTATCGCGAATACAGAGAATATCCGTTCAGCGGTTAAGAGTAGCGCGACCTGTGAGTGTCGCCGTACTCTGTTCGGAAGCTAACCTCAAGCTTTAGCGTCAGTGACAAGGGAGTATCGCATGCTCTCATGGAGGAGTTTGGGCTGGATGTCGAGCATCAACTTTTAAGTGGGGGCCGTATGCCGATATTTTCCCGGTGGTGGTTGACACCCTTGGAGGTCAGTTTCGGCTCTACCTCTAACAAACAATAGGTAGGATATCTCATAATTGACAATGTATCACTGCCTGTTGTTCAAGTATTATATTTTTGCATTTCTATTACTATCCAGTACTCCAGAATCATGCATCATAATCAACGAGAGGAGCACATATAACTGGCAGAGGAACTTACCTATTTTACTGTTAGTACAATATACCTAGTTTCATTCTACGTAGGGTAAAGCTCCTATTAGCCTGTTCGAGCAACTGGGTATAATCAATCAAAATATATCTATTCACGTAAATTGCTGAATGAGTAAATTTGTCTATTATACTGTCCATTCGGACCGCCCTAGATCCTGTGCATTTTGACATGTCTTATCATTTCGTACAACCCAGCCTCCCGGCGAGATTCTATCATTACCTCGTCCCGCATCCTAGCCCGCTCACCAAGCCTGGAGCACACCGAAACGGCCAGTGCTGGCCATCTAAAAGCATCTTAAAACCGCGCTGTCTAAATCTATTTCATCGAAACCTCCACTCGGCTCTCGCCAGCAGGGCCCGTGGTAGCCAGAGTAGGCAGTAAGTAGGTAATATCATCCCAAGGATGTCTGTACAAGCTAGTACGCAGTCTCTTCTGGTCGAGGTAGTGTGCAATCAGACCAATGCTTCGGCCTAGAACGAAAAGACCGTTGAGCACACCCATCTTCATGTATTCTTCAGCTTCCTCGAGGCTGAACGCGCCACAGCTGCGCATCAAGTCGACGAAGCAGACAGCAACGCAACCATCTACGTTCAAAATGAGGTTGTCCTTCTTTGATGTTGTTACGGACTCAACCGCTAGTGCGTAGTCCAGCAGTTTGTGGCTAGGGAAGTTAGCCAGGACGTATTCCTTGACTAACTCTACACGCAAGTCGGGGTTATTCCGCGACTTGATACGGTGACCGATACCGGGAATGAGCTTGTTCTGCTTGCGCATGGTGTCGACGAAGTCACGCGGGCTCAAGCCGTTGTCAGCGGCCTTAGTGAATTCCTCGGCAGCACCGTCAAGAGCACCACCGAATCGGGAACCAATGGTAAGCAAACCAGCTACCAATGAGCTGATCAAATCCTTTCCGGCACGAGTTGTGATGATGGTGTTCATGGCACCAGAGACGGCAGGACCGTGATCGGCAGTAAGCATGAGAACCATCTCCAAAAACTTCGTGGCGTAGTCAGGGAGACGCCGCCTGAACCACAAGAGCGACATGACACCACCGATACCAATGTTCTCCTTGAACACATCAGAGATGGGCATACCAGCATACAACAATTCTTGGCCACGGTCGTCGGAAATGGTCGAGATAAAGGCAGCAGGCTTTCGGATGAGACCAAGCTCCTGAGCCCATGAGTAGTCCATGGGAATCTTGGGGACAACTGGTTCAGGAGCGGGGACAATAGTCTTCTCCTGGACAAGCTTGTCATAGACGCCCTTCAGGACTGAGGGCATTTCCTCGAAGGTGTCGGGAACGTGGATACCAGCCTCCTTCATCATCTTGTTCTTCATAGCAGCTGTCTCAAGTTGAGAGTTGGCGAAAGAACCGGCGTGACCAAACTGGACTTCAGTCTTGAACATGCTAGCGCAAGTACCAATAGCCCATGCAACAATGGGCTTAGTGATGACACCCTGTTTGACGGCATCAATAACCTTGTACTCCTCAACACCACCAACTTCACCAAGCAGGACAAGGACCTTGCACTCGGGATCTTGTTGGAATCGCAGCATGTGGTCAATAAAGGTGGTGCCCGGGTATCGGTCACCACCAATGGCAACACCCTCGTAGACACCGTCCGTGTTGTTGGAGATGATGTTGTTCAGCTCGTTGGACATACCTCCAGACTTGGAGACGTAGGCGACAGATCCCTTGCGATAGAGCTTGGAGGCAACAATGTTGTCCATCATGCCACCAGTGTTACCAATCTTGAAGCTACCGGGTTTGATACCACCAACGGTGGCGGGGCCGATAATAGTAACGCCCTTCTTGCGCGCGACATGGGCGATTTCTCGCGCACGCTATAAATCTCAATATTAGAACCACCCGATGCGAAATACTTGAGAAAGCAACTTACACGCTCAGGGACACCTTCGGCGATAATAGCAATGGTCTTGATTTGTGGGAATTGCATCAGCTCCATTGTGGAGCTATAGACACTTCGTGAAGAAGCAAAGTTGACAACAACATCAACATCAGGGTGCTTAGCAATGGCCTTTGCCGTCTCCTGGTAAACGGGCAACAGGGTCTCGCTAGTTCCCCAGTACATCTTGCTGACAAACTGGCCACCGAAGGTGTAAATGATGCCAGCGACGGAGGGTGTTGAACGCTTGCAGATGAAGTCAAAGTCCAGCATACCCTGAACAGCACGGTTCTGGAGACCGTATACGAAGCATCTTGTCTTGTTGGTGAACAGGGCGTGTGCGGGAAGAGGGCTCAAGGGCCGACTAGGGGCAGAGAAACGGGTAATTTTGTCATTCGCTGATAGCGAGGCGCCGGCGCCGCTGGGAGTTTCACCGGCCATCTTGAATGAGCTTCTTCCTTAAAACCGTGAAGAACAATGTGCTAAACAAACTCCAAAGTCAGTCTCAATTCCTAAGACAGCAATGACATAGGCTGTGCTTCAGATACAAGGCGGTCAGAACCTCGGGTCCTCATGGGCTCAAGAGCTCGGCGGATGTAGCCATTTTCAACGCAAGGATCTCAATTGGGTGAAGTAGCTCGACTTTATTCAGTCGAGAATGTGATGCTTGATTGAGCCAGTCAAATGGCGAGAGTGTACTGGTTGTCGTTCGGAGGGCAGGAAATGCCAATTGCAATTGGAATTGAACATACCGTGATCAAGTTCTTTTGGATGTTCCTCTGTCGGCTCTGTTGCCGCAATTATGTTGGAGACTGATTCCAACGAAAGGGGGTGTGTCGAGGAAAATGCGTCGTGAAAGCAGACAGGACGAAGTGGTCTGGAAGAAAGTCGAGGAATTGAGATGGAACAGAGTGGGCGACGAAGAGTTTGGATAACCACAAAAGAGGCGGAGAGCTTTGGTGATGGCCGGGGCTCTTTTCTTGTCGTGCCAGGGACCCAAACCCGTTAACCTTTTTGCTGGGAAGCTGGAGTGCTGCGTCGCTACCTCTGAGGTACTTCCCGTTAGCGGTGTCGACGCTAGAGTGCAGCGGATGCCTGCCCTGGATAGTGACACCGTAGGGTACAATCCCTGGCAAGTACCGATACGTGCCGCCAGCAATCTTGAAATAGACAGCCCACCTTGCCTAAACAGGTAATTAAACGCAAATGTCCTGTCAGCGCCAACCTTGATCGGAAAAACTACCCCTCAGCAGCTCAGAATACTATATATGTTGCTCCCACAGGGCCCAGTGTCTGGAGGTCGGTCTTATTATTTGCCCTTATTGAAACACCGTCGCCTCGTCCCGTCGGGCCTAGTATTTGACCGTGTCTATTTGTATGATTGAGGTAACACAAATATAGCACGGCCGTTTAGACAAGATCTATGTAACCTCAACCCTTTGAGATCGGAATAGTTGGGGTAAAATTCCTGTTGTGGGCCTGTTGAGCTGTCCCCACTTCAAGCCCCGCCAATGCGACCAGCACACCAGCTGGTATAGTAATATTTTTGCAAGCTGCACCAGACTGCACCAACTCGAAGACGAGGTCGGAAGCTGATCCGCTCCTCAGGTCCTTGTTTCTTTGGTGCAGAATAGGACCGGTGCTGATTTAGATGAATCCATCGGCTTTCATCTGCGCGTCGGGGTACCTGTTGAGTACCTCCTGCCCCGACTTCCGAGAACGCTTTCCTCAAAGCACGGACCCCGACGGCCCCACCACGTCGGACCCCTCCTATTGCTGGACAAGAGGTAGAAGGAGTGTAGGTAATATACAGAATATCACCTCTCTCCCGTCTACACCACGGTCAAAATAGGCAATGTGGTGTAGGGAGGCTTCCAGCGGACAAAGGTGTTTCTAGGTAATAGTACCCAGGCCGGACTTGTACTATAGTACCTAGGTACAATCCACCAGGTGTGTACCTTCTGGGGGTACCTACTGTGGTAGGCAGCCTGTTCGGGCTAGTACTGATATACCTGGATTGCTCACCAAAGGATTCCCCGCCAAAACACGTAAGCAGAGTGAGATCGACCTGATTTGTATGGTGCCGTTACTAGCACTTTCAATGTCAACCTCTCACTAAGCACGGCCAGCTCGTACTCGGATCTTGCTTCCTCAGACAGCTATTGTTTAGATCTTGTTAGCGGCATACGACTAAGTACTATCTCTACATACGTATATGTATGTAGATGTTAATACATGTCAATAGAAAAGAAGTGTGTAGCTCGATACGAGTGAACCCAAATTATTTCATGTAGCGACTCCGTATTACGAATGTTCACTCGAACCCATTCTTCCCATTTGCATCAGACAGCCTTGGTCTGTGCTCGTATCTGAATTGACACGCGAATGCCCTCGCCAATATTCGTAACAGCTATCATGTAGATAGTGTGCATGGGAAAACTGCAATAAGCCGGGCGGTCCCCGTAGGGCAAGCCCGATACCTATAGGGCCCATCAACTCGACTGCCACCCGGCTGACTGGACTCCTTCGTATGAGGTGGTGGAGGACAATCTATGATAAGGACGGGTGAGACCATATCAGTTTCCTGGTAATTGATCACGCGCCACTCAGCCCGATGAATTACAGTATCACGGCGCAGGTAAATTCAGCCTGGACACCACCGAACAAAGGATCATCGGAGTAAGCAGAACGGCACAAACTGTAAGACCCGATAACAGCCGTGGCCTGGCTAGCATCTCTAGTGAACGGGGATTCCAGATGATCGAAGGAGCATGGAAAGTCTCAACGACCCAGATGAAACGCCATAGCTAGAAATGGAATAGGCCGAGAGGGAAAACAATCCGAATGTCAAATATGTTGCTGGTCGACGGCCGACGATGCGACGAGTTCCACCGAACACCTAGTAGAAAATAGAAATGGCCGAGTGGGGTGGTCGAGATGGCCAGCAGTAAGACGGTACCTAGGTAGGGTACCTAGATAGGTTCTGGTAGGTAAATAAGTACCTAGGTACTTCGTAGTGCAGGGCGTCGAGCGGTGTGCGTGACTCGCCAGGACAGCAGGACAGAAGGCCGGGTTCTGGCTGGATTCTGGCCGGGGGGCCGATGGGCAGCGCTACTGTAGATAGCCTGGCCGCCGAGCCAGAAACTAGGGACCTGCTTCGTAGAAACAGAGCCATATTCAGCGTGTCGGTGACGGGGCTCGAGGAGAGGATGTTGGGGAAGTACCGGTACCTCTGCTGACTGACGAACGCCCATCTGCCCCAATGGTTGTGTCCTGGTGTTTTCCTGGTGGTGTGTGCGATAGCAGATAGCGTCGCTGCCGGAACCCGGACGTGGTCTAGCGCATCCCCAAGCACTCGACCAGCTCGCCTTCTGCAAGCTCCAACCCTCACCAACCCAATTATTACCCGCAGCGCAATATCTAGCGCATCGGGCCCCCTGGCCAACACCCCACCAAACCCGCCCCGCCCCTCCTGCAGCGCCAGCAAAGCGCCGGTGCTCGTTGCTGCTTCCACATTGCTGCTCAGTGCTGCCCAGGAACCGCTGGAGCCAAAGGTTGAGCCCCGAGGGGCAGGCATCGTAAGTATCGGTGTAGTGCCGCAAGTACCTGCGAAGTACATAGGCGCAGAGCTGTAGGGGTCTTGGAGGGGTCGTCCAGGTACCCAATTCCACCCAGCCTCAGCGTGGTAGAAAGGTCAATCTGACCACTAAGTGCTCTCACTGGCGCCTGAAATAGCAGTGCGAGGCTTTCTGTGCTCGCCCAAGCTAAACTTTTCTGGTAGCTTCGGATCTCCATCCTGGCTCGCTTGCTGGATTTGCTGGGTTTGCTGGCTTGTCCCGTCGTGTCTGCTGCTGCTGGTGCTGTTTAATCGCCGCCACTTGCACCACCACCGACCGGTCGTCTGTCCCATCCCACCGCCTTGCTTGCTTGACTGCTTAACCTTTTTTCTTTTCCACTTGGACAGTTCCCGTTCGCATCCGTGACTTCACTATCTCAACTTTCCCACTTGAGAAAACAATTGCGAATAGGTCAGTGCAGTCAATCTGGTCATTAATCAATCAATTGCCTAAACAGAATCACTGTCGCGGCTTTGGCAAGCGATCAACGCTCTTGTCGATACCCAGGAGCTGTCTCCTTCGTGTGAACTACACATTCCGACTTGCAGCTGACACTTGTCCGTCTTTCTTCAGATCTCGCCACGTATAAAAGACCATTGGAAGAGATAGAATTTGCATACGTACATCTTTCTCCTAGATATTCCATTGTTCGGTCACAATGTCCGCCAAGTCGATTTCCGAGGCCGACGGCAAGGCCATCATCAACTATCACCTCACTCGGGCGCCAGTGATCAAGCCGAGCCCGCTCCCCAAGTCGACAACGCACAACCCTCCTCCAAGACTTGCGTCTCTCTACTTCCCCGAGGACGCTGATGTCAACGCAGTGCTCAACCAGGCTGAGGTCACATATCCTTGGCTTCTTCAGAGTGGTGCCAAGTTCGTCGCTAAGCCTGACCAACTCATCAAGCGGCGAGGCAAGTCTGGCCTTTTGACTCTGAACAAGACCTGGCCGGAGGCGAAGGCCTGGGTTGCTGAGAGGGCCGGCAAGACGCAAAAGGTTGAGCACACAGAGGGTGTCCTTCGACAGTTTCTCGTTGAGCCATTCGTACCTCACCCAGACGGTACCGAATATTATATCAACATCAACTCCGTTCGAGATGTAAGTTACTCCAGATTTAATGCGTTTGAATTTCTCGGCGATCAAGATGCAACTGCCGTTTGAGTCAGCAAGTGCATGGCTGGCGAGATGCCCCCCTCAGGACATGAATCGAAGCGATGAATGGAATCACGTCCATGAAGACCCGTGAAAAGATCACAAACGGATAAAACGAGGGATAATGAGAGTGGTGTGAAAAGAATTATAGAACATGTTATGTGCTGCTTGTGTTGGTCCCAAGGAATGCTGGGTCCGAGTCCAGCGGACGGGCGAACGGAGGCTAAGCCACTTGCAACTAAGGTGGCATCCACTTGATTATCTATCACCTCCCGAGATACCCAAAGGAGACTTATACATCCATTATACCGATTAGCCTCACATCACGTGGCTTCGACTTCATGAAGCTTTGCATCCTGTTGAGAATTAAAGTACTAATTGCAACACTTATAGGGCGACTGGATCCTCTTCACCCATGAGGGTGGTGTCGATGTTGGCGATGTTGATGCCAAAGCCGAGAAGCTTCTTATCCCCGTTGACCTGTCTGAATACCCTTCAAACGATGAGATCGCAAAGACGTTGCTCGGAAAGGTCCCCAAGGGTGTTCACAATGTTCTAGTCGACTTCATCACTCGTTTGTATGCTGGTGAGTAGATATATTCTAGTCTCAAGTGATGCGCTCTTCGACCAAAAGCTAATTCGACCACTGGTAGTCTACGTCGACTGCCAATTTACTTACCTCGAGATTAACCCCCTGGTTGTCATCCCTAATGCAGAGGGTACATCAGCGGATGTTCACTTCCTAGACTTGGCTGCCAAACTAGACCAGACTGCCGACTTCGAATGCGGTGCCAAATGGGCAATCGCTCGGTCGCCCGCCAACTTGGGCATCACTGCCGCGTCATCGGCTGGTGACAAGGTTAGCGTTGATGCTGGTCCTCCAATGGAGTTCCCTGCTCCTTTCGGCCGTGAACTTTCCAAGGAGGAAGCCTACATCGCCGAGATGGATGCAAAGACGGGTGCTTCATTAAAGCTGACCGTCCTCAACGGCAACGGACGCATCTGGACTTTGGTCGCTGGTGGTGGTGCATCAGTTGTGTATGCCGATGCCATTGCTTCGGCTGGCTTTGCCGATGACCTGGCCAACTACGGCGAGTACTCTGGTGCTCCCACTGAGTCACAGACTTACTACTATGCTCGGACTGTATTAGACCTCATGCTCCGTGCCCCCATGTCTCCCAAAGGCAAAGTACTCTTCATCGGAGGTGGTATTGCCAACTTCACCAACGTCGCCTCTACTTTCAAGGGTGTCATTCGTGCCCTCCGTGAGTATGCCAAGCAACTGAACGAACACAATGTCCAGATCTGGGTACGACGTGCCGGCCCTAACTGGCAAGAGGGCCTGAAGAACATGAAGGCTGCCACCCAGGAACTGGGCCTCAACGCTCACGTCTTTGGTCCTGATATGCACGTGTCGGGTATCGTACCTTTGGCACTCATTCCCGGTCGGTGGGAGCAAAACACAGTTCCGGAGTTCCAGGGTTAAGCGTTGTGTTTTAATTTGTTACATATAGTTCTTGGGAGGGCGAGGCTTTTATGAGTGGATGAATACGGGTGGCCAATGCTTGGGCGACTACTAATCATGGCAATGTACGTTGAAAGTAGATATACAGATAGACGGCCAACTCTATCAGGCTCAATCTATGCCAGGCGGAAATGGTTTATAGAAATCTGCCTGCGAATAAAAAAAGATATTAGAACCAATTGTATCAATACCTCGTACTTCATCTCAAGTATGCCTTATCGCTGAAACTTCGGCTCTTAACAGTCTACACTAGTTGGAAACTAGTGAACATTGTCACAACCGAGGTAATACAATCAATCCTATGTGGCTATGTTAGATCCTATTTTCCCATTTTCAACCTCGAATCTAGCCTAAGAGAGTTGGTCCCATTTGCCGCGGGATTCATGATTCCCTCTTGTGCAATGCACTTGACCTTAGAACTTAAACAACACCGAACTCGCTTTTAAGGAGCCAATATTTTCTAAGGAATTTTAATATCAAGGCTTTACCATACCAAAAGCTGCCTTCTCAAACTTGGTGGTAAGTTCAACACAGACGGGATCAGCCCAGGGCAGTAAGTGAAAAGCTGAGATGGAACAAATCCCAACTTTTTCGTCAATAGTCTGCCATGACAGCAAATGATTAGTCTTTGCATTTTAGAAGAATCATCGAGCAGCAGATCATTAGAGGGTCAACAGAAATAAGCTTACCCAGTAGTTATTGGTCAGCCCGCTCCACGCCAGATTGCCCTTCCGACGCCAGCGGTCCCCGTCGCAATCCTCTAGACTGATCATACCCCCGAGGCTGTGGGAGTGCCTGATAGCAATCGGCGCCGGCGTGCACGGCGCAAGATTCTCCGGCTGTGCGCAGAAGTCGTCCATTCCCTTCTCCGCCTCCGGAGTGAGGGCTGGTTTGAACAGCAGCTCTCGGGTCTCCGGCTTCAACAGTTTGCCGTCGTTAGAGAGGATGCTCCATAATACCTTCATATAGTGCTCCGGCGTGGTGTAGATCCCCTGTCCACCGTGCGGTTCGATGTCCTTGTACCATCGTGCATCATCTTCGTACCTCAGAGCCCCAGTGCTGTTAGTACCTTGGGGTACGGCGGGCAGCATGCCTTCGCCTCGATAGGTCATATCTGCGCGGCGGGCTTGCATGTTAGGATGCTTTTGTAGTTCGAAGGTCATGTTGTCGGCGCCGATCCCGAGGGACTCGACAATGTGCTTCTGAAGAAACTCCTCGGCCGAAATTCCACTGGCTCTCGCGATCAGTCGACAGCACCAGTCTATACTAGGACCGTACGCCCAGCTCGTGCCGGGATCAAAGAGCAATGGGTATTTGTAGTTTTGGTCGAGTGTGTCATACACCGGTTCAGGTGCCAGCCCTTGCCACTCACGGTATTTCAGAAGGAGAGGAGAGCTAAGTGCGTAGGAAAGACCGGAACTATGTGACAGCAAGTGCCTATGATAGCATTTAGTTGGCAGAAAGTACATCCAAAGTCCTTAAGACTTACGTACTTCAGAAGAACAGGGGACTTAGGCTCTCGCTCGATAGGATTGCCTGTCTCGTCGAACCCCGTGAGAACTTTCAACCCAGCTATCTCTGGAAGGAGTCTCTCGAGACCCTCGTCGAGATTTACAAGACCCTGTTCTACACACTGAAGGACCATGATAGACGTTAAGAGCTTGGAGCATGACATGACGCGCATTGGCGTATCAGCTGTCATTGGAGGCCGCTTTTCGGGATCTGCTTCGCGCAGACTACGTACGCCATAGCTTCGCGAGATATCTATTTTACCTACGTCGATGGTGTGAGTTAACTGATAGTTTCGCCTGTAGGGACGATTAGAAACTCTCACCTGTGAGATCCCTGGCGAGCAAGACGCCTCCGTGTATCCGGCCATCTGCAACGGCTTGGCGAAAGGCATTGTCTACTTCTTCCATTCTAACGAATACTGTCTCATTGGAGAGAGCTACTACTGATTGAAGAAATAGTACGTCACAGCATTTTGAGAGACAGCAGCATTTTAAATAGCTGTGACAGTGGCCATCTTCAGCTTGGCGCATTTATAAGCATGTCACGTAACCAACAGCGAATATGGCAACGCGGCCTCCGCGAAGCTCCACCCCCTTTAAGTACGCAGCTCGCTGGTTACCCAGTTATGGTCTTAGTTCAATATCGAGCGAGAAAACGCATGCCTTCCTGTGTCTGGACAAGCACAGCTTGATCAGGCCAGGATCCTAGTTGCTCATTTGTCAAAATAACAAAGACGTAGTGAGTGCCGTCAAGGGTTATAGCTAATTGAATTTCCTTTTCAGGCAGGTATGGACAACACTCTCGTGCCGCCTCGGATAACATTGGTAATCAACTAGTAGATGATACGGAGGCAAGGACCAAGGTCTATTTAAGGTCATAAGAACTTTGCGTACATTGTTCGGACATATCAGCAAGCGTTATGATAACTAACTAAATAAGAGAGCGCAGTAAACCCAAATCCGTAACAGCTACGTTAACTAAAGGAAACTAAACATAAACATAACAGAAAAGGCCACCGTTTCCTCCGAGTTGATCATGGGTCTCAAGAAGCTTGATTGGGGGGCCAAGCCATTCCATGTCAACTGTCACGTTGTGAGGGTCGACCGCGCGTTTCATAGGCATCGTCATGTTCATGTTCACAAAGGGGATGGAGTAGAGGCGGTTCTCAGGGTCCTGCATTTGCCAGACTACAAGACTTCGCGTTAGTAACTGCCGTCTCAGCCGGAATCTAGAGAGACTACTCACTCCACCAGAGTCGATCCAATGATGTATGATGGAAATAGAAAAGAGGGTCGCCGGGAGAAGTCATTGCATCACCACCTGGGTCGACTGCGGCAATGTAGTGGCCCGCGGTGTGAATCTGATAAGTTATAGTCAGCTTCAAGGTCCCTTCGCCGGACTCTTATGTAATGTTGAAGTGCTTACTCCCCAGGGGTAGGGATCATTCTTTGGCGGTGGCGTCCCTAGTAGTTCATTGTAGAAGCTATCCATATCGTTGTGTTTGGTCAGCAATCTGTAGGCACGGTCGGCAGTCGCGCCCATTGCCGCATTACGGTTCTACGTGCACCGGTATTCGTTAGCCGTCGAACTCATGTAAGCAGATTGCGCCAGGTTGTATGAAAGAAGAGGTTGAGGGATTAGTGAGGAAGCTAGTTACGCACCACATCCCGACGCAAGCAACGGGGGTTGGCGCCGGTGCCATCGGATCGCGGGTTCTTGGGGATCTTGGCTCCCGTTGCCATCGCAGTTGGGCCAAGATTAACGACCATGCTGTTGACTAATTAGCAATGCCCTCTCTAGAGATACTGGGGTGATCAATAGAGGTGTTATAGTCCCGAGAGCGGGTGGGTGAGTGGGCAACCAACTCTGAGAAAGGTCCTTCCTTGACGCATCCTCCACCGCCACCAGATGCAATGATATTGGGCGTTCGTCCTGGTTGAGCGACGCCCTTATATGCTGGATCCCGCACTCCATTACCTCCAATGCTGGAAGCATTTCCGTTTAGTAAGGGGGAATTCCCTGGATCTTGCGCATAGCGGTCGTAATTCATATACTGTGATACTGTTAACTGTGATGCTCGAAGATGATCTATTGACTTGGAGAGTTCATACAGGCTGATAGCCGGTGTATCCACACTCTTCGCGAAGCGCTTTCTCGAACAGCCAGACGTAGTACTTGTGAGCACCGAAGAGGTGCATATTATCGTGCAGTTGCATCGCGTGGGTCATGTGGTAGGCCACGAAATCTTCATATCGGCTCATAGCCCCCGGGAACCTTGATTTGTCTGACTTGGGTGGCTTTTTCAGCAAGCAATTGATGGCAGCGACATATTCCTGCCTCATTGTCTCACTCATATCACTCCTTTATATGGTTCATGTCAGAGCAAAGAATTCCTTGAAGGGGACAACGTAAGGCGAACCATTCTCTCCGTACTGCCGCGGTTTCGAGTGTGCACTTGTTATTTTTGCCCGCGGTAATCTTCTTGGCCATCCATTCGTCAATCTTGGGCATAGTAGCCTCTTCCAGCTTGTCGACGACATCGAGAGGGTAGACAGGGTTACGGAAACTAAACGATTGTCATCATAAGTCAGTGTCTGCAGGAGATCGAAATAGAGCATATCAACTGAGACTTACACCTCAATCTTCGATGCCCATCCATTCGCAGGTGATATGGCTGCTGCGCAAGCTCCAGTGAGGAGCGGCAGCAGCAGGAGAGTGCTCCCAATGGTCATCATGCTGAAGCGAGTTCCTGCTCAATACAAAGTTGCAGGTGGACGCAAAAGTCCGATAAACAGCTAAATGGGAATGCATTGCAGGTATATATAAAGGCACATTTGCCTTGGCGGCTCAATATATGGCCCGTACTTTGGAGCCTTGCTCCTCCGCACGGCACTTGCGGCCGAAGCGGTGATAGGAGGCTCACCGACACGGGACCAATGGTAATAATAACCAATATATAACCGTCGAAATGACCCGCATCAAAACGTCCACATAGGTGACTGATCAGCTTTGAGAAGGATGCACCCAATTTAATAAAGGCTCGGCAGACATTGGCCTCTGCTATTGGGATGTAATGCTCAAATCATTTAGCGCTATACAAATTATTGTCTTTATTTTAACCAGTATTTTTATGCCATTTATATTGAAGCTTTACTTTATATGACTAGATCTTCGACCGGCAGGGTGTGGAAGGAAGTATAGATGGCTCCTCTTGATGGGCCATTTACGTGAACATAGGCAATCTAAGTTCTCGTGTTATGACGACGGCACTCACATAATAACAACATGAGCTACAATAATCGTTCCTGCTGTTGATCATTGTCTCATGCTAAATTTGCTAAAACAACTTCCAAGGGTGTCGATGACTACAAGGATATGTCAGTAGTAAATTATTATCCATATTGTACAAATAACTAGGCAGTGAGGGTTACTTAGGGAGAATTGGGTATCCTGATAACTAAACAGCATGAAGGGCTACTCGTTTGGAAATTAAACACATGACACCGTGACCTACAAAGCTATCTTGTGACATTATTCTCATTGAAATCTTATCAGTATCGTACAACGAGTGTATTTCTTATCAGAACAAGCAAGAGAGGGTAAGCTTGAATTTTCACTCAGGACTTAATCGTCTGGTACCTTAGCTAGCCCTGAAGTAGATGCGGAAAGTTTTACAGACCACTTAAACCGTGATTTTTTATATAGATTGGTTATGGCAGGTGGTACAGTTGCGGACATCACTGCGCTAGAAAGATCATTAACAGTGTAATGCGAAAATGCGCTGGGCCTTAATCAGAAACTTCTTGGGTCGCTGTCATCTATGCTGTAACTGTTGCATCTGTACAAGTAGTCGGATGGAAGCTTTCAAACGATCAATACAATGATCTATATCCAATAACTGGCAAGTGTACGGAACCTTGATTTCCGACTGGCCATCCTTTATGGTGATTCTATAAATGTAGTTAGATCTAGATGTTTTGTGTTCACAGTATGACGACTTCCTACAACATGGTTGGGCGGTTACGAAAAGTTTAGGTATATAATAAGACTTGTTATGAAGGATTGGACAAGGAGACTTGGTATAGCTGGTTTACCTTCATAACAAGGGCAGATAACTGGGCTTGGAACTTGATTCTATTCAGATTACAATGATCAACTAGGGCTGCACGAGTCCTTCACCAACCAACTCCTTCTCGGCTGTTGGTGGCTTGACTCGACTCCATATACAACTAGTCTACCAGCCCAGACCACCTGGGTCTCAAGGGTCTATTTCAAGAAGCGAAGTCTGTATAACCTCACTTTCCAATATTGCCTGCATGTCTTTGAATGATCATGAACAGCCTGCAATGGCCCTTCGTACGGCCGAAGTGCAAGGCGAACTGCATGTTCAGCTAGTACAGCTTGTATAGCTTGTATGCGTGTTATAACCTTGGAAACCAACTGCTGACTCTACTTGCTATAGCCCGATGTTGGAAATACGACTTATATCCTGTTTTGTGTCTCTGGAACAACAACTTGAAATAATATTCTATTTTGAACCTACACTACCCTTGCGATGTCGTGAGAACTTTGATCATTTACCAAGAACTCATGCTGTGGTTCAATTGCATTTCAGCGCTCCTATGGCATACAAGCCTGGGCATAAGGTACTAAGTCTCATTTAGGGCTTTAATTCGCGGTGTTATTGAAGTTGGAGTTATGTAAGACGCAAATTGCATGTACCATAAGAAGAGCCACATCAAGCCAACCCCCGTTACATTGGTAATACTGTACGACTAGAGGGATGGCAAATCACCGGTCATATACCGTAACAATACCTCCGGCTTTCAAATCCGGTAGAGAAAAAAACAAGCTCCCCACATTCGCTAGGTTACGGGAACCAGCTGTTAGCCCAACGACATGTGAAGTGATGGGGCAAACTTTTGCTGTAGAAAACGGGTTTGTTTCTTCAGCGCATCTACCTTACGCTGTCCCTAGTATCCACCAAAAACGTGTTACAAGGTAACGACCAATACAACTGATTAACCAATCTGACGGACGCCGCAGAAGGCTTAGTCCCATTTGAGGGAGAGATAAGATGGCGTGCGCATGGCTTGCTAGTTGCAGCATCGCTAGCCTACTATTGATATGTTTCCCAGATACGCTGCTCCGAGATTGATGGCGCATCGGGGCTTCTGTGGTTGGGTCTGCTTTGGTTTGCCTCGGCGATTGAGCTCTATCTAGCATAGGTGAATACCGCTGTAGATTGGGAGCGATAATGATCGACCGGGGAGGCTTGCGCCTTCAAAGATAATTGACCAGTAGAGCTGGAGATAAGAGGAGGGGAAGTTTCGTGGCTCACTCCCTATGTGATAGGGAATGGTCAGCACTTGATCGACACGGCAGAGTATAAAATGTGCTCGTCAGCTTTTCAGATAACTAGTGATTATCAAATCTGTATTTTGACGTCCTGCTATTTGAATCAAACATGGTCGATATCGACGAGAAAGTATTGGCTGAGAAAGGGCTAAGGCCCAGCGATACGCAGCTTGGAGATGTTCACGATCTCCAAGTCCTCAACGCACTGGGGTATAAGCCAGAGCTACGACGGAATAGATCGATGTTTACGCTTCTATTCCAATCTCTTGCTATTGCCGCCGTAAGTGTGATGCATCGTATCGTATACCTTATTTCGAGGCCTGAAACTGTCTCCAGATACCTTATGGATTTGGTAGTCCGCTCATATCAGCGGTATACGGCGGAGGTACGTTGTGACAACATCATATAAGATGCGATATGCGGACTCAATGGAACCTAGGACAACTTCCTATGTTTCTGGGATGGATAGTGGTGATCATACTTGACGAATGCATTGCCCTGTCCCTGAGCGAGCTTGCTTCGAGATATCCAACATCCGCTGGCCCCTACTATTGGTCGTTCCAACTTGCCAGCCCCCAATATCGTACCGTACTCTCCTTTATCACTGGATGGTGCTGGCTCATCGGCAATTGGACGATTACGCTTTCGGTGAACTTCGGCTTTGCATCTCTCGTCGCCGCCACCGTCAACTTGTTCCAACCGGATTTCGCCGTCGAGCCTTGGCAGCTCCTCTTGATCTTCTATGCGTTATGCTTTTTGACCTTCTTCGTCGTTGCCTTTGGAAACAAGCTCCTACCTCTGGCCGATACCATCTGTGCCGTCTTTACGGCCATTAGCATCCTTGTTACACTAATTACCCTCTCAGTCAAAGCAGAGACAGGCCGACATTCACCTAGTCATACGCTAGTACGCCACCTCCATGCAGCAGATCGTCAAGGGCTAAACTTATTTGTACTCTTATAGGGCCATTATGACACGACCTTATCAGGCTGGGGTAACTTCTCCTTCTTTATCGGCATCCTTCCCGCCGCATACACGTAAGGCTGAGGCAGAACCCCCTGGCCGATAGGCAATCGTCGCTGAATTTGCTAATCCCACCTCAGTTTCTCTGCTATCGGTATGATTTCTTCCATGGCTGAGGAATGTGACAAGCCGACTGTCAAACTACCAAACGCACTGTCGTTGTGCATACCTGTTGGCGGAATTGCAGGCCTTTTCTTTGTAAGTTTCGCCGCTCTGAAATTGTCTAAATTGAGGCCGACGTCTTGATAGATTATCCCCATATGTGCCACGCTGCCGGACCTAGAGGACATTCTCATGGCACCCGTCGGCCAGGCGTTACCGTACATCTTCGGCCAAGTGACTGGCTCGCCTGAGGGCGGCCTAGCATTGACTGTACTCATTTTCATTATTACTTTCTTTTGCTCTGTCTCGATTACTGTAGCCGCGTCACGTTGTACGTGGGCATTCGCGCGAGATAATGCGATCCCTCTGGCTTCCCTATGGGCTAAGATTGATGAGACACATGGGACGCCGATCTGGGCGCTCGGGCTGACTACAGTCGTCCAGCTCCTCCTGGGCTTGATCAATCTTGGCTCTACCTCCGCGTTCCTGGCCTTCGTATCTGTAGGCGTCATATCGCTTGCTGTTTCCTATGGCATCCCTATTGCTATCTCTGTGACATACCGACGGAAAGAAGTTCAGGTGGCTCACTGGAGGATGCCAAGTGTTGTAGGATTTGCTGTTAATATCGTCGCAGTGACGTGGATCGTCTTCGAATTAGTGCTCTTCTCATTACCGACCGTGCTTCCGGTCACTGCTGCTAGTATGAATTATGCGATAGTAGTTTTCGTAGGCTTCATGGTCTTGAGTGCTATATGGTATGGCATCTACGCTCGAAAAGGTACGTCATTCTTCGTCGAAGCTTGAAAGTATTGTGACTGACTATGATAAACAGTATATCGAGGACCTCCTGAATCCGATGGACTTATTGTGGATTCATGATCAAACCCTGCACTCTTGTTTGGCTGAGTCAGTGCATCATACCACGGGGTATGCATTGGATTGTGTGGTTATACGTACGAAGTTGACATTAGTGATAGATTGTACACCAAACTCCAAACTTTCGATGACGTGAGCTCATCAATCAATTTGATTTCACCCGAGCTTGGGAGTGTTCCGGTACTGTTCGGGTGATCTCTCACACCTACTAAATCTTATCACGATCATTCTTTGGAAGGACTCGAGTCTGGGGCGTCGAGTTCGAGTTTAATTATTTAGTTTATAAGATATTGCAAAGCTATTGCATTTGGTGAAAGTCTTCGATTAATTGGAGCCTATCGATGACGTTGCATTGACTCCCTCTCAACAACTTCATTTCTATACGCAACATCGAGGAATATGGTTCAATCGCTTTGGAAAAAGGCATAGGCTCAGAGGATCCTAGTCTGTGACCGAATTTTTTATCATCACCATATTGTGGACTTGGAAGACCTTCCCATAATGGTAGAATTCCAGCCACTAAAGTGGCAGGTGCTTACACGTAGCATACGCGGCTCGCATCGTTGAGCCTCTTACCCATCTTAGCTGAGTTTGTCATGATCTCTGAGACAACACATAAGGTAAATAGCTTGCCTATTAGCAATACGCATCAGATGCGAAAGGTAGCAATCTCGAATAGAGATACCAAAGCCCTGAAATGATCTCTATTGACCGCCAATACCAAGTTCAACGACTCGAGAGAAGCCGTACACGTCACGCCACTGCTCCATATTCGCATAAGCGAAACTAGGCAAAGTCAAGAAACCGAAAAAGACCATGGGTCCTTATGGTATGTACCCGTATATGTCCTCAGACTCCCCTGCAAAGGAGCGGGGTCGTTGGCGGGCATCACTTGGGCACTGTTCTCGTGATAATAGCAGAGCGCAGCCTCTTGCTAATCAGCAATTCGAAAGCACATATGGGCTGTGCTTCTAGCTCAGCTATCACTGCCTGCGCTTGAGGTGTACATGGATTAATAAACCCAATTGAACATATCGAAAGTCGTGCTCAACCATGGGCACCATCTTGGCAGTGTAAATGCTGTTTTATCAAGACAACCCGGGAAGTGCATAGGAATATTGATCCCTATAACACTTTCTGATGGCGTCTTGCGTGCTACTATTCTCCATTAAGTAAGCTGTGTCTCACATTCCCTCCACAACCAACTCCATCGGTCAATTCCGTATGTAAGGAGTGGTCATTTCGCGAGGAGTCGGGGCCGGGTGCTACCTACGGTACACCTTGGCAAAGATGGTTTTAGACATCCCACTGAACGAAGAGCTTGAGCTGCTTGAAATAATTCGTTGAATGGGTCCCTTCTTCGAAGACTTATACGTCGTTTTTAGGGGGCGATGGAGCCCTTATTCCCTGTGCTGGGCCACCGACAATGGTGGTATCGATAATTTTCTCGAGATATGCGGTGTCGAATGTGCCGAATAAAGGCCACTATGTCCCAGGACCTTCTGTTAATTTCGGATTACCTGTACCGGATAATATCTTGCGGATTACCAACCGTAGCTGCGTGTTATGAGTTGCACCTCTCGCTTATGGGTACAGTCACACTAATCCGCTACTTCGGATTGATGAACTGAAATGGAACTTACAATCTATGAATTTTCGAAATTCGTCCATTCCTGACTTGTCTTTGGTATCCCGCGCTGGCGTATTTAACTAGAGTGGTGGGGGGAGCGTCAGAAGAGCGGCGGAGAGATTTTCCATTACTAGCATCATAACATCTGGTTCGCCCTATCCACGTGCTGAGGAACTCATTGTGAAGTGCCTTGCTTCATCCATGTTGGATAACAGCTTGGATTTTTACGGAAATGACGTATGCGATGTCTTAAATCGTGCTGATGAAATAGGAAGGTCTCTGCGTAATATGGCCGCAGCATTGCCAGTCAAGCATACTTGAGAGAAGGGAGGTAAATAGGACGACACTCAGAGCCACTGTCTTGAAATACCGCCGATAGGATCCTTAGAGGACCCTAGCCGAGTTCATATAATGAATGGGCCTTCGGGTCAAGATTTTGAGCATTGTGGTGATTGCTCATGAGATGAATGAGGCTGCTGCCAGGGTTATGTTACCACAAGTTTCAGGATGTAACATTCGTTTAGATCTCAGGCTAAAGGGCCACGTAATGCCCGATGTACGACATACTATTTGCGTATACTTGATTGTGGTGCGACTGGCTACTTTCACTTGCCGGCTTCGGAAGCTTTGCCCTTTCTTTTGGGTGTATGTGTGTTTTCGAGTTTCTCGGGATGACTAAACGTGCAGAACCTACTTCCTTTCTTGGTGACGGACAGTGCCGTTTTCTCTCCGTATAGCCGAGATGAGAATCGCGTCACCAAGCAGCTATCGGGCTTTCTATCTCTCGCGCACAACAGGAGGATAAGAGCAAAGTTACAACCATACTTAGTTGTGCCTGATCAACGGGAAAAAACAACGAGATGAAGTCGGCAAGGTTGTACAAGCGACCGGCTGAACGCAAGGACGGCTCGCCTTATCTTTTTCATAGTCAGATCGAAGGCACATCACCGTTGTGGGCAGATGCAAGTGATGTCTGCCGCCGCCAGGATCATGATATTGCTCTCGGCTCGTATAACCCCGATTCAGAAGCTTGAGGCCACAGGTCCATGCTCAGCCTAAGCGAAGGCGATCACCGCGTCGGCCGAGCGCATCCTAGCCAGTCATTCGTCGTCGAAAAGATATAACGGCGATGGAACCACCCGTCGGTGATGTTGTGACCGTCTATCATTGGCTTCAGGGACCGGAGGCGACGGGAGATGTCGGTAGAAGGGGCCTACATACCCCACAACGGGAGAACCCCTCAAAAGCGAACAGCAAGCCCCTGCCATGTGAGGTTATATCCGCACCGGAATTGTCACTCGTGAGCAGTCGAGGGAGGTGGAGAAAGCCAAACGGCCCTACAAAATCAAGAGCCCCCCCTGTACTCCAGTCTGTTTAGCCAGGTTTAGTTTAGATAGCTCTAGCTCTCTCTACCTTGTCTCTCCCATGCTTCCATGCTTCTGACCAAAAGACCCTCCCTCCCATCCCGATCCCTATCCTGTCCCTTGACCTCCCCCACAGTCTCTTGGCCCTTTGTGTGTGGTTGCTTCCAAGTGTTGATGGTGTTGTGAGATTCTGCCTCTCCTGTTCTCCTCTCCAACCGGAAGCAGACACATCTTCTTCACCCAGATATATACAATTTCTGCTCGTGTGAATACATGGCCGAGAAGCAAGAAATGGACCAGTCGCAAACGCGTCGTCGTCGACGAGATGGATCATCAGCCAACGTTCAACAACGGCTGTGCCCACACTGCGGGCGAAGTTTCAAACGGTCGGAGCATCTCGAACGCCACGTCCGCACGCGTCCGTTTTACCCCAACTTCTGATTTGTCTCTTCCGCATCCTCCTCAGCTCCACCATATTAGCAGTGCAAATTGAGAGGGAATGCGGCATCCAGCTAATACAGATCTCTAGATACTAAGGAGAAGCCATACATCTGTCACTGCGGATCAGCATTCTCCCGCCGCGATCTCTTGACACGCCACATGCGCATTTCGCACGAGACAAATGATGGGGCATCGAAATCGCCTGATGCGCCTGTCTCTGATGAGAGCCAACAGCCGATTTCTGAACCGGCCACTCCTAGTGATCCTGCTTCTTCGTCTAGATCAGATTTTGCAATAGATCGCGGTGTGCCCTCATCTCAGTATCTAGACTCCAATCATGATCTAGGAATGGTCAGTCATGGCAGTAGCTCCTATCATCAACTTTCTCCACGCCAAGATTACTATCACCAAGGTAAGCTATACAACCCAGAACCACAGCTATCATTGAAAATGATGCGTTATGAACATAATTCCTTATTTCCTTCTTATTCGTCTACCCGCGAGGAGGGCTCGACTGATAAGTTGGATAGGCCACCAATATTCAACCTATGATCAATACACGGGGTTTTCCAGCATGTCAGATACAACAGGCTTACAACAAGACTGGGGCTCGTACTATCATGATCAAGGTACCGAGCAGGACATGGTAGATCCTGCGTTACGTGGCTCGATGAGTGACCAACAGTCGCCTCTTGGACACAATGACTTCCCAAACCATGCCTATAATCCCTGGATGTCCGCACCTCAGCAGCATTGGAGCAATTAGGAGCGGCGTAAAATCACCACAAGAACTCGTACTATGCGCCAAATCTATTATTCTTGGGGAACGGTGGCCCATCAGTAATTCTCACTAATTAGTTTGAACAAATCCCTGTGGCTTGGGTATATGTGGCCACACTACCTTTTCTATCATTCTCCTAGGTTTGTTCAACACGGCTCGGCGTCTCTATGTCTGATTTGTGAAAAGTTGCAGCATGGTGTTTACTCTCCTCTGAAAGCTATTGTGTGTCTTGGGTTAAGGCATTGATGACGTTACGAGCCGATCACCGCTTCATTGTGCTCAGGGGTGTAACCCCCAATATCGAAAGAACAAACATCTCAGGTAATTTTACCACTTCTGCTCTTACGCAAAGCTCGATGGTCAATTTCTATAATCGTTTATACCAGGGTTGCAACAATATAGCTCAGCCAAATACTAATCGAGCATAGATCGCCAAGTCCTCAAGAGAAGAGGGTAGAGAGCTGAGCGAGGCCACACTCAGCATTGCACTCTACATTATTTATCCCACAATCCCCCGAAACAACCATGCGCCTTGAGCATTCAGACTTATGCTGCAGATATCCCAAGATGCAACCGTTCGAGGATTTATCACCAACCTGTTCCACAGTCCGAAGATAGTGGGGGACGACTAGGGACGGACATCATCCAGGTGCCACAGTTCTGCCTGGGGCGCGCGACCGCGTGCCACCACACCAACGAGGCATTTAGCATTAAGAATGCCGCGGATGTAAAGTTGTGAAACCGTTCATACCCCGCCTCTCACAACTTAAAGCTAGGACTACCCACCTAGGCTACTATCTCGACAGGCAACCAGGGTCCAAGGAAAAACGGGCCGGAGGACGACAAACATACGATACACAGACCCAACAGTCTAGGTAGGAGTGATCTAGCAGCAAACAAACCGCTTCTGCAGATTCGACCCAAGAATCAGATACCCGAGAGTGCGGCCGATGACGCAGCAATATCAGTGAGCCGAGCAAGTAAGAGGCAGGAGTTGGCGCTTCTGCATATACTCGCTTGATCTCGATCCATTCAGACCGGCGATTACATATGCTGTTCCACACAGCGCGCTGTCGGCACAGAAATTAAGCTCACTTTGAGCAAAGCCGACGCGCTCGCGTCAGTTATTTACATGTCGAGGGTTGCAATGACCGAAGGAGTAAAAGAAGGCCGATTCTAGAGCCTCAGCCTGCTAGATAGATAGACTAAATGCGGGAGACCCGCCGCCACGAAAGTCCCTAGCCTTTTTGACACTTAGCAACGCGGAACGCGGGTGGCCCGGAAGGCCGACATCGTGGGGGTGAGGGAAGTACACAGAGAGAAAGAGAGAGACAGAGAGCGAGGGAAGAACAGCGACACAGAGGAAAGGTCACATCGTTTGCGTCGCGGGCATACAGTACGAGACCCAACAGCGTAATCGCGCCGGTGCTCGAGAGTAGGGTTGCAACCCAGGTCTGGAGGCGAGCCGAGAGCTTCCAGGTAGGGTAGTGCCCCGTCGAGTGTGGTAGTGTCCGTGGCGTCGGAATGGGGGTATGAGCTAAAGATTATGCCTGTTTCTCCGCACTTGGCTCACACATGCATGCAGTTCAATGCAGGCAATCGCAACTGTTACCTCTTTATCTCATCTTTTTCTGTCTCTCACTCATCTGTGTTCCTTTCCTTCCACTCCCCGAGTATGCCGGGCTGAGCCGTGACCCCCGAAACCGTTTGCTGCCGTGTGACCTTTCTCAAGAGCGGGCAGAGAACGTCCTTATAGGTGGCCCCTCTCCCCCTTGAGTACGACCTTTAGTGTACACTAGGCGAGAGGTGGGCCAGATGATCCGACGAGAGAGGTCATCGCCGCTGTACAGTAGCTCGATCGTATCCCCTTGCCACGAGTGGAAGGAAATGATGTTTCTGGAGCATTATCTCTTTACTAAGGGGGCTGTTCTTCAATGACGGAATAGGCTACTTTGTTAAAATACTCGTAGATCTACGTCGTATCATACCCATGTAAAAAGCAAAAAAGGAATTTCAGAGTAAAATGTTGAACAAGTGGCATTCTGCGACCTTTCAAAAAACATCTAAGGGAGCCAATAGGGGCACATAACGAGAGTCCCATCCACCCAGATATTCCCCGTTGACAGCGACCCCGGGGCGCAGATTGGACGTTGGTGACTCGACTGCAGTAATAAGTCCGTATACATAACCGAGCCAGAACGGGCATGTTGGGTGTACACGATACTCTACCCACAGCTAGCAAGAAACAGGCTTTTTCTCTTTATATATACACCCTGCTCTCTAGTAGTCCCGACGTCTTGCCGACACGTTTTCGGTAGATGAAGAATCAACCAAACCCAATCTATCTGCCACTTCTCTTCGTCCTGTAACGACTACCTAGGTATCATGAATTCACACGGCGAGAAGGCCGTCATATCGTGCGACTGATTATCGCCGCCCTGGTTGGGTAGGTGGCTAACACGAGCCGTTTTCCACTCAAATGAAATCTGATGCATATTATGCCAGCCCACCTTCCGAGTACAGCCAGCACCTGCAGACCCTTTAGTGTGCTACTGTGGGTACGGAGGGCTCATGTACCTGTCTGCCTATGCCTCGTTTACGCTGGGATTCATGTAGGCCAGAGGTGTGAGCAACGAACGGTGGTCGGTCCCGAATAGCAAATGCAGAATGTATGTAGGTGGTTGCATATACAACAGCTGCAAAATTGTAGTTCGGTTTCGTCAGCTTCGTCAAAGATCCTCCGTCCCTCTGTACGAAGTAAGCCATCTAGCCAGGAACACTGTTCTGTAAATCAGATCATATTACGCTGTCGGGTCACTAGCCGAGAGTGGAACAAATCAGAGAGACTCAATTGCGATGCTTCAGAGAAGGTTGGCTGTAAATTGCTGGTAGAATGTCTGTTTCGGCTTTGGCTTGCATATTCGCTTGTCTGATGATTTCGGTCCGACTAGGTGAATAACTAGGTATTCGTCGTTTCAACTTGCCTCCTCTCCGCATTTTGTCAGAAAAATGGAACTTTTGTAGTTAGCTACATATCTTTCAATTTACCGTAAACCAGGGTCTTAGAGCAGGAATTAAAACGTCCAAGGTGTGACAAACTCATCTATTAAACTTATCGAGTTGGAGATATAGTGAGTTTAATAGATATAATGGCGATTAATACAACCATATTAAGCCTTGGAAATTTATATGCTTTGTATTTATATGAGCCTCTCTATCAAATGAGACATAACTTATTTGGTGTAACTGAAGTCAACTAACTCTCGTTTATTAGAATCAGCTGAGTAACATCCCATAGCTTCATGATGACCAACCCCAGACCCGCAGCCTGTCTCCATCGTATCGGTATTACTCAGCGTCAAAACGGCACACCGGTTCCCACTAGCATTGATGACAGCGGAATAAGCGTATCATTCTTGTTGAAGGGCGTATGCGGCTCGGTGATCATCTTACGCTACGCATAACTTACCATGATGCAGCATGCGGCAAGTTTCAGGGCAAGTTGACGCGATTCGCCCAGAGTGATCTTGTCAGTAAGCACTATGCATTGCATGCGATCGAAAATCTAAGCTATGGTGCCAAATACTGCTATCACCGTACCGTGCGTAGTAGGTAGCGGTGTGCCAGGAGAGTAAAGGGCGCGCTGGCTTGCTTGTTGATTCATTCGTCTCTGGAATTTTTAGTAGGGGAAGGACAAAAATAAGGTAAGAAAGCAAGAAACCGCCCAAAACATTAACAAAAGTTACAACTCGTATGGGATATCTACTGCTACGCGGTCTCGTCTCATGGCTTCAAAGACTATAAACCTTGGTCATTGTGTAGCCTACCCATATGTATCCTTTGTATTTATTGACTTATTGGCATTACACATGAGAGGAATCCTAGCTATGCCGGTAGGTCTACCTCACTAGCATACATACCGTATTGTACCCTCTGGTCTGTGCTGTATATCGGAAATTAGTTTCATGCTTAAGGTCGGTGACCGAGATATCAATGACATAGAGATGGAGTAGTTTTGGACTTCGTTAATTATCAATATAAATATTGTCAATCAAGTGATGTGAGCGAGTGAAAAACAAATCTTAGGGGAGAAATTATTGCAAAGACACAAGCTTAACGTAGAATTTATCCTTACACTTAAATAATTAGATCTGAGATACTTCATGTATTTCATTACGGTGATTATGTTAGTACGACCCCATATCTTCATTTCGTCTGAGTCTACAAGATCTATTGGAACTTATATGCTATTAGCCATTTTTACCTGAATTCAAGATGAGTTGCGTGTCCACATCTGATGATTCTCGTCACCTACCTTGATGTTTACTAGAGAGGCACAAATGGAAGAAAAAAACAATTGCCTTAACTGTTGTAGCGACGACTTTGAAAGACGAGAGGGAGATAATTGTAACTAGTTTGTGTTTATTTCTTGTTTTTGTTTCTTTATCATCGATCACAAGCATTCGACGTGCTGTGACGTTATAGCAAACCTCTAGAGCCTGCTGGTTTACGATCAGTAATCTCAACCCTAATCTACCCGTAAAACCATTTTCCCGTGTCCTTTCTCGTTAACGCCATGATGCACCACGCAGTTTCTGAAAGGCTAACTTAGCACCATCATTGTCATTTTTCTCGTCGCATTTCGTTGCTAGCCGCTCAAGCACCAGTGGCTTCTCGGTAAAACGTTAAGCTTCGATTGGCACCCGCAGTACAAAACATCTCATTACGAACTGTTTTAGGCAGCCACCGTACTGCCCAGAGCGCCTTGTCTGTTTCGCTGTGGGTCGCCACACACGCAGATCTCTCAATTGACCACACCTTTGCTTTGCCGTCGAAAGAGCCACTGAGGAGATACTCGCCCGTGTCATTCCAGTCAAGGGAAGTGATCCATGCGGTATGCCCGGTCAAATTTCCTACATGCTCGCCATGCTTTGTATCGTAGATAGCGATAATGCCTGAATCTCCAGCGGCAGCTAATCGCGTGCCAGCGGGAGAGAACGCGACAGCGCGGACAGGCTTGACAAGTCCTGAGTAATAGTAAGCTTGCTTCGTGAAGCCTGGCGATGTATATCTTCAGCTTTCCACAAGACAATTCTGACGTACCAGGTAGAGAATATTGTAGGCGCCCCGTATCATTGTTAAACACATAGACTGCGCCGCTCTGATGACCACTAGCCGTGTACTTTCCATCCCTACTTAGATCAACACACAACCCAAAGCTTCCCGAGCCTGCACTGCCTGTCTCGTACTCGCGGAGCGTCGCTCCGCGGTCACCGAGAAGGTCCCATACATTGATGCGTCCGTCGTAGGTCGTCGAAGCCAGGTACTGGCCATCTTCACTCAGCGCAATTCCCCAGAGCTCCCCAGCGCCGCCTTTACCCCTTTCCGAGGCCTTGGCTGCGTCGATATCGCCAAAGGACTCCCATTCGCCAGATCCCGACTCCGAAACCTTCCATATCTTGACGTCACCAGCAAAGCCGACAGATGCCGCGATCTTGCCGTTACGTGAGACTGCGAGGTGATGGCAGCCAAGCTTGTGCGCACCGGAGAGGGATTGGATGAGTGAAAAGGAGTCCTGGTTCGTTGCGTGTACGTATATTGTCGATGAGCCGCTTGCGGAGAGGATGGCAGTGGGAGTTGCGGCGAGCGAAAAGATGTCGGTTATGTGGGCTTCTGAATGTTAGTTTCTCAAAACCTAGCAGCCTATCTTACAGCAAAAAAAGAGAAAAAAAGAAAAGACGATAAACTGGACAATTGACAGTACGCAGCATCCAAACTTGTTAGAGGGATGCTTGCTTGATAGGGTGCAGAATGCAGCGCAAGCAAGAAAGAAGTAGGCAAATCTTAGGACTCACCATTATCCACAGTGTGTGTGGTAAGGTATTGTTTCGACTACGATGGCGGCTGTCAGCGGCGAAAGCAAAAGATACGGGCAGAGGAAGCCTGCCTGTAAAAAGGCCGAGGGAATCATACCATGGTTACCGATCCCTCTGTGTATTCATGGAGGATGGTTGTGGAGACACCGAGATGCTGAAGTGGGAGGGTGAGTGTGAGAGCTTTGGTGGGGTTGCGGCTTTCAACGTCACTGCCAGCACAACCACTACCTCGGGTTACAGTTGTGAAACTTCCAGGTTGTCTCTCTCCCTCCGTCTCACACAGAAAGCTGGGGACACTGGTTACATCGGTGAATTGATTGATTTTAATTTATTTTTAGTGCATTTTGGGATAAGTCGAGAGACTTAGGGACTACCTAACGATGCCTTATTTGCTTACTTGGGCTCGTGAATGATAAGGTAGGCATCTGACTTCGGAGGCCCATCTCATCAAGTTGATTGCATCAACGACGTCACTCCCAGATTCCAGCACTTCTGGACACTTAGGCCATGGCCATGGATTCAATGCAAATGCTTTGATATTCATGGCCATGGTACATTCTCTTCGTTACAGTATTTTACAGCACGTGTAATAATTGTGAAAAGCTCAATCGTATATCCAGACCCAACGCCATTAGAGGTATGCATATACACACTGCAAAAAAAGCCAAATCCATGTACTCTCATTCCTTCTTGACTGTCTGGCCGAGCACACCTGATATGCCTGTATATAACGTCAGTATCACGAGGAAACTACGCACAGATACTGTCTCGACTTACGGTTTGTGCACGATAGGCATAATGTATGCATCTTCTTAATGCCTCCACACGCGGGACACTTGTTGAGATTTGTAACATCCTTCAAGCCCTTGCCAGCCATTTGCCTATGCCTCTTTTTCATATGCGATGTCTTCTTCTTGGGGACGGCTCTAAGTATGCCTTCCCATATGTCACCAAGTAGTGATGGGATGTTGGATATAGCGGCAGGAATCGCGATCGCGAGGGCGGGTATTGAGGGAAACGGAGACTGTCGCAATTGTTGAGACGCTAGGATCGCTGATCCAAAGGAGGAACCGAATAGCGGCGATGAAGCCCTCGGGAAGAGAGCAGACAGAGCCGACGCCATTCGAAACTGCTGTATAGCTGCCATCTTGAGCGTATCCGAGGCTTAGGCGCAAATAGTCGTGATAGCACGAGGTCCACAAAAGGGCAGCAAGTGAATGCGCCTTATTCAAACAAGCTGCTAGGGGAGAACCAAAGAGCTCAGTGATGCCGCGATTGTTGTATGGAACAGACAGGCCAATGACACACAAGACCACTGACAAGGAAGCTTGTCTTCTCGCCAACCGTGCAAGGCTGCTTCTTCAACTGGTGATGCCGGTGGATGGATTTCACTGGGTCCTGACAGGAAGTTCAAAAATCGTAAAAAGCTCGGGCCTTCAAGACTGGCTGCTGGAGCAGGTGCTTCCAGTTCCGGGTTACGGTAGAAGTACTTTCAGCCTCGCTGTAGATGTTGTGCTGAAGATGTACATATACCTTGGGTATCGATATGCAGCCAGCAAATGAGAGGCTTCGGTCCCTGATTCTCGCCCCGTTTAATGCGTAGATGCGCTACGGTAGTGTACACCAGAGCTCTACAGCCAATCAACACGCGTCGGCTTAGTGCATTCCCCTTTTCTAACCCGACTGGGCCCCGAAAGTGTCCCCCAAAGGGTCTGCGGTCTACCAGGTCTACTTTACGGTTTACCTACTAGAGTACCGGTACGTGTAGGTACCTTCCAAGGATGTTGGTAATGTACCTGGACAGCGCATCTGGGTACTTGCCTAGGCACTGGTCTTGTACTTACCGCAAAGTAGCTACTGCACTCCAGGCGGAAATTACACTGGTATTCTTTTGGCAGTGGCAGCGGCAGGAACAAGTCACCCGTTTGGTGCACCATCTGTTGCAGGGGCTTGCAAACACGAACATTCTCCTGGACGGGCAAAATATCCAAGCACAACCACAACCTTCAACCCTCTCCTTCATCGCCAACGTCGTCGGTAGCCCGCAAACCAAACAACACGCTCATTGTTCATCCCCGTACCCTCGCTTGCCTGTTCGTTCCTCAATCGCCGCACCGGCTCCTTTTTGGAATAGGAACCAACACTGATACCCTCCCATCTTTATCCAGTCCGCCTTAAGCTCCCCCCGAAGCAATGGCTACGCCTACTGTTTATCCCAACAGCCATGTTGGTTTTGATAGCATCACCTCCCAGATCGAGAAAAAGCTGTTGAAGAGAGGCTTCCAGTTTAATGTCATCTGCGTCGGTATGTCTTATTTTCCACCATCGTCTCACTGTTGTCACAGCCCCCCGATAGCCTGCTTCTATGTATGGCTTTGATCTCATGCTGCATTGCATGCATGCACACGGAGCTAACGTTGATACCTGACGTAGGTCAAACTGGCTTGGGCAAGTCGACTCTGATCAACACCATCTTCGCCTCCCACCTCATCGACTCTAAGGGTCGTATGCTTCCCGATGAGCAGATTCGGACTACTACCGAGATCCACCCCGTGTCACACATCATCGAGGAGAATGGTGTCCGTCTACGACTGAACATCGTCGATACACCAGGCTACGGCGACCTGGTCAACAACGACCGCTGCTGGGACCCTATCGTCAAGTATATCAAGGATCAGCACTCCGCGTATCTGCGAAAGGAGCTCACAGCACAGCGAGAACGTTACATTCAAGACACCCGTATCCACTGCTGCCTTTTCTTCATCCAGCCTTCGGGACACTCTCTCAAGCCTATCGATATTGTCGTCTTGAAGAAGTTGTCAGACGTTGTCAATGTCGTCCCCGTCATTGCCAAGGCCGATTCCTTGACCCTCGAGGAGAGACAGGCCTTCAAGGAACGCATCAAGGAGGAATTTGCCTTCCACAATCTTAAGATGTACCCGTACAATAACGACGAACTTGACGATGAGGAGCGCGCGATCAACAACCAGATCAACGTACGTCTCGAGGGAACCCTGAATTGTTATCATAACGTTTACTAACACTTATTATAGAGTCTTGTACCTTTCGCTGTTGTCGGCTCGGAGAAGTCCATTATTGTTAACGGCCAGCAAGTCCGTGGACGCCAAAACCGATGGGGCGTGATCAACGTCGAAGATGAGACTCATTGTGAATTCGTCTATCTCCGTAACTTCCTACTTCGGACACATCTCCAGGATCTCATCGAAACTACGTCTCAGATCCACTACGAGACTTTCCGTGCTAAGCAACTGTTAGCGCTAAAGGAAAGCAGTGCTCAGGGGCACGGAAGCAGACCCATCAGCCCTGCTGCTGACCGAGAAATGAGCAGGAGCTCTCAACGTATGACTATGAACGGCTACTAAGCTTGATTAGCCAATTTTGACTTCGAGATCTCGGCCTCTTTATATGCAAAAACCGAGTTTGCGATCTGAAAGACGGCGATTAGTTTGCTTCCTGAACAATCGCACGGAACATATATCTAGGAACGCGGGCTAATTCATGGTTCTCTCCCGCGGAAATGGAAAAGTCTGGCTTGAACCAAGTATAACGAATTCATATCGCTGGTAATGTGCGCCAGGGCACTTGGGATTAAAGAGCGGAGCTCTATATGATACCACGGCCGAGGTGTTGGCCTGGCAGAGTACCTGAACTTTGTTATGTGTATGCGAATTGGCGGTCGAGCAAGCAGTATTTGTGTCGGTATACCTTCTGATGACGCGGCCTTCTCTTATTTCCTTTTAGTATTCCCCCCGAGCTCTTTTCATCTTCTAAAAGACTAATCCAAGAACGGAGCTTCTACCGTGCTCTACATTAGAGTCAATTTCGGTAACTAATGGAGAAAAATACGAAAATTATGATCCTCATGTTAGCATCGAGTCCACGATATGTACACATGGTGATTATCGTAGATAAGTTTTCTACTACAGGGTATAATCTAATTCAACGGTTCATCATCTGCTTGTAACGCTGCGCCCCCACAACTTTTAGTGATCTATATCTAGATATCTTCGTCTCGTTTCGCCATGCCCCAGGCTTCTCTACCCAACTGGGCTTCCTGCATGTCCTTGTTCACAATTCATGCTTATTATTACGAGGCCAGCTTGTGCACTCGGCCGTCTATGCCGAAGGCTTATAGAGGCTTATAGACGTAGTCCTCGAGCTGTTTGTACGCAACGTCGAGGTCGTCATTTACGATGATGAGGTCGTGAACGCCGGGTGTGTCAGCATACTCGAGCTCTTTCTTGGCCTGATTCAAACGCTTGGTTATCGAGTTCTCATCTTCGGTGCCCCTGCCCCGAAGCCGCGTCTCTAGGGCCTCGAAGCTCGGCGGCTTTATGAAGACGAAGCGCGCGTCTATGCTGCTCTGTCTTATCTGTTTCACGCCCTGTTTGGAAAACTGTCAGCCTGGCTGTCCCGTCTTTCTTGGGAAATAATGATGATTGTGCGAGGTCTATGGGCCTGTGACATATCGTGCTGGGTGGAGAGATCTTGTGAGGGATTCTCTCGTTCTCCTCCCTTTGAATATTTCAATCATCTGAGGATAGCGCCGCGGGAGATGAGAGGAAATTGAATAAAGACGGTAAGTCCTGGCTACTAGAATGGGATACCCACCTCCATCTCGATATCAAGCACAACGACCTTGCCTTTGGTCGTCTGCTCCTCGATCGTCGCCTTACTCGTCCCGTAGCGGTTGCTGTTGAACTGGGCGTGCTCGACGAAGCCGTCGACTGCGATCAGCTCTTCGAACTCGGCCATCGTCACGTAGAAGTAGTCGACGCCGTGCGCCTCGCCGGGCCGGGGCGCCCGTGTCGTGTGCGATACCGAGAGAGTAAATGTCTCGGGGTGCGTCTTGAATAGGCGCTGTATCAACGTGCCTTTGCCGACGCCCGAGGGCCCGGAGATGACGAGCGGGCGGCGATCGGCTGGAGGTGCTAGAGACGCGAAACGGAAAGGTGTTAGCTGTGTTTTGGTCATTGTTTATTCGTCTCCTAGCTTATAAGATCCAGACAGATAGTGTAAGGAGCTAGGTAAGACTGTTTCGGTTGGGCGCACATTGCTACGGCTCGCGACGTTATGTGACTGACTACGCTACTTGCATGGAGGGGCTGGATGACAATAAGACAGGTGCGCACGTACTGGGTGCCATGTTGGATTTGGTCGCGAATCGACGGCGGACGCTACAATATGCCGAGATTTGACTGAATGGTCTGGTGTTGGCGATATGGCGGCCCAGAGAGTGCATAGGTTATATATCTATATCGGGTTTGTTTGTTGGGTGCGGGACAGCGAATAATCGTGGCCGAACCATCGAAATAATTCCACAGTATTTTTTTTAGGCTTCGAGGGAGGGACGGCTCAATCCGAGGTGAGTGTTTGCCATGTGGGATGGCGCCTTGGGTTGACTCAAACCACTAGCCACAATGCCACTACCCGCTGTGCATACTGTATACTACCTCCTACCTACTCTGTATGTAAATGTATGTACGGAGTCTAAGTAGGCGGGTATGGATATGCATGCATGCATGATTGGTCAAGCCGCATTTGACAGCGAGGCCTGTCTGAGGCTGGTGAGTCGTGACCGTTGAGACGGTTTTCTTTCGAATCTACCGGTACATGTAAATCTCACCACGGAACCAGAGCATTCAGACAGACCGAAGAGGAGAGAGTCTTACCTTATCGACAAGGCCCTAGTTTGCTGCTAGTCTCGAGTTGGTAGATGCTTGGCAAAGAAACGTCCGGCATTAAAATCTTTTAGATCCAGCGATTTTCAGGGGACAACCCTCTTTCTACGGGACTTTACCATGTGACTCTGTGTTTGAGAAGGGCATCTCGTTTCAGCACTTGTTGCAAACCTGGCCAGTGGTTTCTCTTTGTTTGCAGATGGGAATTATTCCAGGACTAATCCCCCTTGCTTGGTGATCTTGGACTTGTCGTAGCTATACTCGTCCGACTTATGGTCATCGACGTATTGTCGGGTATCAGGGTAATTAGACTTGTCTTAAAAAAGCTAACTCGTAATGAATTGCGCTATTTCTCTCGTACAAGCCAGTTAGTCACCTGATGACGTTATACGAATTCCTGGTAGAGAACCTATCCCTAATGTAGGTACAATATTCTACACAGAAGCCGACTTGTTGAAGATAGGCAAATAAATACGCAGTAAGCAAAACTGCGCTAATCATCTTATACGGTATCCTATCGTGATCATTGCCACCTCGTTTCTGCGTCGCTAGGTTTTCTTCAAATATCGTGTTCAACGGCTGAGGTAACTTCAAGTTTACTATGTACTTCTCCATGAATAGCCCGGATAGCGGCTACACTGGAGGGAAGCATCTCAAGCTAAAATGTCAAGAACAAGTTCCCAACCCCTCGCCAACCAAACAAGCAGGCAGATGGCTCCTTGGTTCTGCCTTGATCCTCGATAGGGTTCCCGTACCTCACTTCTGCTCACTGTAGAATATAGGTAGATAGATATGTGCATGTACAATGACGACTACAGTTCGTGATGAAGGCAATGCTAGTGGACAAGAAAAATCACCTACCCACGACTCACGAGAAGGGCCCCCCTTCTCCCCCCCTTCTTCTCCCTTAGTGCATGCCGGCCATTTGCTCATTTCCTAGTCAAATTACACGGTGCATTTTGTTCCCGGTTTGGCAGGTCCGCCGCACACATTGATTGGCCCAGAGGCAGAACCGCCCATGTCCGTCCCTGCCCCGTGTTCTGCTCTGTACTTACCAGTTCTGCTACCAGCGCTAGAAAGCGCCTTCCACTGAATCTTCGAGCCTGTGCCAAGCCATCGTCAACCGCCTTTGTCCTCCCCCCTTGTAGACCCAGTCTCTCGCCCAAGTGTTTAAGGGCCAGCAATGCCTCCAACCCCCTGCGACATCTCTTCTCCTGTGTTTCGATGATTTGTCTTGGGTTTATTTCTCATTAACTCAATCGTCCCTCGTTGGTTCACTCACACTCTTTGACTCAGATTCTTTCTTTTTGCCAGTCGGCATTTCTAGTCGCTCTCTTTTGATCCTCTTCCACTAGGAATTTAGTAAACGTTATTTTTCTCCCATTTTCTAGACCAACGCGTGGTTAAACCCGCCAAGTCTCGTTATAATGCTCGTCCGAGCCGCCCTCGCCGCCCTGGGCGCCGCCACCTCTGTGGCCGCTGTCACACCTCTCGAAGTCCATGGGTCACAGTTTGTCAACCCGAAGACGGGCGACGCCTTCCAGGTTGTCGGTGTCGCATATCAAATCGGTGGCAGCGCTGGTTACGATCCCAAAGATGGCAAAGATCCCCTATCTGACGGTGACGTCTGCCGTCGCGACGCCGCACTGATGCAGATGATGGGTATCAACACAATCCGAGTGTACAACCTGAGTCCCAACATCAACCATGACGAATGTGCAAGCATTTTCAACGCTGTAAGTTTTGTCTTGGTCCGAGGTGCATCTAGCATAGTTCTCTGGTCATCAAAGCTGATTGTTTCTTTCTCGGCAGGCTGGCATGTACATGATTATTGATGTCAACTCTCCTCTGGTCGGCGAATCTATCAACAGCTTAGAGCCTTGGACCTCATACTACGAGGCCTATGTTAACCGAACATTTGCCATTGTGGAGAATTTCAAGGCGTATCCTAATCTGCTTGGTTTCTTCTCTGGAAATGAAGTTATTGATGCCGTCAAGACTGGCGCTCACGCGCCCCCTTATATCCGTGCTATTACTCGTGACTTGAAGAACTACATCAAGAATCACGCTGATCGTGAAATCCCTGTTGGGTACTCCGCTGCCGACGTTCGCGACGTTTTGGAGGACAGCTGGAATTACTTCCAATGCTCTATCGAGGGCGAAGCTGGTGACATGTCCCGCGCCGATATGTTCGCTCTCAACAGTTACTCTTGGTGCGGTGAAAGCAACTTCCACGACTCAACCTACGATCAGCTTATTGAGCTCTTTAAGACGAGTTCCGTTCCTGTCTTCTTCTCCGAGTTCGGCTGCAATACACCGTCGCCTCGTATCTTCACTGAGATCGCCGCTATATACGGCTCCAACATGACTGAAGTCTTCTCTGGTGGCGTTGTCTACGAATATGCACAGGAAGAAAACAACTACGGACTTGCCCAGGTCAACAGTGATGGCAGCGTCGATTTACTTTCTGACTTCCGCACCCTGCAGAACCAATACTCTAAGCTCAACTTTGATTCTGTTCAGAACGTCAAGGCCACTGGCAAGTCCATCACACCCCCTACATGCAGAGAGAGCTTGATCAAGGAAGATGGATTCAACAACAACTTCACCTTGCCCGTTCCGCCACCCGGTGTCCAGAAATTGATCGATAACGGCATTGACAAGAAGCTCAACGGAAAGATCATTGACATTAGCGACTGGGCTGTCAGTCAAACAGTCAATGACGTGGATGGCAACAAATTGCCGAAACTCGCTGTCAAGCCTCTAGCCGACGGAGAGATTAACACTCCCAGCTCGACTGAGACCGGTAGTGGCAGCAGCCCTGACACTAGTGACAATGCCAGCCCTCGATTGGCTGCTCTCAACTCGGTCTCTGCAGTGTTGTTTGCTATTCCAGCCATTGTCGCCACTTCGTTCGCGATTGGTGTCACCTTAGTATAACCAAATACGGCATCCCAATGGAGCTTAAATGCTTTCTCGATAAAATAGAAAGAGAGCAAGGTGTTAAATGCAGCGATTACCCTTTGATTTTGTCAAATTACGGACTATAAATGTCCCTTCATTGCTATGAGACAGGCGTCTTGCATATAGTGCATGGATTTCGCTCGGTTGATTGATTGTACATAAGCTGGAGAGCTGTAGGAGGTTTTTCTTTAAAGTGCTCCTTTTGAGCTCATTCGTCTTTGATTGCATTAGCGTTGTGTCTGTTCGATTATATTTTTGATACCATATTATGACAATGAAAGCCGCTTCGTATCGCCCACGATTCTCTGTCTGCCTTGTAGTACGAATTGGTAAATACCTATTCAATCCTCGCTGAGATAGTTTGTCTTGGATGTTGCCGGCTCAATCAGATCCTACGAGCCTACCACGATTGGCTGAGGTTGATAGGGGTGCCTGTTCATGTATGTAGGTATGCACGTGGTCACTTTCGAGTTCAACCTTCACTTACCTGCCTGTCCATATTATTTCTTGCCTGAACACTCGATAGGGGCTATCAACTTGGAATGATGTCTTCTGTTAGAGTTTCCCTAGAGGCTAATAATCTAGTTGAAATTTGCATCTCCCTAGGTTAGCTAACTGTTTCTATTATCCCTCTTTGTATATTCATGTTCTCCTTGGTAATGTATGCGCTGTGTCTTCCTAGTTGATATGCGCGTATTCTTCATAAATCATATATATATATATATATATATATTCTCTCCCATACCGGTAATTCGCTGTGAATTCCATCTACGTGCCAACGTCCTTTACTAATTATTGCGTCTTCCTCCGTTTCTACCCTCGTGCCTGGTCTTGAGAGCCCCTGCTTGGCGAAGGTCGCAGTGTACCTGGACAAAGTGCATGCATATCGTTGGCACGTGTATAGTGATCTTGTTTGCGTGTGAAGTGTTGGCACATCACGTATACGTCGCCCAATGATGTTATACGACCAAACTGCCGTGATTCATGGTATGTGTCTACCTTTCCTCTCCCTGCTATGCTTTCGCTCCTCAGACTCTGACAAGTAGAGCTGGTACGCATAGAAGATTAGGTAGTCTTATGGCGAGTTGCTACCAACTACTTACTTAGGTTTGGTAATATAGCTTGGTCCTTCCACGGCGATGTTTTCTAGGTAGGAGCTCGGATATGGTCTTCTTTGCATGTAATGAGCTGACGGGCGAGAAGGGGGAACAAGGGGTCTGTACGTGAATGTTGCGCCGAAGTTTCCGTCTGTCCATTCGAATTTCACCACGTCCCAGCCTTGAGCTCGTCGAGAAACAGTCCCAGTGCAGCATCGGCCTGCGTATCCTGAGCGAGAAACTTGCGGAACCAATCGTACAGCAGAAGTTGACTACATTGACAGACGGGGAAGCCGATGAAGACATCAGGCCCCCAGTCAGCCAAACCCGCTCCCTCCTCTAGCCAGCGGTCCAGTCTCTGGCAACCATCCGAGGCTTCGAATAGGCTGACAAGGTCTATGGGTCCGCCTCCTGTGCAGAGTGGACAGGTCTTGGCATGGTATACATATCCGCACACAACAAACGCGCTCATAAGGAGCGCGGGGATAAGGAGAGGATTGAGACGGATACGGGTGGTTGCATTCTCCAACGACAACTCGCCCGATACAATCCGTGCTATCTGCGCGCTATGCCACACTGCTGTGCGAGCGATCTTTGAGGCTTGCCAGGTTCGCAGCGGGTGCCGCAGTTGCGGCTCGAGAGGAATGTCGAACTCATAATAGCGCTGCTGGAGTCCCCAGAGATCAGGCGGTGCATGCATTTTCAACGTCGTCATGTGCCAAAGGAGTAAAGTTTGAGGGTCGATGTCATCCCCGCGAGAACCCTTGAAGTAATGTTTTCGAAGTCTGTATAGTATCAGAATTACATGCTTCTCTGATATAACCATTCTGGTCACTTGTACGGCGAAAAATATCTGGACCAAGGAGATATGGTATACTCACTAAACACGATTAGTATATATTCAATTTATACCTGTGCTATGATGGTCAATGGGAGATGATGCAGTCCTTACCTCACAATCATGTTCTAAATTAGTCGCCCAAGTATTCAGATGCGACCGCCAGTCGGTGCGAAGATCTTGGGGATGGGTCCTTGACTGTATATCCTCTGGAATCGTGCGAAGAGCTTGGTGGGATGCCTCCCATGCACCAGATTGGATAGCGCAAAGAATGAAGCTTTAGCAAAGTCGACAGTTAGAAGTTATCGTCACGGTAAGCGGCGTATTTATAAGTATCCAGAACCCTTATAAGACAGAGAATAAATAAAAATTTGAAGCTCAAAAATACGTACTGGTAATCAATCTTAGTCCAGGGCGGTGCTAAAACATTCGGACGTGGTGTGCCGAATAAGTCATGGACTCGAAAGCCGAACGATGTTTTCTTTCGTATCATAGTCTCATCTTCCTGTAGTCGCCGTCGTTCTTCCTCACCGTTCACACTAGTCCACCAAGTAGCATGGCAGAGGGACATGGAAAGCTCTTGGTATCGAATCAGGGGCGGAAAATCTGTCATTGCTGAAAGGTAGGCATCAAGACGCAGCGCAGCAAAAGCTATCCTGGCAATGGTCAGTATTAAGTGGCTCTTGTAATCAAATGATACTTCTCACCCATAGTATTGTTGTTTATATTCCTCCTTTTCGGTCGAAGCCTCGTTCGATGCATACCATATCCCTCTCTGAGGAATAAGTATACGAGCAAGACGGCATGCAGAAACTAGGTCATTATGGATCCGCCAGGCTTTGAGTACCATTCCTTCTGTAGTCTATTCGTGCTTCAGAAACAGCAGCCGTTAAAGCGAAAATGATTGTTACTCACAAGGCAGCATATAGCGTAGAGGAGACAGAGCACAGTTGCCTGTAATACAGGTAGGGATGGATTTCGGCCCTCATGTAAGTTAATACCTTGTACTTACAGCGAGTGAATTGATGGGGCAGACTATACCGATTTTGTCTTTTCGATCTCGTCCAGGGCTTGATTAAACAGCGTTGAATGGTCTTGAGCTCCTTCAAGCCAACTGACGAGCGCCATAATCGATGTTACCAAGGGGCCTGTACTCTCGGGCATGATCGTAGAAGACTGTAGTATAGGCCAACTTGGATGAATTTTAGTAAAGTAAACATCAAGGCGTCTCCCCATATTCGCAGGTTCCTGGACCGTAGGCACTTGGAGGACTTGTGCTTGGTTGGATGGCGGGTCTGAAACCTCAGGAGGTAGTTCCGAGGCTACGTCTTTACTGCTGACAATAATTTTGCTACGGCCCAGACGAACACACTCTAGGTCCCTGCGGCTGCAAGGCCTGCATGGGTGTTCTTCGTCACATTTTGTCTTGCTCTCTCGACAGCGGGTACACGCTATAAATTCACGCTTCGGCTTATAGTACTGCGGATGAAATTCCACATGCCGCTTGAGAACGTCGCTGCAGAAAATTAGATATTAATTCCACTTCTATGAAATTCATTCCCTCATGTCTTATTACCACTACGACCAAGAGTGCTACTCACCTTCGTGCATACCGTCGGCCACAGATATGGCATGCATATTGCAACTGAGTATCGTGTGACTTCAGGTGTCTCGTCAAATGCTCTTTTCGTCGGAACACCTTTCCGCAACCGGGAACCTCGCATTCAAATCGCTTTGTAAGGGCCATGGATCCAGAAGGAGGTCCCATCACAGTCAGGAGCTGCACCGGAGTCGTGTTAGATTGGCTCATGGCTCGCTTCCAATACCTTCATAGCTCGTGTCGGTAATGTGGGATAGTGTACGGGCTCTTGAAAGGCCCATGTAGGTGAGCAAATATTGAGCTAGACCAAACCAATGGCACCAAAAATGGCACAACTGTTGATTACAAGTCAACTAATACGAGCTAATCGCTGCAGAGCAGAGGGCCGGTACTAACTTCATATTGGCCATTTTTGAGGACTAAAGGAGACCTTGGATTGCAAATGATGCTTAGGAATATCCAATCGGGAGTGTGGGATGAGTTGATTCCTCATCCAGTTTAGCTCAGTCCCACACTCTGTTGGTTAGTACTTACTCAGCGGCGTGCCATGTGGGATGTCTATGTGTGATAACTATCTGGGATATTTATGTGGGAGACCTATGTGGGATGTCAGCGTCGTAAGTGGGATATAATTATGTGGTTCTACGGGTTCTGCTACAGGTTGGGATGGAATATAAAACAATATATGCTTACAATATCAATCTGATTAGAGAAACACCATTCTGGAACCACATGGAGATGAAACAGGAAATTACAAAGACTTCATCATGATGCCAGAGCTATATGGGATGAGCTCTCGTATAAAAGGGCAGCTTTAGCTATGTAGAGAGGCAACTGCTTGTACCGCATCACGAGCTTCACACACAGTCTATCACTGTATCAATAGAAATATTTCAGCATCTAGATACTATTTGTACGATTTTCAAATAGATCAACATGAACAACGTCGCCCTTATCGGTGCTACTGGCAACCTTGGTCCAGCTATCCTCAAACACCTGCTCAAGGCAGGCTTTCAAGTTACTGTTCTTACCAGGGAGGGTACCAACCACGAGTTTCCACCGACCGTCGCAGTCAAACACGTCAACTACGATTCGATTGATTCTCTTACGGCTGCTTTTCAAGGCCAAGATGCTGTCGTTTCTAATCTCGGATTCGAGGGCCTCCTGAAGCAGCAACGCATCATCGATGCCGCAATAAAGGCAAATGTCAAGCGGTTCATCCCCTCGGAATTCGGATCTGACACAACGACCCCGAAGACCGCTGGTCTGGCCGTCTTTGCCGACAAGATTGCTACGCAAAAAGTGCTAGAAGAGGCGGCGGCGAAGGGAGCCATCACTTACACCAACATCATTAATGGACCATTCCTAGACTGGGGAATGCAGGTTGGCTTGATCCTCCAACCGAAGGAGAAAAGCGTAACGCTTTACGACGGTGGTGAGCGTCGCTTCAGCACAACAACGCTGGACACCATTGGAAAAGCTGTCGCGGCCGTACTGAAAAAGCCTGATGAGACTAAGAACCGAGACGTCTTTATTCAAGACGCAGCGCCGACGCTCAAGCAACTCAAGGCCATAGCGGAAAAGGTCACGGGCGCCGCTTGGCAAGCCAAGGAAGTGTCTGTTGAGAAGGAAGTGCTCGCTCCTGCCTTAGCCGAGCTGAAGAAGGAGAATCCTGACCAGGGAAAAATAGCTTACCCCTTGATCATTACATCGATCTGGGGAGAGGGATATGGCACTCCCTTTTCAAAGCTGGACAATGAGTTGCTGGGACTGAGGGAACTTACGGAGCCTGAGCTCGAAGCTGTCGTAGCTGCTGCTATCAAATAGGTCATCTTTGCAGTGCTGGAGGTCAAGTTAGATGCCTATGTTGAATCGTGTTAAGTAGTCTTCAAATGGTAGTCTTTACTGGGCAGTGACCGACTCATACGACCGAAGCTGGTCGCGGAATAAACCTGGAATTGGAGCGCCCATCCCATCGGAATTAAACCAAAGTTCCATTGACCTGCGTGCTGGGATTTGGTGCAGGTACCGATCAGTAGCCGGGTCAGAGCTGGGTGGACAATGACGTTATGCTTGGGACCCTTACCATGTAAGATCTTACGTACACGCCACTAAAGTACAGCTAAAAGCGGGAATTGCATCATAGCCGCTGCGACTTGCAACGCAAGCACTTAGAAACTCAACCTTGAAGAGGGCCCCTCTCAAACCCATGTTCTTATTATACGTTCTTGTTATACACCTCGGTGTTACCAAACAATTGATAGAATACTTATGAAGTGTCGTGACCCATATTCTCGCTATGCGTCCGTTTCCCGAAGTTTCCAATGCAGGTGCAGGTGCAGTTGGCAGGAAGGTCTCAGCCGTGCGTCGAAGGATTCCACCTGTCCTGCGTCCTAGATTAACCTGGCGATACATTTTTTCTGTCGTTATTTTGTCCTACATCTTATACTGTTATCTTTTTTCGTTGCCATTCTTTGCGAGCCCCTTGCCAATGTACAGCGGGCCATACCCGGTTGGGGCTATCGACATTGAATCACCTGTGTCACAACCGAGAGTTGTGGACACGGCCCGATTCAAAGATTCCCACGAGAACCCGTTTGAGTTGCAGACAGTCTTGTTTACACTTTACTATCCGGCCAGCCACGGTAAAGGTTATAACAAAAAGCACCACTGGATACCAAAGCCGGTCTCCGTGACTGCCAAAGGCTACGCCAAGTTCGCAAAAATCAGCAATTTCCTCACAGATGCACTTTTTACCGGCGCACTCCGCACCCTTGCGGGTGGGATCAAAATACCCGCCAAAGTCGATGCGTCTCTTGCTGAGCTGGCCCCGCCGGTAGCTAGTCATCCGGATACCCGCCAAAGTCAAGAGTTGCAGAAGGTAGCTACTATCGAGAAATACGGACACCCCATCATAGTCTTCTCCCATGGCATGGCCTCTAGTAGGACCGATTATACGCATTACGCTGGCGAGCTGGCATCGCGGGGGTTTATCGTGGCTATGCTCGAGCACAGAGACGGTTCATGCCCTGGTTCGGTTATTATGAGGGATGGCAAAATGCAGCCAAAGTTCGCTTTTAAGCGCTCTGAGGTGGAGTCTGCAGAAGGTGAAGAGCTAGAAGCGGATGACTTCAACCGAGCGCAACTCAATTTTCGCGAAGCTGAAATTGAAGAGCTAGTCAGAGTATTGAGACAGATTAATGACGGAAAAGGGGAAGAGATTTTCAACCAGAACCCTAGAAACGAGGGTCAGGAGTTAGAAGACTGGGTTGGAAGGCTGAATATCGACGAGATGGTCATAGCGGGACACAGTTTCGGTGCGACCGGTGCGCTCCAGGCCCTCAAGGGTGGTCCAAGTGAGAAGAGACCATTTATCGGTGCCATCGTTTTGGATCCTGGTAAACAGAGCGGAAGATTAAATCATGACGTTCATGTGCCCTTGTTGGTTGTTCACAGCAATTCATGGAGCAGCAAGCACAGCATATTCTACGGGCGGGCCCATTTCGACGTTGTCAAAGCTCTCGTAGAAGAGAACAATGACAAGCGCGGAAACCCATCTTGGTTCATGACCTCGCTCGGTACCTCTCATCCTTCGGTGACAGATGCGCCGATACTAGAGCCAACACTCTTGAGTTGGACGACTGGGGCCAAGATAGACGTCTATGAGGGCCTGAGGCAGTACATTCACCTGTCCGAGGACTTTCTTTGGTTCTTGAAAGAGGGCGAAAAGAGAAATCTCTTCGCTGAGAAGGCCGAGTTTCCGGAGTATGACCCGGGCAAGGGTTTTGGCATTTGGAAACCTGGACAGGGCGACAACGAGAAAGAGGGGGGGCAATGGTGGGACTGGAGGAAATACTGGCAAGTTCACGTGTCACCCGACAACACTTCGCAGCACAGGTCTTTCAGTGCCAGAAAAGAATAGACAAAAAGCTATCTAAGAATTTCCGCCTCTCACCAGGTCCAGGACGAGGAGGTTTGGAAGGGCCATATATTATTATATTGTAATATGTTTGTACATACCACTGGGCCGTTGTTCATGACAATTTATTCAAGTGCTAGCAAGCGATAGGACACGAGATACAATATGGGCATAACAATGTCCAGTTGAAAATAGATAGTATCTAGAACATCACAGGCGTTCTTTTCCCTGACAACAAAGGGTGGGAGAATGTGAATTCGCAGCTGCCAGGGAATAGCCAATCACGTGATCGCGCACCTCTTTCGTGTTGCCCTGCCAATTAAGCGCTCACTCCCACTTGCCTAAAATACCCCACGTCATTCCCCAATCGAGATCCGCCCTGGGTACGCTAGGATACCGTACCAGACTTGTTTCAAACCATCAAACTGGACAATTAAGGGCCAATATTTCCATCCGTCAAGCACGGGGCATCTTGCGACAAACAGTCTCTTTTTGAAATATCGTTACTTAGACTCACCCCAAATACCCCTCAATTACAATGCCTGCAACCAGACGATCTACCGGGGGCGGTCGGCCTACCGGAAAGCAAGCAACGCTCTCTTTCAACCACCGAGTCACAAAGTCCGTGCCGAAATCAGCCAAGAACCTCTCTTCTGCGCACGCTCAAAGCCCTCTCGCAAAACATGTCATCAACGTTGAGCCGGATGTCAAGGACGAGGTGGACGCCGAGGAGAAGGCGGAGGTAGAAGAGCCGAAGCAGGTAGAGGTAGCGCCGGAGCGCGAGAAGACCGAGGCAGAGCTGCGCGCGGATGAGATCTCAGACCGCCAGATCAGCCAGTACTGGCGAGATATCGAGAACGAGCGCAGGACGAAGAGACTCCATCAGGAAGATCTGAGCCTGGCTGAGAAGATTCTGCGATATTGGGATGTCAGTTCGCAGTATGGGGTATGTGTTTGCCTGTGCTTTGTTTCAATCCTTATGCCGAAGAAGAGTCTCTATACTAATAGCATTCTTCAAGCCGTGCGTCGGTATAACCCGCCTCAAGCGCTGGCACCGCGCTGACAGACTTGGTCTTAACCCACCCGTTGAGGTCCTCGCGGTCTTGATGCGGGAAGAAGAGGAGGGTACCAAAGGCATTGAGAAGGCGTACATGGATAACATACTTAATTCGACAACAAACGGGGGTGCTTAATCCGGGGTGTATACCTAGGAGCTTGGAAATGTCTGTAAGTTTGACGAAGGCTTGTAATTGCATATGATGAGATTTGGCTTGGGAATGAATGGCTATCACGGATTTCTGCGACGGTGTTTGGAGTTTAGGGCTCGGTTAATAATACTATCAATGACAATGTAGTACTACCTATTGACTTGAATTCTCTCTCATTCCGATTTCTTTTCCAAGGGTATCCGAATACGAAAGAGCTATCCAGGCTCTTTTGCCTCTATCTTTGCCTTTGTCGGCTAACATGATGACCCGCCCATGTTATTGCTTACCCCTCAATACCAAATGCTTCGTGTGCGGTGGTGTGGCATAGTCTCCTTCCCTTGGGCCTCCATCATTTTCATAGTATCGTACAAGAAAAAATCTATCAAAATAGCATTGACCTTGGCTTCTGGGTGGTTACGTTTTATTTCACGGCGAATGAGTTCGACACACCAGATGCTGCAGGCTACATTGTGAACTATTCAGCAAAAGGATCGATCAAAGCTCATGGAAGTAGGGCATAGCTCACCTCTAAGCTGCATTTCGTACTTGCTGCCACTTTCGATGGTTTCCTTCCTTGTTATCAAAGCTTGCAATGGTGGGCTATATCCAATGCAGCCGAGCGTAGCCAGGATCTGTGGGACGCGATAATCGGCAAACATGGTGATTTTATCGATGTCGCGGAAAGCACCGTAGCATTCTCCATTGAAACAACCCCAAATATCTGCCACCAGGATTTGAGCGCGCTTGAGGAAACGGATGGGCTTACGTCGGCCCTCGAACTGGAATTCATCTCGGAAACAGGAGAAATCACGTGCGAGCAAGTTGACCAGAGCAGCTGCCGATCCGTTGGCGGCTTCTATGCAGTTGATGAAGCTGCAGTCGTACTTCTGCAGGACGCCGCGTTATGCGTTGGTAGTGCGTTCATTTGTTATGTGAAGTGGTGTGAAGAGATGTAACCTACTTCATAGAGCACTTGACCAGCCTCTCGCAGACAGGCAAGGCGGGCTTCAAGCAGTGGGATTTCCTCATCTGTGCACGAGCGGAAAACATGCCGCAAAGACTCCAGGTTGCAGTCTTCTTCGTTCTGCCAGAAGTGAGGGTCCGTAATAGGTATATCTTGAGTGAGCAATTACTGAATTAACTAAAGCAGTCCTTGATTATGTGAGATGACCATGTGAGAAAGCAAGCCATGTGACGCAAGGGCTCGTTGTTTGCAGGGCGGTTCATCGACCTACCTTCTTCCAATGCCCGCTGGAGAGAGGCAACTAAGCTCCAGTATCCCGTCCAAGTCTTGTCTCGGTAAGCGACAGCAAAGCGTTCGTCTTCTGAACGAAGTGACCAGAAAGAGAAATTGAGGAGGTCCATGGTGAAAATGAAGGCCACTGTTTTCTCATCTTTGGTCTTTGGGTGGAGCTCGTGCTCTGCCCAATTCTCGGTCGAGTACTGTTTCTGCTGCATCTGCTCGTATATGAAAGCAGCCGCATTCTTGGTGGCCCTCATGTCTAAGGCGACATCGATGGAGTTGTCGTAGACATATTCAGCCCCTTCTAAGACGCCCGTCTCAGGCTCATCGTCTAGATTCAGTTTCCCTTGCAGATGCTGTCTCAGAAGATCGAGAAGCTCCGGGTCTGGCTCGCTATCTGACATGTTGGCTTTCCTGGGCGATGTCCAGAGACGAGCAAATGCAGTTCTCTTGTGAGTGGCTATTCCGTGGGGTCTTGGGCACTGAGTGGAGCACGAGAGATGCTGCGGTAGGGCTGTAATAGGCCCTTTGAGGAGGGTAGAGAATAAACGAATAGCAAATTGAAGTGGGCTGAATTGGGACAAATGAGCTTTCTCTCGACATACGAATCTCCTGATCATTTGCAGGCATATACATAGATAGCCTACGATATCAATGTTGATCGTTTTTTTTCCCCCGTTCATACCTTAAACCAATATACATACCTAGGTAGTATAAGTACCTGACTACTGGACTACTGCACTCCATCCCACTTTGCTATAACCCGTGGGCCAGATACTACCTTCTCCACTTCGAGTCCGTCCCCGAATCATTGGCATGGAAGTGTACATGCAAATGCACGTCTGAAATATCGCGACGCTGCCTGGCGAATAGGCACATGTACCTACGAAGTACAAAACCGCACGAAGCCAATGATGCGCAGCCTGCCGGCTCTCTTGGGAAGATTGTGAGCCGCTACGCCAATCGCGTCAGCTTCCGCACTTCACCCCTGACGGTCCTCTCACTCAAGCTACCCCGGGTAAGTACCTGCCTACCTAAGGTAGGTACCTACCAGTACACTACCTACCCACGTATGGCCCACCATTGCAGCAGCAGCCTGCCGTCTCGTACTACCCGTACGTAACGCGCTGAGGCACCATACTAGGAGGTACAGGCGATGATGAACTTATACCTACCTAGGTAAGTACCTAAGGTACTACTTACATACATACTACGTAGTACTTGGGTAGATTCTTGATTGAGTCTCTGGTACCACCCCAGTACTAACTTGGCAGAGAACTCAGTACAAGCTGTCAAGCATTTTCTACATACAACCGCCCTCAGCGCTGGCTTTAGTATTATTTGTAGAATACCTTCAAGCCTGCTGGATATAATGTACCTACAGTAGGTACCTCTAGAGTGCCCCCAAGCAACATACCATGGATGCATCTGTAGATAATTCGAGGTACTGTGTTAGTACCTAGTAGGTATGTAGTTATTAGGTATAAGTACACGCATTTTCGACCATCTCTTCACGCCGTGACGGTACCCTCGAGGTACTCTACGTAGGTAGAGGTCCATTACTAGGTATTGCACCTGGGAATTGATGCTCTGAGGCTGACTTCCTACCTACCGTCCGTACATACCTAAGCTTAAGCACCTGCACGCTGGTCCCATCAAGATCTCGACCTCTTTTCCTTCAACCCGTCCATCCATTGCTAACTAATCCTCGCCTTGACTTTCGTCTGCGCTCCGAGGCTTCGTTCTATCGTATTGTCTCTTTTCCAGCTCCGCCATACGCTCATTACTCGTCTGTTTCTCTGCATCACATGTATCCACAGCCTACCTCGCCGTGACGACATCACCTCCAGATCGCTCCTGACCATGGCACTGGATCGTGATACCTTCAATCGCCGGTCTTTCGGCCCCTCGCTCCATACGAGCATAAAGCAGGTGCGTTTCGCGCATTCCTTCGCGGCTCGGCTTCTCTGTATCGCATTCATGTCACTTCTGTTTTAAGCTATTACTATGTCCTCCTACCGCACGTCTACGAATGCGACTGCTCCCAGCGAGCCCGTCTTTTCCCCTACCATCGCGCCCATGCTTCGATCATGTCCCGAATACGATGCTCCCCACTGCAATGCCTATAGTTGAATAGCCTACAGTCATGCGACACGACCCAGCGCGTTGCTGCCCATTCAGCTATCATACAGACTAACTGGAATTCTACAGGCGCGTGTCCTCATGGTTGGTGCTGGTGGTATTGGCTGCGAATTGTTGAAAAATCTTGCCCTCACTGGCTTTGGCGAAGTCCACATTGTCGATCTTGACACGATTGATCTGAGCAATCTTAATCGCCAGTTTCTATTTAGGCATGAGCACATCAAGAAATCAAAAGCTGAGGTACGGCGCTATGAAGTCGATAAGGGGTTGGTGCTCGAAGTGTCACTATACTAACCAATCGAATAGATAGCTAGAGAAGCTGCCCAGAGATTCAACCCCAATGTGAAAATCGTTGCCTACCATGCAAACGTGAAGGATGCCCAGTTCAGCCTCGAGTGGTTTAAGTCGTTCCGCATTGTATTCAATGCGCTGGACAATCTCGAAGCAAGACGACACGTAAATAGAATGTGTCTAGCAGCTGATGTTGCCCTTATTGAGAGTGGAACTACAGGTTTCAATGGACAAGTACAGGTCATTAAAAAAGGTGTTACTGCATGCTACGATTGCAGCACCAAGGAGACACCCAAGTCTTTTCCAGTTTGTACCATTCGAAGTACGCCTAGCCAACCTATACACTGTATCGTCTGGGCAAAAAGCTATCTTCTCAACGAGATGTTCGGCACCAGCGAGGATCAGGCCTCTCTCGATACTTCCGAGAATGAAGACAACGCCGACGAAATAGCAGAGCTTAAGAGAGAGTCTGAAGAATTAAAAAAGATTAGAGGATCAGTTGGAACAGAGCAATTTCCACAGATGTTATTCGACAAGGTTTTCAACAAAGATATTGTGCGATTGCGATCTATGGAAAGCATGTGGAAGCACCGGAACCCGCCAGAGCCTCTCAAATATGAGTCGGTCCTAACACAGACTAAGGTTGATATTGAGAGAGAGGCTACAATCCAGGACGGGCAGAAAGTATGGACACTTGAGGAGAATTTGGTAGTCTTTAGCGACAGCCTGCTTCGTCTGAGCAAGCGCGTGACGGAAATGAAGGAGCAGCATGGTGATGACTCTCCGCAAGCTATGATAAGCTTCGACAAAGATGACCCGGATACCCTTGATTTTGTTGCTGCTAGTGCCAATATCCGCTCGTATATCTTTGGTATTGAGCGGAAATCACGCTTTGACATTAAGCAGATGGCCGGCAATATCATACCAGCCATCGCAACTACAAATGCGATTGTGGCAGGGCTTTGCGTTCTCGAGTCCTTCAAGGTTCTCAGGGGCGAGTTTGACAAAGCACAAGAAGTAAGTGTCTTATGACTTGCCGCACAGTCAAGCTGCTAACTTGCCAGGTATTCTTGACGCCTTTCGCCGGGCAAAGGTTGCTAGCCCCAGATAGACCTCGGGCACCCAATCCCGACTGTCCCATCTGCGGCAACTACCAAGCCAGCGTATCTGTCGATCTCTCGCGAGCAACGCTGGGCGATCTTGTGGAAGACTTCGTGAAACTACAACTCGGATTTGGCGACCGTGATTTTGCGGTCAACAGCGAGGCAGGCTTACTCTATGATCCCGACGAAACCGATAACCTGGAAAAGCTACTTAGTGAACTTGGTAAGCATAATTTTGCAATAGCCTCAAACACCCAGCTACTGACACCTTGTGTAGGCATCAACCAAAACAGCTTTGTGACCATTGTTGACGAAGAAGACGAGGACACTTTTATGAACGTTGTCCTTAATATACAATCATCGTACGCTGCTCTTTAGCCTCCATCCCTGCAAGCCTTACTAACTCCTCCTAGTTCAATTGAGAGCACAGCGAAACCGATCAAGGGACTCGAGCCAGATAAGGCCCCAGAAATTCCACGCAAGCCTAGAAAGGAGCCCGCAGTTGAGACTAACGGCGTAGAACTACCTTCTCGCAAGCATGGGCTTGAATCGACAGAGCCTTCAAGTGATCTTAAGCGCCCAAGAGCAGATGATGCTGATGCCCCTCTAGCGAAAAAGAAGGCTAAAATGGCCGCGACAGATGACGTGGCCCTAATAGAAGACAGTGAGGCGGGTATAGGTGCTATCACCATCGAGGATGATTAGCTAACCATGTGCATCTCATCCTATGAGCGCGTGTGCATCACCATCGCAGCTGACACGGTCGTTCTTGATTATGTCGCACTCAAGCCTCCATCGATATTGAGGACGCAATTATGTGCGTATGTATTATTCGCCAGGAAGAGTGCAGCATCTGCCACTTCTTCTGCGAGCCCTAGTCGGCCCATGGGGATGAGAGCAGAAAGATGCCCGCCCTCTTCCATATCTCCATGAGGCATGTATATTAGTAATGCTGCTTTGACTGTACGAATGAGGACGCGAAATCATGACAGCATGTTACGCAAGAGAGAAACATGGCTATAGGGGTATAAGGATACCTTACCTTTAGTCATGTCAGTTTCAATGTAGCCAGGCTGGATGACATTTGCTCGGATGTTAAATCTTCCGACTTCCCAGGCAAGTGCTCGGGTTAGGCCTACATCTCGAATTAAATAAGTTACTTAAATGGGAAAATAAAATAAAATAAAATAACGTACCAATGATTCCAGCTTTTGATGCAGCATAGACAGAGGCACCCCGTCCTCCATTTGTTGCTAGGAGGCTGGATACATTTATAATGTTTCCTTTCCTAGTGGCTTAGGTGAATGTCTTTTACTTTGAAACTCAAACGTGCTTACCACTTTTTTGCTTCATCATTCTCGGGATTACGCTTTGGCAGCCGAGAATAGTTCCTTTGAGGTTGGTGTCAAGAAGCTGGTTCATCTCTTGAAACCGCGTCTTAAAGAGAAAAGAGTTCTGCGAGATACCAGCAGCGTTGACTAGTATGTCAAGAGGCCCCTAAGCCCATGTCCGGGTGCTTAGCACACGCAGCGCCAGAAAGTATGTGACGCGAACGCAGACTTACCGTCTTCATTTTATGCATAAAAGATTGCCAACCGCTTAGGTTAGACACGTTGAATGCATGGGCTTCGTGTGGATACGATAGGCATGCATGGTTTAGAGAATGTATGGCCGTCGTGAGAGTCTCGTGGTGTCGGCCGATCAAAACACAGGAGGCGCCGTGGTTAGAGAATACCTTCGCTATGGCTAGCCCGATGCCCCGGCTACCACCGGTGATGAGGCAGCGCTTGCCCCGGAGTGAGGCCATTTTCTTCTCCTGTCTGTGTCTGTCTTTCTCTGTCTGTCCCTCTCTCTCTCTCTCTCTCTCTCCCCTTGACTCTTCGGCGGCAGTGTTAATGATGGCCGTAACCAATGTTGGGTTGAGAGGTAAGTTTAGCAGGGCACAAACAAGTCAAGGACGAATCACCTCCATCAAGAGTTTAGGTGGTTGGTGCTTGTTCCCTACTTTGACGTCAGAGAAGTACAGTCGACGAATTGCTCAAACACCCAATATTAGTTTAATACTTAGAATAACTTATTTTTAGTCTCGGTATGGGGTATTGTGCCTGGGCCCCAAACTTAAGTTCCGATGCCAAGAATAGGTATGTATTCTTTTGTTGGCCGTCGAGGCCGTGAGCCGTTCAAGTTAGATACCGGTACCTCGTAGTACCAATTACCGATTACCAATTAACGGTCGGGCGGCGTGGACAGGGAATGGGTTCCGCGTAGCTGCGTGAACACTTAGGTAGGTAGTTAGGTAGTATCTTAGGTACGGTAGTAGTAGGGTCCGGCAGATCTGGGGCCAAGTTACCTACCTACCTACCTACCTAGGCTGTACTTAATGGATTGAGGGCGTTCATTATGTGTGGTGGGGGGGCTTTCCACCACGCCTATCAGCGCACTCTGGCTCTCCCTCCCTCTCTCATTGACAGCGAGATATGGTCGCATTCCATCCTCAACGCATCTCCAACATTTGCCTGTACTAAGAACTCCTGAGACCCAATTAGGACAGCCTTATCTGTCTACTAATCATATTGTTACTATTACCGCTGTACACTGTCGCACATAACTCTTATTCCACACTCCAGCCTACCTCGGTATACAGCTATATATCGACCGACCGGCTTACAGCAACCGCGCTTCTGCTCTTGTTGCCGCCTCATTCCTCTAACCATACTCGCCTTAGAAGAGGATTGGATAAAGACATCTCAAGGGAAACGCCTCGGAAAGCGTGCCAGATAGTTGGTGTCCTGGAGCTTACCGCAATCCTCCCACCGCCAGGCGTCCCTAGCGACCTAGTATACTCCCTCTCGCGATTCGATGCGCCATCAATTGGCTAAGCGCTCACCAACATCACCTATCCACGCTTTCTTCATGTTGTACACAACCTCCACGGGGCCATGACTACCGAGTTTCCACCCTTTCCCAATGGCTCCAGCTTCGATGCCAAGTTCGACGGCCCAATATCGGATCTCAAAGCAAACACGACCGACCTCAACGCTGCCAAGGGCACAGAACAAAAAGAAGCCGTTATAGATGCGGGCCTGAGAAGTCTAGATCATTGTATGTTCACTTAACAGTCAACGATATTTTGGAGTCTAAGAACAAAAAACAAGGAGCAGCCCGCAGCTTGCACCCTAAAGCCGGCCACATGTGCATACAGGAGATGGCCAGATAGATGCTAACAGACGGTTTGGCAGATAAACGAGCTCTTCCAAAATGGCGGTACGATCTACGTCAACAAGCTCTTCCACTCATTCGCTGGGAGACGCCATACCTAGCCTGGCTCCAGGCGAAGCTGCGCTCTCCTGCTCTTGATAGCTACTTTGCCATTACTGCCAATCTCGGTACTCATACCTTCTTTATGATTGGGCTTCCCATCATGTTCTGGTGTGGTTTTGCATCCTTTGGAAAGGGGTTCGCTTCTCACCTCTGCACCATTCTACCTATTGCGCTGCTAACCACCGGGTAGATTGGTCCATATCTTGGCTTCCGGTGTATTCTTCACAGGCTTTATCAAGGACTTCTTCTCTTTGCCACGTCCGCTGTCTCCGCCCCTACAGCGGATTACAATGTCAGGTTCTGCTGCCTTGGAGTATGGTTTCCCTTCAACGCACTCGGCCAATGCCGTCTCAGTGGCAGTCTATGCAATACTCTGTCTTCGGTCACCAGACAACACATTTCAACCTAATACGAAACTGGCGCTAGAGTCATTATCATATTTTTACGCTGTTAGCATCGTGCTTGGCCGTCTCTACTGCGGCATGCATGGCTTCGTGGATGTGGTGATTGGATCTATAATGGGCGCGCTCATAACCCTAATCGAGTTTTACTATGGTCCTCCGTTAGATTTTTATTTCCAGCAGAACGACTGGACAATGATGTTTGCTGCTGTTTTGGCAATTATTGTTCTTGTCAGAGTGCACCCCGAGCCGGCTGACGATTGTCCATGCTTTGACGACAGTGTCTGCTTCGCTGGGGTCATGATTGGTCTTGAAGTTGGGACTTGGCATTTTGGTCAATCACCGTTCGCGACCATACCATTTGATCTCCATGCACTTGGATGGCCAGCGGTGATCCTGCGTGTTCTGTTTGGTGTATTCGTTGTCTTTATCTGGCGTGAAGTGGCCAAACCTACTCTGCTGAAGACTCTTCCTCACCTCTTTCGGCTCATAGAAACCTGGGGTCTTAGCTTGCCGAGAAGATTCTTCATGCCTGCTTCGGAGTACAAGAACATCCCGCTACGTTTAAAGGTTGATAACGTTTTACCTAGCGTCAGCGATCTGCCTAATTTGATCACAGCTGTTCGCCATCCCAGACGTGGTAGATCCGTGTCCATTGGCCCTCAGAGCGCTGCAGATGCCTATGAAACCTTGGCCTACCGAGAAAGAAGGAGAAAAGAGAGTAATGCTAGCTTGCGCTCCAAAGTCAGCATGCAAGAACTTAAGAGTGACCAAGTAGGACACAGCACTGCGGTCAATGGCCAACAAAAGCCCAGCGATTTCGAAAAGCAGATGGGTGAAGGCACCGTAATTGTTTCACCAACCAATTCAAAGAAAGCCAATGGAGAGCCGGAAATGTATATTGGCAATCAGGACGAGTTAAGCGACAAAGAAGTCTTTTCTAAGCTGGTTAGGCCCCGCGTCAGATATGATGTTGAGGTCATTACAAAACTCGTTGTCTATGCTGGTTAGTATTTTCCTGTACCCTCCAATGAAGCACACATTCTCACATTCTCACAGGTATCGCATGGTTCGCTGTAGAAGGTGTGCCCATTTTATTCGAGTATATTCCTGGCCTTGGTGCTGGCCATCTGCAGCTGAGATGAGACGTTTCCCTCATCATACGTTATGTGATCACGCATTTGAGAGTTCAGGGCTGTTGAATCATGGCCCCTGGTTTACGGATCAAGCCAGGGGCAAGGCGTTGGAGGTGCAACCTTTCTGTACACTCTTGCCCTGTTATTGCTGTCCCTTTATATGGGATGCGGCAAGAGTCTTCTTCCTTGTATATATATATATTTATAAGCCCGATATTTTCTTTTCCTGTGCATACTATTTATTCCTCTTTAATAATGACGCGCCTTGAGCCAAGTCATCCTCGAGATTCTCTGTTAATGCCTCTTTAACATGTACGATGCGATGTTTTGGGGGAAGGGTTACGATTAGTTAATGTATCATTGAATCCCAAACTAGATACTGATGGTCTATTCTTTCCCATCTCCTAATTCTAGTGAGAATGGGCATCACAGGCTGTAACATATGCTGTTCACATGCAGTCTTTGTGAGTAATTTGTCATAACAGCTCTGAGCTTTCCAATTGAATAAAGGAAACATAGAAGAGCCATCTTCATCTTTATTACATGTACGTACAGCTGAACATGCAGTTCACCTATGGGTACGGGCATGATGCAGCCTATTTATAACAAGGGCAGAGATACTGGGCTTGGAACTTGAGCAATTCAGATTATAATAAACAACTAGGGCTGCATGAGTCCTTGACCAACCAACTCCTTCTTGGCTGGTGGTGGCTTGACTCGACTCTATACACAACTGGTCTGCCAGCCCAGACCGCCTAGGTCTCTGGGATCTGTTTCAAGAAGCGAAGTCTGTATAACCTCACTTTCCAATATTACCTGCATGTCTCTGTAAGATCATGAACAGCCTGCAATGGCCTTTCGTACGGCCGAAGGTGCAAGGCGAACTGCATATTCGGCTGGCACAGCGTTTGTGCGTGTAACGCTATTCACGGCTTTCGAGTGATGAAAGTGATGTTATACAGAGCTCACTTCGTGAAAATGATCAATCTGACCTGCGCGGTAAGGTCTAGCAGAATTGTATATAGAGGCAAAGTCAAGAAGGAATTGGTTGGCCAAGGACTTTGCAGCCCTAGTACATTATCATGTTGTAAATCACTTAAGTTCTTAGCTTGCCGTAGTTATCTGCCCTCGTTATAAAACTTCTCATCGGATAAATTAAATTTTGACGAGTTTTACAGTTTATATGTTTCTTTATATTTCTAGCAGGGCATAATCTGTACATACAATCGCTTGCTTGAGGCGTTGGAAGCTCCTTATGACTTTGGACGCTTAGCTGAACTCCTCGTGGCATGTAGCTGGTTTAGCACATCACCAGTTATACAATAACCGGCCCTCTTTCCCCATTCTGTTATAGATGCGAGCAAAGAGCGGGTTGTGCTCGAGGAGCATACGGGGTATTTGAAGAAAGTATAGTTTAAACCCTCTCTTTTTTTTAATGGATTTTCCCTTTCCCTCTTTCTTTGAAGGATTTATTCCTCCTCAGTCTTGTTGGTCTTGTACTTCTTACCCAGGGCGCGGTCGAGGTAGGTGGCCATGACCTGCTCCTTGGGGACCCAGTTGACGGGGACCTCGAGGCCGAGTTCTCCCTTGGCCTCAAGCTCCTCGAGGACGGGCTTGATGTCCTCGGATAGCTCGAGACGCGTCGGGTTCGGGAACCAGCTGGCGAAGTGGATCTGCGCCAGCATGATGCGGATGTCCTGCGTCTTGTTGGGCATGCCCGCGTGCCATATCGTGAAGTCGCGGATCGCGAAGCTGCCCTTGCGCAGCGTCGGCTGGCATGGAGGACCGGCCACGGCGACCTGCGCGTCCAGCTGGTCTTGCGGGATGTGGCCTGTGGCGCGTTGGCCCTTCTGGCCGCCTTCCTTGGCCACGGTGCGGTTGTGTGTGCCCGGCCATGTCTCTGTTGACCCGTTCTCCGGGTTCATGCCGATTAAAGGCACGTTGGTCACTAGGGCGAAGCACTTAGGTGGGTGCGGGAATTCGACGTCGTTGTGCACGGGCTGGCGCTCGTTTTCAGTGCCTGGTAGAGGGGGCATGGCGGCGTTGCCTGAGGCGAACGTCCATTTGGGACGGGGGCCGAGAACGGCAGATGTGATCTGGGTTGCGATGGGGTCTGGGCGGAAGGTCAATTCTCTGTCTAGTCATGTAAAGGCAATTCTAATTAGGAGAGGAACGTACTGCAGAAGATGGAGGGGTGGAAGTACTCCGCCCAAGGGGGAGCATCCTGCTGGAGGTTTCCTTTGTTGTAGTTGAAGGGGCTGTCCTCGCCCCTTTCCTGGAGAAGCTTGGAGTCTTGAATCATCTTGGCATTAAGGTGGTCCAAGTCCTCATGTGGGATGGCATCTTCAACAACGACGACGCCATCTGCGGCCAGGGCGTCCACCGCAGTCTTTAGGTTTGCCTCTGATAGACGCTTGTTCTTGATCTCCTCGGCGGAGGGCGTGATAGCCACGGGCTGTCTCGGGATCTGAGTTACAGCCATGATCTCTGAATTGTGTTTCTAACACGCACGACAAATTGCCAGGTCTTCGATCTCTGCACAGGTGAACAAACAAATGACACTGCTGGCTAGCTAGACTAGATAGCGGGTCTCGTCGGATCTGATAACAGAGGAAAGGCTAAGAATGGCGAACCGGGACAGAGTGCAAGACGCCATTTGGTCCTTTATATTAGCTCCTTGCTTCACATGCCACATGCGATGCCATATTTCCTGCCTTAGCCGATTCGGTCCAGCGCCGCTTACCCGTGGCAAGACCCTGTCATCATGGGCTAGGCTAGCGGTCTCTTCTCTTATGCCAGTCCCAGACAGAGAGATGCATATCAGCTGATGGTGTTTCAACGGGATGGCGCTGGCAGAATTGCGTGATGGCCTTGATGGCCAAGATTAGTAGGTAAATAGGGTAGTGCAAGTGATAGCGTAGCTCTGTCTGGGGGTCTTAGTCTACTAGGTAGATGCTAATTGTACGATTACTAAAAATGGATAATAATAGCAACCGTCGACATATTCGCAGCTCCATCATTGAATAGTCTACCCGTCGAGCTTACTAAATGGGGCACTGCCGACGGCATAAGTACTGAGCTATGATATTGCAATTACAGACATAATACCACTTTACTTTACTTTGCCTGGCTGTACTTAACTAAGGTATTGTGAAATATAAACAAGTAGACGTTGGTCATTAAGGATGGTTTGAGATCCTACCTAGGCATGCTATTAGGTAATCCTTCACGCTTGTCATCGGATGCCCTCTTGTAGGTAGTAGGTATGCTAAAGGCATGATGCTTAGCTGTCTTCCTATGAATTAATTGCGCCAATGTCTCAGGGCACTTATGCAGAGTTGACTGGGACAAAGCCTAGACTACCTCCTCATAACCACTAGATAGATAGTTGTCCACCGCTCCTCAAATGGTTCTTGAGCATACCTTTATTTCCTACGGCCGAAGGTCCAAGGGAGACAGAATAGGGATGGGTAATGAAATTCTCGGAGTCCTGATTTGGATATGTCGCACAACTCAAATCGTACCCTCTAATTTAGAGCATCTGGGTGCAGCTAGCTTCACCCTAGCCGCCTTTTTTGAATTGGGATTCCGAGGACCGAGTCAGCCCATGGACGGACGGAGGATGCCGTATGCGCTCCTCGGTAGGTTTATGGAAATCTATGCATCTTTGGCGAATATGAACCTAGCACGAATTGCTCGTCCAGAGCTCGGTGCGATACTACGGTAGAATTTCTTCAATGCACTCAGGCTTCGAGAATAAGCGCCTACACAGTTGCAAAAAAGCGGTGACATCGAATCTGGCGCAACGTTGGGGTCTAGTCTTGCGTTGTTAAGAGATCCGAGATGCCTACTGGTCAAGCATATTAAGGGTCCGGCCAGGATCAGCGATCAATCACGCTGACCGCCCACCGACCGAGCTGTAGTTGCAGGAAACCTTGCTATCACATATGCATGCAGCTCTCACGAGCGAGCCGCCCGTCTGGTAAAATGCGTACTTACATCCATTTTGGATCCAGTGTGGAGTGAGAAAGTCTAGAAGCTAATGACTTACATAGTAGAGTCATCCAACTTAATAGATGGAGAGAGAAACGGCTACCTGAACCTTCAACAAAATCATGCCATAGCTAGAATTATGTTTGAGTATACAAGGTAGCTGTCATTGTAGGTATTCATTTATATTGTAAGTGCAGTGAAGATATTCAACGTAGCACTGAATGGCATGTTGTTGCCCCTCCTTACTTGGCCCCGCTACCTCCATGCGACTGATCAACGAGCCAAAATTATAAGAATTGATTCGAAGCACAGTGACAGGAAAACATATTGGAGTAATATTATGAGTACGAAGTGACCGTCATCATTGAGAGGAACTGGGTAGTTTCCATAACGACCCTCAGAAGCAAGCAAAAAAGAACTCACTGACGTCACTTTTGACTCTCCCAGGCAATGACTAGCCATCTCATCACCATTTGTCAGGGATGCTTGAGATTCACTCCCCTCACCTAATCGTTCGAACAGCTATCGATTCAGATGCAGATGCTGAAGGCATACGCGAGTTCATCACTCATCACCAACCAGGACAACAATCGGCACACCAAAACGGAGTCCCATGTCACGCTTGAATCGATGCGAACTTGAGTTGGGAAATGGCGGGAATTAACATCCAATGGCACCAGTGGCTTGCAGATTATCACTTTGTGTTCAACCGGTGAGCTTATCGGCTACGGAGGATATAACTACTTTGACGAGATCGAGGAGATCGTCGAGAAAACTACCCCTCGCTACCTGACCGACATCGGTGTCATGATAGCCAAGTCGCACTGGCGGAAAGGGTACGGCCTCGAGGTGTTTTGCGCCTTCACCGAATATGCCTTTGGGGCACTTGATATCGCACGGGTGAGAATCGAGACTAACCTTGCTCATGAACGATGGAGACGATCGATGCACGCCGTCGGGCTCCCAATTTCGAAAAGCAGAACAGAGTTGCATATGGCGAGAAGCTAATGGAGCATACCTGGCATGTCGATGCAGCGACGTGGAAGGTCAATAAGGAGGACATGCAGAAAAGAGGCAAATGGCTTCTTTAGAAGCAGTATCCAGGTATGAAACAGCACACTCTGAAATCAAACACAATATATAATGGACTACCTCCATTTTTACCTACGTTTTCCCAACATCGGCACCCCGATAGGAATGCGGAGAGCCATCTAGCTCATTCGGCTGCCTTCGCCATTCGTCGTAATTGCCATGCCATAGCTCTGCGAGTCGCGGATCACCGCCCATCTCGACGCGGCCTTGACCTCCCAATTCCGGATAGTACACGGGATTTCCGCCTAGCTCGGGCTTGAGATCTGAGTTGCTGTTATTACTGTCGTCCACGTCCCGCTTGCCAGCCGCTTTGCCGCGACGGTAGATCAGGAACCCGGCCAGAACCGCCAAGATGATGCCAATTACGCCCGCACCGATGCCGATGCCTACTTTGGCGCCAAGACTGAGGCCACTAGCGGTTGAGTTCTGAGATTCAGCAGTGGATTCGCCGGTATTAGAGGCGCTGTCTGGGGTTGAATCAGATGGCTGACCATTTGATGATTCCGATGGGCTAGGTATGACAACCGTCGAACTCGTCGCTTCACTGCTTAGCGAAGTTTGTTCTGAATCATCACCAGTGGGAGTAGGCTCTGGCGATGTTGATGACTCCGCCGTCCGTGTGCTCGTCGACGAGGTTTCTTCTTGAGCTGACGTGACTTGTGTAGTCGTCATAGTCTGCATCGTCGTGGTGGGCCGCCTTGTATTAGTGGTTGGCGCTGGCTCAGGCTCAGGCTCAGGCTCAGGTGTTGGGGTCGGCGTTGTCGTTGTGGTCCTTATCGTAGACGAAGGCGAGGACGAGGTTCCCCCAGATGCCTGCCTTCTTATCAGTCTAAGTTCAGTTCACGAACTCTATACTACAAATACTCACAGTATCGCCCGCCTCATAAGGCCACTGCACTGAATAATTAAGATTTTCGTCATCTTCGATGGAAAACGCATACAGGCCGGACGGGAGATCGTTGGGCGGTGTCCATATGTATGAATTTCCTGATCCTGCTGTGGGTGCTAAGTCAGCAGCGGAATGCTAAGTTCTGCTGCATGCTTACAATATATCACTTCAACTGGTTTAATGTTGGTGGATGGTCCGGTTAACAACGTAATCACGACAGGGCCATTCGCGTCTGCCCAGCTCAGCGTGAAGGGCTCACCAGGCGATATGTCGATCTCAGTCGAGGTGAACTCGATTGCCAGACATACTGCTATGAAATAGGTGGCGGCGAGAATAACCTTGTTTGCGATGTTGAAGGCTCCCATTTTGCAGCTACGCAACGTCAAATTCGAGGCCGAACATGTAACAGGAATTTGTTGCCAGCATTTTGTTCTCAATTTCCTTCGCATCCATGCCCACCTCGAAGTTATATACTCCCTACAATTGCCACTCTTACCACTGGTACTAGACCAGCGTGGCGTTGTCAACTTGAGATTCGATCAACAACTCATGGGATATACTGCGATGCCTAGCGAATTGAGCTGAGACAATTGAGAGCTATATTTTCACTATCTCCAAGCTGAATTTATATGGCGCTTTTCTGAAAACCTAATTGGTAGTCCGTCAGGTCATCCTTTACTACTTCGCTTAATTAAGCTCGTTATGGTTCCAGCCCAGGCCCAGCCATCTGCGCCTAGCCCATAGACTCTTCTTTTGACACAACTCGCAACTGGAAGCAACTTGATGAAGATCTTGCCTAGAGAATATAATACCTAAGCCTACCTATGCACTCTTCGTTAGATCTATCCTAGAATTCAGGATCCAAAGCGGGGTTGGTTCCTGCTTGAATGAGGGCTCAGACGATAGTCTGACAAAGCTGGGGTACGCTACTGACAGTGCAGGGAACGGAAGGAAGCGGCGAATGCGATCCCCCTGGCTCGTTACTAGTATGAGGATCCTTACGACGTAACGTCTAATACAGCAAGACATTCGGAACATGAAGTGAGATCGTGTGCCTAGTTGAGCGTTACAAAATACCAAATTCAACGGATTGTGAGTAGCTCGGTTTTAGATCTGCCCTAAACGAGGAGCTCAAAATGTCGGCAAGGAAAGGTCTATCCGCGCGGTTTTCGAAACTACTTCATCGAGGCTCGAAACGTCACGACGATGGTGAGTCATCCGACGAACGCAGCAACGGCCTTTGCGCTGTGTGCAGTACCATCGGCTTCGATGGTGATGGAAAGGATAGGGAAACGGTCTTTAGCCTAGGGCTTTTAGGCGACATCAAGCAGCGGACTTCATGTCCCTTTTGCAGACTTGTGCTAGACTCAATGCAGGACGACCGCATCATTCATACGCAATCAATCGAACATTATAACACGCACGAAGTGCGCATATTTCGGAGCGGTCCGAAAATGTTTTCAATCCAACCTTTGCCAACATACTCCAAGGTCCTATTTGACTCAGAAGTGAAAGGCTTTGAGAAACTCACCTCTTCCAGCCAGATCGACTTTGAGATGATCAAGAGTTGGCTTGCGACTTGTGAAGGAGAGCACAAGAAGTGCGTACCAAATGAAGGGCCGTTCAACATCGATCTCAGCTTCTTCCGATGTATAGATGTGGAAGATATGTGTATTACGCCAGTGCCCATTACATCTCAATATGTCGCTCTGAGTTACAAATGGGGTGACTGTACTCCTTTTCTTCTTCTAAAGCCCAACAAAGACGACCTTTTCGCGAAAGACGGCCTTAGGAGAAATTGGGACTCTATTCCCAGAACTATTCGAGACACTATCGACTTCGTTCGTGGTGTGGGTTGTCGATACGTATGGATTGATCAACTTTGCTTGATCCAAGACGATGATCATGATAGAGGTATAGGAATAAACGCGATGGATTTGGTGTATGAACAAGCTTACTTCACAATACTAGCTGGAAGTGGTACAGATGCCGATTCCGGATTGCCTGGTGTTAGAGAAGGGACACGTTCGTCCGTACGCCAGGTTACTAGTGAAGTTCTGCCAGGTGTCAATCTTGTTCTTCGCCATACAATGGAAGACATTGTTGCCAAATCCGAATACCACCATCGAGGATGGACGTAAGTCGTGACATACGAGATTTGACTTGAGATACGCAACTGATGTTCGAACAGATTCCAGGAATATTACCTTTCAAGAAGGAAAATTATTTTTATAGATGATACGATATACTTCAAGTGCTATGAAAAGTTTTGGCAGGAATTGGAAGATGGGTTGCCTGTTCGATCCGATCCAACTACAGAGCAAGGACAAGCGTTGCATAAGCCGAGTGGTGACGTCTACCACCTTCTTGGACAATTATTAAACAAGTATACGACGCGTGAGCTCAAAATGCCGGGCGACTACGTGTTCGCTATGGCAGGTGTCTGTCGGCGGTTGGCGGACTACGCGCAATGTAGTCTCCTCTTCGGCATACCTGTCCCGGCCCTGGATTGGTTTCTTCTGTTCTATCCAAACAAGGCGGGTTTGACGCGGCGGGAATCCTTCCCAAGCTGGGCATGGTCAGGATGGTATGGCCAAGTCTACTATAACTACGGATCTGGTAATGTAACGAAGTGGGTGGCGGCTAGCACTTGGATCACTTGGTATAAAAGAGAACCCTCCGATGACGTGACACTGGTTTGGGCGAAGGCGGATACCCGCGCTTCGAGGGCGAAAGAACTCTTCGGACATTTGTGCGACGTGTCGCGAACTGAGCCCTCAAGTGAAGTCATGGGCGAGCACGCGGATAAGAAACACACCTTTCTACATTTCTGGACCGTATCCGCGAATTTCACACTTCGCAAGATCGACCGAGATGAGGCAGACAAGTCAATGTGGTCTTATGGAATCTACTGGACACCTACGACATATGAAGTTGTAGGCAAGGACGGCGCGAACTGCGGCTTTGTCACGTTGGATGACGCAGCTTCTACGAGCGAAGATAGCAAACCCGTGGAGTTCATACTATTATCATTATCGGCAGAGAAGTCACAAGTAGTCGATGCAGGAGGTCGGTTCTTCTGGGTGCTGATGATTGAATGGGACAAGGGGGTAGCCGAGCGGAAGGGCATAGGAAAAATCCGTCGAGATGCACTCGCATCTGCCGTAGATGCGGGCATCTCGTGGAAGGAGATTACGCTGGCATGAGCAGCAAAGGCTATCTATTTGCAGATTCGAGGCTTGGAGACGGGTTTCATAGGGTCTCAATGTGTTACCTACAGGCACGATGACGTGAGACAGGCTGATGAATTGGGGACACTTGGCCCATTTTGAGCTGGAGTGCCTCCTATCATAGTAACATGCATGTATACAACTCACTCACTTTGTCTCCGAGGCCGCAAGCCCCAGGCCCTATCATACCATCATACCATCATACCATCATACCATTATACCATTATACCATTATACCATTATACCATTATACCATTATACCATTATACCATTATACCATCATACCAGCGCGGGAAGAGGTGTGCATTGCATGGCGTGGCATAGGAACACAACGATCTGGGCTTCCTTTGCGGGCAATTATTGCCTCGGCTCGTGTGGTGACATTGAAGAGGAGGCTGGCTGGCTGGCTGGTTGTGTAAGCGACAAACGGTTCTTCTTGCGAGTGCAACGAATAATTACGGATCTTATTGGCATGCATTATTCAGCGCTTATAAAAGGGGGATGGAGCACCAGCCACAGCACCAGCCACTAGGCACAGGCGGCCGCGACTACCTACATGTAGGTTAGGTAGAGAGGTAGAACCCCACAGGAGCTCCCGAGGTCGTCGTCTGTCCACTAACACGATTCAGGCGTGCTGACTTGGTACATTATCCTCATGAATCCGCATCCTGTTGAGCGCCATCTCTTGCCGGCTCGAGTTTGGAGGAGTGTAAGTGACCGGCATACCAACAGCCTCGACTACGTACCCGGCTAGAGAGAACAATTGTATTATTTATTGGAGTCTTGTTTGATTCCGTCCGCTCTCCTCCTGTATCCCATTGCTAGTGCCGGTCGACCTCATGCTTGCTGGCTGGCTTCAATAAGCCCACCGAGTGAGCCAAGTCGTGCGGCATTAACACTCTCGGGAGCGACCACGCCGCCGACTTGTATCGTATTAGCGATAATGTTGTTTTCCCGTGACGAATTCACCAAAGATGAGCAAATCAAACTCGAGTGAACCCGATGGGAGTCGAACTGTCTTGCATTTACCACCCTCCAATCCGCAACTCATTACTAAGATCCCCAACATCTTACCTCATGAGCGCGTTTTCCCAATTCAAATAGGCTCCGATCTGTTCAAGCTCTCTGGTGCTTCTCTCTCATCGGACGGTGAGTGATGCTTAGTGATGCCTCGCTTACCTCGTTGCTTGTTGATATCCTCAGCCCTCACTTGTCACTCTAGTTTATAAGGCTTTCAGAATATTCATGCACCATTTTGACCCTTCTCTCATTTCATATTGCAATTGCTAATTTGACTGCTAGCACCGTCATATTTCTCGCAGTACTTCCTATGTCAGATAAAGGCTGCTGAGGAATCCGGAGACGACTTGTCTACTGCTATCCGTACACTTTATATTGACCGGGACCCGGTAACCTTCGGAGATATTGCTCTCCATCTGCAGGGATATCATGTCACCCCTCGCGATGGCACGCACTTCGTGCGTTTGTTCGCTGATGCGCAGTTCTATACCTTACCTAAGCTGATGTCTCGGCTTTATGAAGAGTCAATCTTCATCTCGATAGGGCATCGGGAGTTTCAGATTCCTCGAGATATGTTCACGGGACCCGGGAATTCACCTAATTTCTTTTCTTTAGGCTTCGGTCTTTTCTTCTCGTCGCCAAAAGACCTATATCCCGGCCTGGATCGCAATGATTTGATTAGGCCGCCCTCTATTATGCCGCCGTCGGTTCCGAACCGCTCCGCTGATACCTTTGCTGAGCTTCTGCAAATCTTACGCGGCTATCCCGTGCATATCCGCGACGAAGCGCATCGAGCGTCACTCCTTATGGATTGTCGTTACTTCAACTTCAAGGCTCTCGAACAAAAGCTACTACCTCATCATATAAGCTATAACCAATCGCGTAGGAAACATGAGATTTTGATGAGGGTCGAAGATATCTTCAAGTCCGGTATCTCAGTGATGAACAACAACTCGGGAGATTTCAGTAACGTTTTAGGGGGCTCATTTTCAGGATGGGTCAACTACATGAGACCTTATGAGGATGACAAGCAGCGGGAACTGATCCTAGAAATCGGGGGAGAAGCCACCAAGCTGCATTTGAACATCATGCGTGCAGAATTTTTCGGCCAAATAAAGACTCGAATTGCAAGATTATTCGAGGTGATCGCGACGAAACTGAACCTCCCCACGACGCAACCTTTAGGCCTACTGATGGCTTCAGGGGGGGCTGATAGCCAGCCTGCGACCCCAGGGAACACCCCCTTAAGTGAAGACTTGGTACGCATATCGCTCGACCCGGAGGCGCACATTATGCTCGATGGGAAACAATACGTCCCCGACTCTGATATTGAGGAGCTGGCTAATGCACTGGCAACCTCCCCTTCTGGTGGTATGGGTGGTGGGCAAGAATCACCTGGGTCAAGTGCAGCCGCATCTCACGGCCCATCACGAAAAAGAAGACGGGTGGATACCACCGGCCAGGTCGCCGAGGAATGGGTTGTTCGAACTGGGCAATGGAGACTACGCATACAGAGCGCCAAGAACGGGAAAAGTGTGGTCGAGTGTGTGCTTGTTGCAGTCAAGCTCGACGCTTATAGCGTAGAGCAAAGCCGCAATGCTCACCGGGGGTTTCTCCTGAGTTGATGTCGGAGCTTAGGGGAGTGGCCACACCAAAGGCGACAGACATCATAAATGATACGATGGCGCATTATATATTTCTCAACGTACATTGCGAACACGAACTATGTATGATTGTATTTGAAGCGAGTTGTCATTTGTACAGGACATATAGCGAGCCATACTCTTTATTAGTTACCATTATATTTCACCTGTAGATAACAAGAAAAAGTGCATTTAGACCTGCGATGCGCAATATTTACTCTACACTCCTCATATTAATTCACAGGACTCTATCTAACTACTGCTCATTCATAACATGCGCTATTGATTGAAGACAGTTTATAGTCGAAGAGGCTTAAATCCGAAGAGCACATCGGCTTATAGCTAGTCTATGACGTCGAAAGTACCATCATTCTTGCAACTTGATGAATATTAATCAAGGGTCCAGCAAGCAACCTATCTGAAGTTATCTCCTCAGCTAGGAGCTCTATATGTCCATCTCCAGGATTCCTCACTCATCACCCCGCACGGGAAATACATCGACATACTCACCACACATAAACGGCTAGAAGACACAGAACGAGCTCGTTCGAGATGGCAAAATCTACCGACTCCTTACCTTCGGAGATGCGCGCGCTCCAAGTCGTAGAGTTCAACGCGCCGTATGAACTGCGCACGATCCCGGTCCCCAAACCGGGCCCGCACGATCTACTTGTCAAGGTCGCGGTGGCGAGCTATTGCCACACGGATAGTATGGTCAGAGCAGGAGTGTTCAAGTCCGCGCTTCCACAGACGGCGTCTCACGAGGGCTCAGGGACCGTCGTTGCCGTGGGCGATCAAGTTTCGTCGTTTGCGATAGGGGATCGCGTTATGTGTGGTTAGTCTGGTGGGGTCTTTCATATTCTTCATTTGTTATCTGTGTTTTCAGGACACGGATCGTACAATGAGGGCTTCCTTACTCCGGTGGACCTCTGAAGAGGTAAGATAGGCATTACTAACCTTAATCCATGATGCAGGTATACCGCTTCATCCTTGCGGTGAATGCGAGGACTGCACGGGTCCCGTGGAGAGCCACCGGCAGTATTGCGCGCAGATCGGAGGTCATATCGGCGTTACGACGCAGGGCTGCGCTGCAGATTTCGTCATCGCCGATGCGCGGAGCACGACGAAGTTGCCCGACTCTGTCACGTTCATGTCCGCGGCTCCATTGGCATGTGCTGGGCGGACGATATATCGCGCTGTTCTGCAGACGGAGTTGAAATCGGGCCAATGGGTGGCCATTCTTGGTTCGGGCGGCGGCCTAGGACATCTCGGAATCCAATTTGCGCGCGCCAGGGGGCTTCAGATCATAGGGATTGACGCGCGGGACGAGGGTCTGCAACTCTCGAAGGAGTACGGCGCCGACGTCGTCGTGGATGCTCGGGGTGAGAAGGCGGATGTAGTGAAGAGAGTGCGGGATATCACGGGTGGGAAAGGGGTTGATTCTGCCATTGTGTTGGCGGATCATTCCGAGGCGCTCGCTGCTGCTGTCACGAAAATGCATGGCCTCGTCATGCAAGTTGCCCAGCCAGAAAACCTCAGTATACCTTTTGCGGAACTCATCTTTCGCGACATCAGGTTCAAGGGAACTCTAGTTGCTTCACCCAAGGAGAGCGAAGAGATGGTGCGGTGCGTCGCCGGGCACGGCGTCAAAGTCCACACGAATCCTTTCCAGGGCTTGGAGAGCATCGAGGAACTGCTTGGCGTAGTGAAGAGTGGCAAGCTCCGCGGCAAAGCGGTCATCGTGGTTGATCCAGAGCAGATTGAGGCTGAGAAGAGGATCGGGGCTGAGTTCTAAGCCATTAGGTAAGGCCGCGGATGAAGATGGTGGTGATTGTGGGGAAGCGCGCGCATGAATGGCTTCCTGTTAGGATGTTAGTGCGCTTGCGCTAGATCGTCTGAACTACTTACCATAATACTTAATTAAGTATTACTTCCTATGCACCTATGTGGGTATACTGGGCTGAGTTTTGAAGTTTCTATTTTATTGACTTGAAACTCGAGGGTTCATGCAATGGATACCTTTGTCATCCTATGTAGATCTCTGCTCAGGGGCGGATTACCAGTAGTCGAAATTACAAGTATGTAGCTGTTAATAATTCCATCGTCGCTGACCAGGCGAAAAGGAATTCACGATATTGGAAACAAGACCTGTTCTTTCGCGCCATAGTTCTTAAATCTCCTTATGATATGTACTTGAATCAATGATGTATATGACTATGACTGATAATCCTTCAAGCCTCAGTATCAGGGTCTGATCAGGGGAACGTAGCAGATAGATAGATGCCGTGATGGATCAGATCAGGCCAGGCCAGGCCAGATCCGTATATCACAGCGGCATAAGGCCAAGACTTCGGCTGACCTCAGCACGAGTGCCTCTACTAATTCACCTTCTTTATACCGCTCGTGGCTATGATGATCCGGCTCTATTAGGCCGAACAGCGGCGGTTTACCTACCTACATTGTCCTGTTGAAACCGCACTACGCCGACACAAATTAGCAGGACTCCGGTTGCCCCGAATGGAGTGGATCACAAGTTAGTGGTGCGCCAGTTTCCAATCCATTTTCTACGTGCACATGTAGTCTCCTGTTACTTATTTCCTGTTACCAGTCTCCACCAGTATACAAATAACTTCTAAGGCTTGGATTGGTCTGTTAGCGACGTCTAGTCTTGCGCCGCGACTTTTTCTGGCGCGACAAACAGCCTCTCTGACATCATAACTTGTTAACTAGGTACTGTATCTCGAGTCTAGCCTAGTGTCCTGCTCCAGGCAAGCCACGCATACACTGTGTCCCGACTTACGTGCCGGGCTTCAATTGCCGGAATAAGCTGGAGGCAGATTCAAAAGGCCCCTTTGCACTTGAGGAGAGGCTGAAGCCATTCTTAAGTATATACTTACTGCCATTCGCATGTTCCTGTGTTAGGCAGCGCAACGTTGCGTTACATTCAGTGGATCGCTGGCAAAGCTTGTTTCCTCGGCCCTAACGCCAGATCAGGCTACTGAGCAGGATCCTGGATTTGCGGTGTTGTACTTAGTATGAACTCGGGTTCCGAGTAATACTGCAAAATGTTGCGTGGTAGGCCTGATCACTATCTTGAACAATTGTACCCCAGACGTGATTCCAGGTAGTCAAAGAGGTGCCGAGGTTCGATCTACCTGTCACTACTAAACTCGACCTTGACAGCGAGCTGATTGATGGCCAATTCCAGGGGCCACGAGCAGCTGCCTTTAACAACGTAGATATGCCTTACATATGATCTTGGACATGGATCACAGAGTGCAGCCCTGACAATATCACAGTATCACCGGGACTACCCGAATGAAGGTAATGAAGGCGGATATAGGTACCTGTTGTGGGATAGCAAATCCACGACTGCTCACTCCTTACATTTACATGTAGGTAGATGCATTGAGGAAGCCGATCACCGGGGCCCCTAACACTGGGTTAACATTAGCATTCTACCAAGGCATGAATAGATGGCCAGTCACCGTGCAGAATAACAAGCGGAAAGGAAGAGTTGTTATTTTAGGGCCGCACCCTAGGATTTGCCAAGGCCCAAAGCGATCTGCAAACTGGGTCAACCAACACAGAAGACCCGACTTAGCGAGCTATCACTGTGTAAGTCCGGCGTAAGTCTGGTAAGGACTATGGCACTCACTCAACTCAAAGCCTTCCTGATATGGCTATGCTAGCTATCCTAGCTTCACACAGCCTGACGGTTCATGGGGCATGGGTCTATCATCATTCCCTTTGTCTTGGCCTTCTACTCAAAACACCAAAGTAACTAAAATTGGAAATATCCAGCTTGCTCTCCGTCATGGTTCCACAAGTTAGGCAGTGCTAGACCCGGCATCAACTCAGTTGAGCTATCAAGATGATTATGTATAAGAAGGCGAGAGCGAGGTGTTTAGAGTAAGAACTCACACCTAATCTAGCTTACTCTCAACGTAGTCTATCAATATACCCTTCAAGATGAGATCAGCTCTGCTTTACGGCCTTCTGGGCGCCTCTATTTTGGCCGATGCCCACCCGTCCCCCAAGTACAAGCACCATAAAGGCGTCCAGCGCAGAACTGTGGATGTGAACTCTATGAGAGTCAAGACCACCTCTCAATATGTCAACCACAAGTCTGCCAAGGCTGATCAGTCGTTAAAACTCTTGAAACGTTCGACTTACGTTGAGACCGCCACCGAACTTGTCAAGAAGGTTGCTCCTAACGCTGAATTTCGAGTCGCGAAGGACCACTATGTTGGAACCAACGGTGTTGCCCATGTCTATTTCCGCCAGACAGTCAACGGTCTCGATGTCGGTAATGCTAACTTCAACGTTAACGTAAGTACTCATCTAAGAACTTACACCGCAGTATCCTCGCTAATACAAGTTAGATCGGACCCGATGGCAGCATTCTCTCTTACGGACACTCGTTTTACAATGGCGAGCTCCCCAAGGAGAACCCTATCCACAAGCGAGAGTTTACTAGCCCTATCGCGGCTCTCGAAGGAGCTATGAAGGTCCTTGGTCTACCCATGACCAAGAATAAGATAACCATTGAGGCTCTAGATGATCTTGAGTCGTTCGTCCTCAAGGGCACCTCTGGTGCTGTCAGCGACCCCACTGCCCGCTTAACCTACCTAGTGAAGCCAGATGGAAAGCTTGCTTTGACATGGAAGGTGGAGACGAACCTCCGTACTTCCTGGTTACACTCCTATATGGATGCGTCCAATGGCTCAGAGATTCACGGCTTGATCGACTGGGTTTGGTCCGCCACCTATAAAGTTTTGTAAGTCACTTTAGGGCCCGAACTTTACAACTATGAAATGTCGAAATACTAACATGAAAACAAGCCCCTGGGATGTAGATGACCCTCAGAGCGGAAAGCGCCAAGTCCTCACCGACCCTTGGGAGTTGGCGGCTTCCGAGTTCACTTGGCAATCCGACGGAGAGCAGAATTACACCGTCACCCAGGGCAACAACGGAATGGCCTACCAGGACTGGTCTGGTGAAACCACCGACCTGTACCAGCCCAACAGCTCGGATCTTGAGTTTGAGTACGACCTCAGGCTGAATGAGAGCGACCCCAATGCCTATAGGGACGCTTCTCTCACCCAGCTATGGTACACAGCCAACTACTACCATGATATCCTCTACGACCTAGGTTTCAATGAGGAGGCTGGCAACTTCCAGGCCAACAACAATGGCAAGGGCGGAAAGGACAATGACGCCGTCATCCTCTCTGCTCAAGACACTTATGGCACAGACAACGCTGTACGTATTCTACTTTTCCCTCCCTTATAGTCTTTTGATAAGCGTATCTAATATCTGAATTGTTATAGCTGTTTGTGCCACCTCCTGATGGACAGAACGGTATCATGTTGATGTTGCTATGGACTCAATCCAACCCTCGACGTGACTGCACTTTCGAGAAGGACGTTGTTGTCCACGAGTACACTCACGGTCGTAAGTCTCTCTCTGCACTACCGCAGTACCTACTACTCGCGCTAACGAAGCATCATAGTATCCACCCGGCTGACTGGTGGCCCTGACAACTCGGACTGTCTCTCTGACGGTGAAGCCTCCGGAATGGGAGAAGGTTGGAGTGATTTCTACGCCATTGCCAATGCCCTCAAGGATGAATGGACCCGGGACACTCCTGTGGGCATCGGTGCCTGGGTTTATAACGACCCCAACGGCCTGCGCAGCGTCCCCTACACCTCCGACATGGAGGCGAACCCCAACACCTACGCCACACTGAATGGCCTTAACGAGGAGCATGACATCGGCGAGACCTGGACTACCGTCCTATGGGAGGTGTTCTGGAACCTCGTCGACAAGCACGGCCGCAACACCGGCCCCAAGCCCGTCTTCAACGAGAGCGGTATCCCCGCCGACGGCAACTTCCTCACCCAGAAGATCGTCATGGACGGCATGGCTCTTCAACCCTGCAACCCTACCTTCGTCTCAGCCCGTGACGCCATCCTCGACGCCGACGAGGCCCTCACTGGTGGTGACAACGCCTGCGAGATTTGGACTGCTTTCGCCAAGCGCGGTCTCGGCGAGGGTGCTGTGTACGACGAGACTGACAGGACCGTCAGCTTCGATATTCCTGAAGGAGTGTGCTAGATTTATGATACAGAGAGCGTTTTTCTCAGAAGAGTTGAAAAGACGCTTCTGATCAGACTTGTGACTTTTAATGTATATATATGTGTACAATGATGGGCTGCTCTGCTTAGAGGGCCGGATGTACTTGATTGTATATGAATTAGATACCTGGCTCATGTCAAAATGAATGAAAACTTAGCAAGTTAAAGTTCGAATCTTGTGTGTGATCGTGTAGGTTCTCCGGTTCCATCTAGGAAGTTGAAAGTAGATATCTAGGTATATGAAGTCTGGTTAACTGGCCCTTATTGATTTCTCGTAAACCTAGACTTCGCCGTTCTTATGACTATAACTCGAAAGCGAATCCAGCATTTTAGCTAATGTCAGTAACTTGGTAAATGGAGAACTCAAGTTTTTTTTTATTGTTGTTTTTTTCTTCAAGCGAAAATGGTATTAAATAAACGAAAAGGGACTTATTGTTCAAGGCAAAACGCGCAAGAGAAGATTCGAATCGCTGGGTTGTAGTTAAGTACACAGTAGGCATCAGGGGGCAAAAGACCAAAAAGACAAAAACTATCTAAAGCGAAGGTGGGCCTTACCATTACACCACGGGGTGTATGACAAGCCACGAGTTAGCTACTTCGCTGAAAGGTAGGCCTTGCTATAGAGTTTTATATAGGACGCGTTGGTAGACCTGGTAACTTAGGTGGGCGTATCATGATGTACCCTAGGACGTTCACCTAGACGACCGGGTAGAACACGAAGTAACGACGGCTTCTCCCATAGTAACGTAACCGACCAGATTCAAGCGCATCGTCAATTCTTATGTTGGGCTTGCAAATTCTGTGGCCTAACTACCTTGCTCTTGATATCTGCTCCTGACTCACCATGAATCAACTCTTCAATGCCTGTTTGCGAAATACTCTATAACTTGTGTCTTCGACGTTGATCGAGCGCTATTTGCGTCGTCTACATTATAACCATTCATGGACGTCCTACACACACGTTCGTGCCGTCAAGCGTTCGAGTTCGACACGAGTCACACGGCCATATCGACGCAGAGTTTGTATCAACGTGTCTGCTAGGAAAATAGTCATCGTATATAACGAACGATTTTTTTTCATTTTCTCGGATTCTGCGTTAACATGCCCTCCTCTGGCTCTCTCATTAGTAAGCAACTGGCTCCTATTTTTACCAACTTCTAGTATCTGCATACTTCACTGCCGCGCAAAGCGTGAGCCCCGATGTGTGGAGGTATCATCACTGCAGCCAAGATGCATCGAAAACGAAATGATACAGCAATCATTGCGATGGAGTAACATAAGGGGTGTTCTAGATAAATATTAAAAGGAGGAGTAAGTGAGGTTAAAGCACTAAGGGGGAAAAGGAGAACGACAGCTTGATAGAAAACGAGCATCGCATGTCAATTTGTGCAATCGTCGCAAACATGGTACCTACATAGAGTACGCATAACGCCCAGCAGAACATTGATTATCAAACCAACCAGAAAATGAGGTCGTTGAGATGCTGCAGAAATAGTTGCTGCCCCAGGAGATAAGGGGTTGAGGCATTGACCTATTAAAGACCGAGCGCTTTTCGGCGACCTCGCCTATTATTTCTGTACTTGACCGCATTGATATGAATTTGCCTCTGCATGGGTTCTGCTGTAGGGAATCTTCCAGCAGCTGCAGGTTGGCAAATCATCCTATCTACCTTGCGCAGCAATATCTCTAGCATCCCAAGTTTTCCTATTAACCAAGGCGTCGAAGGGTCTATGCGTCAATCATCGGCGCAGTAGCCTTTTCAGATCACGTCCACTTCGCATTTGCCGCGATCTCGCTTCTGGGTTAATCTATTGCGGAGATCGAGGTCAACCGAACTTTGGAGCTTTCGAAGCAGTTGGTGTGTAACATCAGCTGTCAGATTGTACCAATGAGATTCGGGCTGCGCTGTCGGGGTCGATAGTGACGGGCTGCACCCCTAACTGATTCAGAGATCTTAGGATTTCCCGTGTTATGAAGAGAGAGAAAAATAGTAATATCTTGTTGCATGACCGAGGTTGTTGTACCACTATCCAGACTTGCTGTGAATTGGCGGTTTTGGCACTCGATACGTGTTACTCATACCGGACACAGAGCCTGTCTGTACATTGGTCCATACTTGCTAGAGCTTCACTATGTTACTTACAAAGATACTTCTACTCACCCAAGTATGGTGCGTAGATGCAATTTGACAGGATTAATAGGCCAGCTTGCTTTGGAAAGACAAAAAAGGGACAAGAATCTCATCAGCTTGCGAAGACAGAGGTGCTAAAGCCAAAGAAAATAGTCGTCTGGCTAGCACATTCATAGCTATTACATAACCTTGTCTTGTCTGTATCTTGTGTATGGGAGGGCAAGTAAGAGTCTGGAGTAGGATGGGAGCAAACTAGGAGGCTAGCATGTGGCCCTCCGGCTTGGGACACTGGTTAGACTCTCTAAGAGCCGCTGTACTCATATCCAACGAAGGGTTCTGCTATGTGGGAGGCAGTAAGTGTAGTTACTTCTCTTGTAGGTACAGACGTTGTGGTCTACGAAGATACTTGAGACACCCTTACTGGACTAAATAACTGAAACCGGGAGACGGAGTGCTGGTACCAGTATGATTCGACTTTTTGACGCAAAGTTTCATTGCGAACGCTTCAGGTTGAGCATCTTAATTAAGCAAGCTTGACATCAGACAGGACACCAATTGGCGTGTGCACGCCTATGACATAGGGTATACCTACTGTATGATACCTATGAGATTGCCAATTGGGCTAGTATAAGTACTTTGGGAGTTCCGAACATGTGTCTGTGGTATTAATACTGGGGTTAATTAGGCCAGTTGAAACAAAACGCGTATCGTGTTTTCATAGACGAGGCAGATTCTTATAGTCGTGTCATCAGCCGTCTGCAACGCGACTGGAAGAACTAGAAAGCACTATGAGTGAGTCCCACTGCGAGCGGAATGTAAGAGCACCTCAGTATGGAGATAATCTATAAGTACGATAGAGCGGGCTGATCTATCAGGACTACTGGACCAAGTCAAGTGTTCCGGTCATTGTTTTTTCTGGCACAAGCAGAGAGTGGCGACATCACATGGCTGAGGTGGTATTTGCATGCGATTGCAAGCATGCAATGTAACGATCCGAGCACATCAATTAGCCGCCAACGTAACTACTGGTTGACCAGGTACACTCTCCGCGGCGAAGCCTTGCCTGCGCACGTGTAGATGATTGCGTTCGATAAGACCCTGGAGAATGCAGTGAGATCGTGGTTGTAGCGGAGGATTTGTTTTACCGTTGCTGATATGATTTGTGGACGGTGAACGGTGAACTTGTGCATGATAGAGGGATTTGCAGCAGGTTCGTGATCTTGAACAGTCATCGGATCGGGGTTTGATCCAAAGGAAGACTCGAGTGAAGACATGCGTTATTCATATTAATAATGGGGACCGGGCGTTGATGCTGAATTGCAATCTACCGCATCCAGACATGACTCTGCACAACCTACGGCATCAATGTGCTTGGCATTTTGAGCTTGGTTGCAGGCCGGCCAAATGAGATTGCAGGTGTTGTCATAGCGGGCGTGGTCAACCCGACAGTGTGGCAGTGGCGTCTTGTCGTCGTCTTGGGACGTTGCCAACCTCTACTTAGGTAAATATCTAGATAGGTGCCGACTAAGATAGCAACTAGCTGCAGGAACCTCTCTATTATTGCACTGTATTGGTGAAGATCTCTACCTGAAAAAGTCATCGGCTGTGACGTTTCGAAGAGATCAAGTGTTAAGCAGATACTCAAGTATGTTGACGGCGAGAGATGGCTGAGTAATATGGACGGGGTATTAATAGTATACCTAGGTAACTGCTTAACTCCTGTGCATGTACATATTTACTTACCCTTACCATCGGATCCGGACCGGCTGTCTGGCCCTTACGCTAATGCCGTTCGTATGCCATACAAATACTTATCTATAACCATTATGTACCTGTATTGGGAGTACTGCGTACAGCGGCGCAGCAAGAGGAGCCACATAGGAGCTACTATACACATATTTGTAGACAGACCAAGGCACAGAGATGAGACATGGCCATTATTAATTACTTTTGGTACGGAGTATTGGAGATTTTGTATGTTCCGCTGCAAGATTTTCACTGGGATACAGGTATCACTTACATTAGCATGTACCATCATGCTGTGTCTGTAGCCCAGCATGACGTAAGTGGTTAGGAACTGTATCGCTTCCCTGGTACGGTAGCTTTCTCCTTTCACCTTTGTCATCAACGTCCCTTCGCTTGACATCATTGTGGCTATTCTGCGACATGTCTACGACATGCTGATCGTAGGGAAGTGCGTTGAATTACATCTCAACAAGTGCTGTGTTGCTTCAAGTTGCTTGACACCTCTCTGTAAGTACTGTACCTCTGTACCTCCTTGACATGTACCTACATTCATAGTTGTATGTAGGCAGGACCTGGGGGCCGGGCATCTGATCAGGTGCAGTGCTAGTTCTATGCTAGCGTCTAGTGGTGCATATCGCCTAATGCAGGAGGGTGACAGAGTCGAACATGACCACGGAAGTGGTAGAACGAGAGCTGCGCGCAATACTTACATAGGTGCTTTGGGCCTTGGCTCTTGGAGCAACGGTTGCTAAATAGGCATGTTTGTACATGTTGATTCCGCCTGTAAGGTATTTTAAACATCATATTGGTCAAGCACCTATGCTGTGTAGCTGTATTGATGATTTGCATATGTTCGTAATTATACGAAAAGTACTTACTAAGTAGGTACCGATTACTGGTGGTTGGTCCAACATCAGCTACCTACATATGTATGTAGGTAGGGCGCGTGGACCCAAGTACATGTGATGGAGATACATACTTAAGTACTTTTAAGTATGTACCAGATACCTTGATCTCTACTAAGTATATAGGTATGTACTTACGTTATGTAGGTAGGAAGCGTTGATGACTACATATCAAGGTATTACGTAGTAGAGATAGGCTTTCTTGTCGAGTAGCTAATAAGCTTAGGTATATATAGAAATTTCCCACGTCATCATGTAGCAAATGTAACCCCCCATTGCTGCTGTTCAAGAACGAACGTCTAATCAGTATGAGTGAGATAGGTATTGGGATCATGATGTTGTGTAAAAGGAGCATTCCTTCATGTTGGTGTCGCTTGTGCATTGATAGCGTACATACTTCGTACCTACCTACCTATATGTACTATGTATGTAAGTAGGTATGTACACTGCCTTACAAGGTATAGCACTTTGCACTGGATTGGTCTACCTAGCGCATCGAGATAGTGCAGTGCATCTGCAGCTACAAGGACGGATACAGGGCTTATAGGGCGCTATATGTCTACTATATCTGCTATATCTACGCTATGAGTACTGTGGAAGTGTGCGAGATACAGTAAACCCTGTCCGTCTGCGCGAGGGTGGACTTGGTACTAACTCTTTCCAGACACTTTCCCTCCCTGTTCTGCCCCCCCCCTGCTCCCATGCACTCTCACTCTACCGCTCTTGCCCAATCAGCATCGTCTCTCCCTGGTCTGCCCTCGGCGCTGGCCGGCCCTCCCCAGCCAAGTTGCGTTCCCACCTGCGTTCCCAGCCATCGCCTTTGCAGCGCTGCAGCGCGAGTTCTGCAGCAGCGGCCAGAGCGACCACCCCCAAATCGGTCCTGCCTCCCCAAATAGGTCAGACCAACATGCCTCGCCGCCAAGCGAAGCGAATGCGTGATACCGCTACCATCACAGTCCTCTCGTTACCTTGTCTCCTCGTCTCCTCGTCTTCCTTGCCCAGGTACCTATCACTATCACAGTGGTAGATGTGGTGGATTAGTAGCGTCCCCAATTCCGCCGTCCCAGATTCCCAGATTCCCAGCCCCGGCAGACCAGACCTTCATTTCCCACCGTCAACAACCACAACCACGGTTTCATACTCTTTGTGCACCTGATGCACACATGATGCGATAGGACCGAGTCGCACAAACAGCTAGGGATTGCGAGAGATTGCGAGAGATTGCCAAAGATTGCCAGAAATTGCCTCTGTTCACAGGCCTTACGAACGGGGGTATGCCGAGCCTTCACCGTGACGTTGGAGCAGTGCGCGCATGGTTCTAGAGCTTCTGTACATCTAGTCTTTCATTCGCGATAGCCACCGTTTCCGAGCTTCCGCAGCGCACCTGGCAAAACTACCAACAATTTCGATCAAAAATTCCCCGGCTTCTTGATCGCACATAGGGATCCTCTCGCGCCTTTCAATGTATCATTCAGCAATCCATATTTTTAGCAGGCTTCGTTCTGCCGCTCTGTAGAATATGGAGGTCAATCCGCCCGGATTGCACCCGTCCTTGCCCATACGATCGAATTTGAGCCTTCGCGAGAGCCCAAAGAAACTTGTAGTGACGAGGGATCAGAGATCGCAAAACGTGCTAGGCGAGGACGTGGGAATCAACCGATCACCCCCACATGGCAGAATCGCCAATAAGCCGCGAGCTGGAGTGCACACCTCTCCTGTCGCGAGTGCTAGGCCCTTGCTTCCGCTGGGAGAGCGTAGGTTGGGAGAGCAGGGAGGCGGCAAGGTTAAGAAGAGCTTGGAAAGCGAGAAATGGAGCCCCTCAGTTGATGGAATTGCAGTTGGTCGAGAGGGAAGGCATTTTACAGTCGCCAATGTGGACAACAACGGTCAAATATTCTTGAGGTGCGTGGTAATAGGCTAACCCACTGGGCGCGCGATTTGGTTGCGTGTTTAAAGAGTCTGGGTCGGTACAGGCAACGAAATTTGTGCTAATTTCACCATGTAGGCCTGCTATTCGCCCTGACAATCATAGATATCCCCAACCGCCCGTCACATATCCAATCACTCCACCAAGTACAGCGGGGTTAGAAACCTTTACTCCTCTGAACGCGCAATATGCTGGAGTTGGTGATTTACGCAGCAGTCAATGGACCCCAACGCCTATGACAGGCTCACCTTCGCCGAATGGAATACCAAAGACTGCCTATTTTGATTTTGGAACTTCTACCACTCGACATCGTCGGGCTGTATCTGACTCAACTGCCCATGATGTGACTCCCGGATCAGAAGCAACTGGTGCAGGCGTTTTCAAGGTTGTGATATCGAAGCCACAGAACGAGGCCAAGTCGAAGACCGCTGAGGATTTGGACCCAGGAACCGGGCCTTTTTTGCAAGTTTCAATTCCATCGTGGAAGTTGGGCACCCCAAGGTTTACACTAAGAGGTACACCACTTATACGAGGCTCTTCGTATGCCCCTACCGAGGAGATGAGATCAAGCCATATCTCTTTCCCCAGACCGTCGCCTAGAGAGAGAATGAATAACATATCCAAACCAGACACAGTTAACAGTTTGCAAATGACAAGTCCTCTTCCATCTCAATCTCGGTACGCTTCACCTGCCTGGCTTGCCCTACCCGGTGACAGCCCACCCTCCCCAACAATTAAGACAACGCGCCCTGTTTTTATGCCTGCAAACTCAGTTATCGAGCCGTCCATGTTTGATGCTCTCACTTTCGAGCCCGGGTGTGATGATCGTTTGATTGTGCGCTATGCACAAACCAGCAAGACTGTCACAGCCGCTACTCCACCTCGACTTGTTGCCGAAATCACGTCACCTAGCTTCCTTGACTACGACCTCATTTCCGATTTTTTTCTAACCTTCCGCTCATTCATTGACACCACACAGCTTCTCCGCCTACTAGTCGCTCGGCTTCGATGGGCTCTATCCCAGAATGACGAGTCGGGGATGATTGTGAAAGTGAGAACTTTCGTGGCGATACGCCATTGGATTCTGAATTACTTCGTGGATGACTTCGTTGTAGACTATCATCTCCGTGTCACGTTTTGTGACCTTCTGAACGACTTCACTGATGACTTGCCTACCTCTCAATCGAAGCGGAAGGTTCCGTTTAAGATCGTGGGCGAGTTGAAGAAATGCTGGAGGCGCGTGTGCGCGCAGTATTGGGATGGGGCCGAATTTGACGTAGACCTCGGGCATGACGTGGCTATTACGCCAGGTGGGATAGCTGGTCACCGCCATCCGAGTCTAACCCCCAGCTTCTGGGACACAGATTCTTCCCAGGCACAGATTGATGAGGTTTCATTGCAAAGCGCGGGTCCCACTCAAGGAACAAAGCAACCAGCTGATGCATCTAATGGTGTTCAAGTCAATTCTTTATCCCGCGGCGACGCACGGCCTAGTACGCCTGATGGGGGAGTTAAGCCGCTGACTCGACATCCCGCAACGCCAATGAGTACCGCAAGCCTCGATGTTGTGTCCTGCTCATTCCCAACGAAAACACTACGTCTAGGTGATCCGAATGCGAGCATGTCTATTGGAGCACATCCTGTAGACCCCAGTTCGATCTACACGAGCACGGATCCTATTGCCTCCACGCCTCATGCTGTGACGGGAAAACGCATACGACCACAGACTTCTCATCGGCGGAATAATAGCCTAAGTGATTCGCTGAGGGAACACGGCACCACCGCGGAGAAAGTCTCCTACAAGAATGGCGAACTTCTTCTTACGCTTCCATACGCTGGCAGTCTCGTGCGTGGGAATCTCATGCCTCCTGGTCAGCCCTTTGTTGATCTAAGTAGCGTCTCTAGTAAAGGGGCTAGCCGTCAAACCACTCTTTTCCACCCACAGTCAACCATCTCGGGAAAAAGGAAAGCTTCTGCTTCGGCGATGTCAGGACAAGGTATGCGGAAACTGCTAGGAAGTGTGCGAAGGGCTATCAGCACCAGGGGTCCAGGTATTTCGGAAACTCAAGGTAGCTTTATCGATATTGCACCTATCGGTCCCAGGGGGGCAACAACGAACAGACTTCCTGGTACTGCTGTTGTGCCACAACCGCAACGTTCGACCGCGAACGGTATTCAACAACCTCAACGGATCGACATTTTAGGAGCTCAAATCGCGGAAGATTTCAATCAAGCTGTTCGTGAAGATGCTGCTGAGACGAAAACTGCAAGTACGTCAACTAGAAATCGTGCTGGAGACGTTCAATACAGTGTCGCTCACTTGGATTCTTCGTTGGAGCTTCGGCCACGGAGCGATGCCGCTATCACCACAGGTAGTCAGTCGATCGTTATTGTCGATGGCACTGTACCTCCTGAGTGCCTAGTCATGACTGGGGCTTTGCCTCCATTGAATCCATCGGTCGAAACATTTGCAGATAGCATGATACATATACATGGCAGAAACCCGACACCACCAATGACTCCACCTAGTGATAGCATGCGTGGGAACACTCCTAGGAGATCATCATATATTCTCGGCCAACACGTCTATGAGGCCTCTTTGAGCGTAGATCCTTTACCAGTAGTCGATAAGAGCAAAGTCGGTGGCATGAATGACAATGTGATGCCTGCTTGCAATATTGATCACCAGGTCCAGTTTCCTGCCAGCGTCATTGACCAGCAGTCTAACAAGCCGCCACCGGCTTATCTCAATCGACATAGGAGGCAACAGTCTAGTCGCAGTCATCGATCACGAGGCTCTTTATCACAGCGACATTGGACGTCAATCCACAGCGGAAGATCGAGAGCGAAAAGCTTCGATGCGACAACATATTCGGAAGGCTCAATGAAATCCGAAGTTATGCCTCCGCCCTTGAGGATGCTTCGACGCAAACCGGGAGGGGACTTAAGGGGCGCGGCAAATACTGCTCAGCTTGATTTTGTACCTCTTCGTAGATCGCACTCTTTCGGTTCTCTGACAGTTTATTCTGAATCTCTGAGAAGTTCCTACATTCAAAGTCCTGCCGGAAACTCTGAGGGGTTAGCCGATCCAGTCAGCGACGACTACTCTCAAAATCGCGGTGAAATTTTCTCCTTAGGAGCTATGGCCGACAAAGCCTCGAAACGGCCATTATCTCTTTTTAGCACTCATTCATCGAAGCCAATCATGCGGCCATCGTTTGAGGCTGAAGCCCAGAAATTAGCACAAATCCCGGATGACGTGGATGATGATGGGGGCGTTGAATCGGCATTGCTCAAATTGGAAGGAAAGTACGAAAGGAAGACAGTTAAGCTTTCTATCGACCCACTGAACATTCCAAGCAAAGACCTCCAGGCCCTAAGCGCTGGATCCCCGCTATCAGCGGGTATTGACCAAGTTAGAGGCGAGAAGAAAAAGCATCGCCATCTACATATTGCGGAAGAAGAGGTACCAGACATATCACCAATCGGCGACGAACCCGCTACTGACAACTTTGTGGAAAATCACATACCGCGCCATTCGGTGATCAGCTCCTTCTTGTCAGAGGACTCGCTAGAAACTTATAATTCAATACCACTGCTTGACAGGGGATTAACGGACGAAGGCCGCAGTAGGACAGACACTCTGGAATGGACAAATCAATCCATACTTGAGGGTCCCGACACCCCAGTAGACGAATCAGAGGCTACGCTATCATTGTCCCCTGCGCAACACTCGTTCGAGTTCATCAACAGAACCCAAAGTATAGAGAGGGCCACGGAGCATGCTCCGATAGGCAATCCTAGTGAGGATCGTTCGTTTCTGGATATGGAGAGTGACAACGACTCGGAACTATCTTCTGAGCTCTCTGTCGAATTGATTGACGAGAGCAATTATATGCCTCGGCCGCTCTCGCCGAATCAGATTGGCGGACAACATGTAATAACACACATACGCCAGACCTCGGGAACCAACTCATATCCAGATGACGAGAGATCTTCAATCAAATTAACCCTAGTGCAAGCCCTTCAAATGTCGCCAGAGACAGAGCGTACACCGCAAATTCGGGAACATCAAATCTGGTCCCAGAAACCGCTGCCCCCGACACCTGATACGACCCCTACGGCTGCGATGTACTACCAAGCTCTGGTTTCCCCATCTGCGTCACTCGATTCTCATCGAGCTCCTAGCAACTCGGCTAAATCGTTAGAACCAATTGAGAAGCCGCCTTTACATCTCCCCTTCATTCTCGCCTTTGACTCTGAAATTCTTGCGCAGCAGTTCACCTTGATTGAAAAAGACGCGCTCAATGAAGTCGGGTGGAAGGAGCTCATTGAGATGAAATGGAAAGACTCACGCAATGACCCACGATCCTGGGTCGATTTCCTCCGCAATACCGATGCATGCGGCGTAGAGGTCGTTATTGCGCGATTCAACATCATGGTAAAGTGGGCTATCTCCGAGATTGTGATGACAGAAGTGTTGGAGGAACGAGCTCGATGCATTATTAAGCTTCTTCATATTGCTGCTCATTGCAGGAAATATCGTAATTTCGCAACTATGAGTCAGATCACAATTGCCCTCACGTCCAACGAGGTTGCACGACTGTCGAAAACATGGAGCATGGTTCCCTTGACAGACATGGAAACTATGCGCGAGCTCGAAACACTCATCTTGCCAACCAAGAACTTCTACAACCTTCGGGCAGAAATGGAAGGCGGTGGCAATGCAGCCGATACTGGTTGTATCCCTTTCATCGGCATTTATACTCATGACCTACTGTTCAACTCTCAGCGACCATCCGAAATTGCCAGTTCACCAACTACCCCGCCACTTGTCAACTTTGAACGGTGCCGAATTGCTGCATCGATTGTCAAGACCTTACTTCGATTGCTAGAAGCAAGCACGTACTATCAGTTCCAGCCTATCGAGGGTATAACTGAACGCTGCCTTTGGATGGGCGCATTGACCGACGAGGAGATCCGAAAAAGATCTGATAGTTTGGAGTAACAAACGCTAGTCACGACAGTTATTGTAAACAGCGAGAAATTACAACAGGAACAATGCCGAGATTACACACAGGTTCGAATTGTATAACATGCATGTACTCATGGTCTGGTCTCTTCACATTCGCGCGCTATATTCATCATATCACCACCACCATTTCATTGTAGACGGCGTCTCGCTCAGGCAGAGGATATTCGGCTGCTTCATACAGCAGAATTGTTCATGATAATTTTGATACCCCATGATACCACGAGAAACATGCCAGAGAAAACTTTCCTTTTTTGTTGTTGTCCCGCCAGGCGTTTAGGGTCCCGAGGTTTTCGGAGCGAAGCCCCTTTACTTTGCGTCCGTTCTTTCGCCCCTATCTTACTTGTCTATTAATACGCGCGTCCAGGGCATCCGGTGGCCATTATCGAGGTCTCGGTAGAGCGAGGAGCGAGATGCTACTCATTTATTATGTCTAGTGTTGCATGGCCGAGTTCCTTCTTTTGAACTTGATACTACGAACATTGCATTGGAAGAGGAGTTGGGAGCATAAAGCTGGACGAATACTCCAGATATACAGAAACACTAGGCCTATTTGAACTTCGTCGCAAAGAAGTCATGGGTTAGTCTTGTATTTAGGTGCAATGACGAAATATTCACATGTCTACCTGTCCGTCTACCACTATTTCCGAAACACATTACAAAGGATATGCATACTTTTAAGCGACTATATCGGTTCGGTTCAGTCCCGGTATCTGATGGATTACATTACTTAGTGCACAGTAGATCGGAACCTAGGTAGCTTAGCCCCTCAGCTAGGTAAAGCAGTAGATTTTGTTTATCCGCGCACCAATCGCTTAGAACGGCCCCAGAAGCAGTGTGTATTTGGAATCAGCAAATCAGTTCACAGTATACTTGTAGTGCAATGTAGTGTTCATATAGGCAGATCAAAAAGTCATAGAAAGACGAGTATTCCGATCAAAGTATGGTTTGAAGAGATTCCCAACTCGAAGCCACGAGTAGTACTTATGTAATGGACTGTGTTGTGTTGTTGATTTACACCCTCTTTCTCGTCTCTTCCTTCAAAGAGCAAATAGGTCCCCCAAACGCACTATGCGTGCGAGGCAGGCCATTGTACTTTCCGTGTTACATAGGTATACCTATATCGCTACAATGTTGGATAATAGTTGAAGAAGGTGAACGAACATGGGTATAGTTGATGGTGTGTGCTAACCGAAGGTGTACGCATATACATCCCAAGTAGTATGTATACACGACAGACGTCTCCTTGTCCTTTTTTATGCACGCCGCAAGCAAAGCTGGCGATCTCGCTTAGCTGGGTCCCCGCCCATCTGACGGGTAACGAATGGAAACCAGCCAGGATGTAAGTATGCACTGCCGAGCAGCTCATCCTCAACCGTATTCGGTAAGTGTGTCGCACACGCACGCAGGGAGGTGAGGAAGGGATGGGATTCGAGAAGGTCTCTATGGGCATTGGCATTGACGTTTCGCTCTAACCGAGCGATTACGATTGATGCAATCCCGCCTGCGCTAAAACATCCTCCGAAGGTCTGTTTTTCGCTAAACAGGCGATTGGCCGATAGGGATGGATGGAGTCGACAACCCGTCAGGTTCGAACGAATGCTCGCTACACGCCTGCTGCATCATTAGGACGTGTCTGCGTGTTTAGGGGTAAGTATTTGGGGGTAGCAACCTGACTTTGTCTCGTGACGCTATCGTAACCGACCACATCTCCGAGGCCCTCTTAGTCACGATGCCCGACGAGCCTTGCAATCAGATCATGTCAACTTGTCCTGCGTATACTGGTTGTATAACGTGTGATCCCTGTCGAACAAGCATACTAAGCATTTACTACTTATACATGGCATATTGTGTCTCGCAGTGTTGCGGCGGTACTCATATTGAAGCATCACCTCCAGCTGTCAATGTTAAGATGACATACAGATGTCATGTATCTCTCTGCCTGTCGCAGGTAGGGATAAGCCATGTTCCAATACCCAATACGCTATGCGGCTTAACGAGCTCTTTGTCTCCCTTGGAGGGAGGAGTTCTAGCAAAAGTGTGGATCTCAACCCCAACCTCGTTACCTCCCTCTTCGAATTACCTACTAAGTAAGTAAGCGTACTAAGTAGATAGCGTACCCGGATCTTGGTTTGCCGAGCTTGGTCCTCGCTTGCCACCGAGCGAAGCGAAGGGAAGTAGGTACAGTATGCAACGTAAGCTGATCTGTTTCACGCTCGCAATACAGAATACTTATACATGTACATACTACAGTACTACTACGTACAGAGTCCTGTTGAGCAAGCTCGGTTAGAGATTCCGTCGCTTATTTAGAGCCATCTCGCGCTGCTTTTCGTTGGAGCCATCTCGTCGGGCTATGTTGTATTAATCTACCTGGTGGTGGTTGTGTGATGGCTAACTAAAAGCCTGCCATACAAAACACTAATATCGCATATCTATCAACCATCAATAACCATCCGACAACATCTCGATTGTGTGGCACAGGTTTTCGCCTGCAGCCATATGGAGTCAAGATGGGTATCACCTTACCACAGTCTATTCAGCCTCAAGAATGGTCGGCAACCATCTGGGCCCTGGTTCTCACCTCAGCCGTTGCCTTTCTAATTCAGGTTTTTCGGCGGCCCTCTTTCCCCCAAAATGCGCCGAGATTATACAAAAAAGGAGACTGGCCTATCGTGGGAGCGCTGGATTTCTACTACGGTCGCCGTTCCGACTTTATGAAGGAGGCATTGCGGGACTCGAAGACGGGCAACTTTAGCTTCTACATTGGCAAGAAGCAGTTGGTTGGTGTATCAGGTACCGAGGGTAGGAAACTATTTTTCGAAAGTAAAGACCTTAACTTTCCTGAAGCGTACGTCATCCCCCTTTTCGTACGTTAGATCCTCCATCGTGTCAAGCGATGGGTAGCTGGGCTATCTCCATGATGAGTGCTAACACGCGCCCAAATTCCAGCTTTGCGGAGCTTTTAACTGGACAGCCGCAAGCACCCGATAAAAACCATGACAATTTTGCGCAAGAATTCTCAAAAGCTCTCGTCCCTCTGATGAAGAAGGAGAACTTCATCAAGAACCTCGATCTCTTGACTGGCGACACGCGCGCCGCATGTGAGGCGCTAGCAGCCGCTGAGCCGTCCAAGGCCGATCCGGACTGGCGAGTGACCGACCCCTTCGAGAGCTTATACGAGATCGTGTACCAGCTCACGATGAGGACCGTCGGCGCCAACGACATTGCCGAAGACCCGAAATTGCTGAAGCACACGCTCTCCATCTTTGACTGGTTCGAGAAAGCCGACTCATTCGCCAAGGTCATCTTCCCCTGGTTGCCCACGCTCAATCATTACATGCGAATGTACTACGGCGCGAAGCTCGCCTTTGTCTTCCGCGACCTCATCGAGAAGAGGAAGAAGACAGGCGTAAAGGGCAATGATGCCTTGCAGTTTCTCATCGACCGTGGCCTAACTCTTACGAGTATCGTCGGGGTGCGTATCTATCACCTACCCCCCCTAGACTTGCTGCCATCGTGGTCGGCGGCCTCGCTCATAAAATGACGGGGAAACTATTGTGGTGAAACGCAAAGCTGACGAATCGTCCAGTTCGAGATTGGCGCCCTGTTTGCTGGCCAGCTAAACAGTGGTATCAACGCTGGATACCTGCAGGTGTACTTGACACAGAACCCAGAATGGATGGCGAGATTGCGCGAGGAAGTCGACGGCGTCGTAGCGAAGCACCGCACAAGCCCGTCGCAGTCGCGCGCCGACGTCCTCTGCGCGCTCACGATCGAGGAGTGGGAGGGCGAATTCCCGCTCATCGACCTGGCGTTGCGCGAGACGATCCGCTTCTGTCTGCCCGGCGCTACATTCCGAAAGAACATGTCCGGCCACGACATCCCTATTGGAGAGTCGGGAGAAGTTATCCCAAACGGTGCCTTCGCGATCTTCCTTCTCGAAGACAGTTTGTTTGGCGACTGGTATACTGAAAAGATGAAGTGGAACCCCTCACGGTATTTCGAAGAGAACGCCGAGGACAAGAAGGCTCCCCATGCGTACGTCGGCTGGGGTTCAGGACGTCACCCCTGTCGTAAGTAATCAGCCACCATCTCTTTCCCCTCCTGTCTTTTGATCCCTGGCGCCACCCAAATTGACCGCTATGTCGATAAAAACCCCCTCTTTTACAGAGATATTATACATACTGACTTGGATCCCTCTTCAAGTGGGCATGAGGTTCGCGAAGCTAGAAATGGCTATGATCACGGCGTTTTGGGTCGGCATGTTCGACTTCGAGTTCTCTGACAAGGACGGCAACCGGGTCGTCCCGACGCCGTCATCGCTGATTATGAACCGCAATCGGCATTCAGCCAAGAAGCCTGACCAGAATATGTACTTGCGCTACAAGCCGAGGGAAGCCTAGGATTGTGCTTTTTGGTTGTGAGCGAAGAGGACGATGCAAAGAGCGAGAAGGAGTTCAAGACGATAAATTGGGGTGAATTGGATGGTTGACAAACTGATACCTGAGCTAGCAATTGGGACTTGTATATTGGCCCCTGCCTTGCCTCATCTGAGTGGCATTATATATTTAATTCATTTCACTTATCCGCCGACCATATTACTCGGAGTGGGAAGGGGGAGGTATCGAGGTAGGGATATGCTCGCTTGTTGTTGGGTCACATTTCCCACCGCAAAGGTTACATGGCGGACCTGGCTCCTGCTGCTGCGCAACTTGGGCTTATGAGAGCTGCGCAGGAAGCAGGAGAGAAGCATCGTGTGATACTGATCGCCAAAGCAGCCGATACCGATACCGAGCAACGAAGCTTTGAGTGGGTATAGCGTGACATCAACATGACACGAATGTGAGGTGAGATTGTGGTAGTCGAGTGATTTATATACTACTCTCAGCCCTAACAAGCTTGCATTCGTGTTGGCTGTTCTAGAGCTGCTTTGCATCGGGTAAAGAAGCTTATTGCAACTACACATTCGATAACATGCCACCAACCTGCACGGAGCCTGTCAAATGGGAAGCCTTGGTATGTAGGGTGTCATTCGTTCCCGTTACTATCTCGGAGGCGTAAGCTTCGTATTGTCGCGCGCCGCTCGGCTCGGCTCCGCAGAATAGCTATTTTCGGATCTGGCCCGTCGCCACACGAGGAGGCACAGTTAGATATGTCCTAGGATCCATATGTCGAAAGACGCTACCACGAGATTTTGCGTATGATGTCGTGTGAAGTTGTCACGAAATGACTACTATGTATTGGAATTGGACTCTAGCTAGACTGGTGGATATGGATCTTCGTCTCGAGGTGTATATACGAAAGTGATGGTATGCAGCAGTTAAAAGAAAAAGAGTCCAAGTAGGTACCTATATAAAGAGCAGTCCATCCAAGCTGTGACGAATATTCATATCTAAAACACCATAGTCTAACTATTAAATACATCACCACAAGTTCAATCCCCCCCCCCCCCCCCGACCAAACAAAACAGCAAAAGCTAGAAAATGCAACTCAACACTTTCTTCACAGCGACTCTTCTGGGCCTAACCACAGCCCTCCCAACAAGCCGCACAACAGGTTCATCCAAAGGCTTCAGACTCCGCGTAAACGTAACAGACACCACGCGAGACCTCACCCCCTCAGTTCAAAACCTGTACCTCTCCTCGCTGCGCACCGGGGCAGGAACCGCCATCTCAACACTTACCGCGAGCACGCCAACACCCTCCTACCTGAACGGCACAGCCTACCACACGACTGTAGTCCAGGACATCCCCAACGTCTACCCCCTCAGCCTCGCCGTCGCCGGGCCCTCGGACTACGACATCTTCTACCCAGCCGAGCACCCCGTCGGCGCAGCCGTGAACGGCGGCACCGAGCTCTTCCTGCGTCCCGGCGAGCCCATTCTCTTCCCGCTTGACGAGGGCGGCGTCTACGCGGCTTGTGAGAGAGACGTCGTGCTGGGCGGTCAGAAGACGTCGGTCCTGGCGGCGAGGTACGTGTATGGGGATGAGAGTGTCCCTGCGGATTGCGCGCCCGTGGAGTTCGTCGTCGAGTGTGCTGTGTTGCCGGATTTGCCAGAGGGCTCAAGCTGGAATCATGATTTCGCTTTTGAGGTCCCCTGTGTGAGAGCATAGGTCATAGCACATAGGCGAGGGTCTTAGATGTGCGATCTGTGCATTGAGCTGGTGAATCGAGAAGAGGAACATGAAGATTGATATATATGTTCCATTCGAGGCAAGTCTGATTACCTTAGAGTTTACTGTCTTCTGCGGTATCTCCCAACTGTAATACTTTTGTTCAAACATGTTCATTTCAAGGAAACTACGACGATAGATGATTCCTTACCTTATAATTTGATAGCATGTCGCGTTAGAATATACAACCGAACCTTAGGTTACTCTACACTCTGTGCCAATACTGAGTAGGTCACAAAGACAATGGTTCATTTTTTTCTGCTACCTAGGAGCATGGGCGGGATAACGATCAAGTCCACCCCTTTGACCGTACAGGGCATTCCCCATCCTCAGCTGAAAACAAAGCCAACAAGAGAGTCACCCACGGAAGCAACAAATCTAATCGACTCATCAACTAATTTTGGTATCTTTCCCTCATTAGTACGTTCAAGTTGACCCGTACCCCAGGCTAAACTGAATTTTGGTTCGTATTGTATCTGCAAGTAAGCAGTTACCACTCCGCCACACTCGATTGAACGTAGTTGGCACTTGAGTCCCATTCGCCCCATTCACCCATCTTTTGTTCTTGTGAATTCAACTCTTCACTTGGTTGCGGCTGTTGTGGTGCCGCCTCAACCGGGGAGTGACCAGCATTTTGATTAGCTTCTTCAGGACGGGATGAGCCAAATTCCTACCACTGGCTCTCCTTGGCATCCGTGGCACCCCATTCGCCGGTGGGAGCAGCAGCAGCAGCAGTGTTACCAGCAACAGCACCAGCCCACTCATCGGTACCATCCCAGTTACCCTGAGCAGCAGAGAAGCCAGCAGGAGCAGCCTCCCAGTCACCACCAGTACCAGTGAAGGTACCAGCCTCGATGGCAGCAGGACCAACCTCCTCAGCGCTGGGAAGCTTCTCCTCCTCAACCTTCTCCTCGGCCTCGGCTTCAGGGTCACGGTCTATGATAATTGTTAGTTATAATTGTCACAGAGTAAGTAAAGAGGGTCAGAGTGTAACGTACAGAAGTAGAGATCGACCATGACGTCCCAAGGAACTTCACGGCTGGCGATGGTGCCACGGATACGGAGGACCTCACGGGCGAGCATCCACCAGACACAGCCGATGGCGTGGCGACCCTTGTTGTTGGTAGGAATGGCAACATCGACGTACTCGGTGGGTGAGTCAGTGTCGCAAAGGGCAATGACGGGGATGTTGACGTAGGAAGCCTCCTTGATGGCCTGGGCGTCGGTGCGGGGGTCGGTGACGACAATGAGACGGGGCTCCTTGAAAGATCGGGTGATGTAGTTGGTGAAAGAACCGGGGGTGAAACGACCGGCAATGGCAACAGCACCAGTGTGAGCAGCGAACTTGAGGACAGCACGCTGACCATAGGGACGAGCGGAGATAACGCAAATGTCGGCGGGGTTGTCGACAGCGGCGATGATACGAGCAGCGAGAACGATCTTCTCCCTATTATTCGCAGATTCGAGGTTAGACATATGTGCCAATTGCGCAAAGAATCGCGAGAGAATGGTGAATTACCAGGTCTTGCCAATGTTGATGACGTTGACACCATCAGCACGGGTCTTCCACAGGTAAGGCTCCATGTGAACCTGCAAGTTCTTGGAACCGAGGTGGCTCTGGGCAGCCAGGAGCGTCTCAATGTCCTGGGAGGTGGCCTGCATGCAGGCGGGGAGGTTCGCGGGCGCCATCTTGAGATATAGTTGCGCGTGAGGAAAGAGGGAATGAGGCGGTTTGCTTTGCGTTGAGCGCGAACTTCGTGATGTGCGAAGGAGGAAAAAGTTCGCGATGCCTGCACAAAATCCCAATAATTTTGGGGCTCGAATTCTGGTGGGCTAACTTGGCCTAGGGTAAGCGAAGTCACACATTAGTGGGTACCCCCCACTAATGCCTGTGTAGGTGGTGTAGGTGCAGATGAGTCTTATCCTAGATTAGCCCCTTTACCACAATCTCGAGGTATCTAGGTATCTATCCGGAATCGGAGTACCAATTTCCCGAAAGCGAACGCCACCATAGCCACTGGCCCAGGGATTCAGGCTGTCGTTACAGTGGAACCGAACTGGAAGTCTACTGTAAGCCAGCTGGTTGCTGCTGGCTCTTCCCGCCGCTGCCAAAAAAGTTGAGATACTGCATGAAAGAATAAGGTGGATGAGAAGCAGGTGGTGATCACCGATCTATATACACCATGCCACCCAAAGTACCCGGCGTGCAACGCCTAAACACCTTTTCAAGTGAGTCGCCAAGAGTTGAGACATTTTGCTCAAGCTAATTGTTGTACGATAGTATGTCTTCGTCCAGCGGTTAAACCGCCAACGCCCGCTTTCCTACCAATAACGCAGACCGCATCAATGTCGCAAAAGGAGAAGAGACGCCTGGCGAAGCAGGACCCTTACCGATGGGCCCAGATGCAGCAGCGCAAGAATGCGCACCTAGAACGTCGCCAGGAAATCGTAGAAGCCCGAAAACAGCAAAGGGGCGATCCCATCCGTGGTATCACGACACCTTTCATCGAGTCCTTTGACTCTGCCGGACAGGCGCCTCTTTCTAAGCCAGTCGTCGACGAGGATGGAAACTCTATACAAGAGGCGCATCCTCTCCCGACATCACCGCACGTCCTCAATAACCTAATACACAAAAGCGAGCTGGATGCGGCGATCGAGAATGCCTACGTTTTGACGAAACCTATGCATACGGAATATACTCTTGCAAATCCCGAAGCGTGGGAGGAGAGAATAAAGCAACACGAGGCCCAGCATACGAGGGCAGTTGAGGCGTTACGGCGTATCGTAGACTTGGAAAAGGGCTCTTCCAAGGATCGACGTCACGCGAATATTCGAAGATGTATTGAGACCTTTGGCCGGCATGAGACCGATCTAACTCTCCCACCCAAACCTCTTTCTCGGGGCCAGGAGAGAGAAGAGCGACCAGTTCGTGGAGGACCCGATACAGGTAGCAGCGAAGTTCAGATAGCAATCTTGACGGCTAAGATCCGAGCCCTGGCAAACCAATTGGAGCAGGGTAGAGGATATAAGGATAAGGTCGGAAAACGCGACCTAAGGCTTATGATTCACAAGCGTCAAAAACTCTTGGACTACATGGAAAGGAAGGAGAGAGGCAGCCCTCGGTGGCGTCATATGGTTGAGAAGCTTGGTCTGACTGAAGCGACTTACAAGGGCCAGATCACATTGTAGATACATAAACTGGGTGTATAATAGGGTGGTTTGAAGGAACATGTACCTGTAGTGCCATCTACTGTGTAATATACAATAACGCCAGGGCTGGAGACGGCCCACCACATGTCCACATCACTGTCTTCTAGGAGCATCATGTTCAGCGCCGCTGGGTCATGATGTCGTTTTTACTTTTCGCCTGCACACTTTCAATTCATCCATTTGGTATCCTCTCGCATTAGTACTACAGAAGTGAAGAAAAGAGCAGCAACATGGAAGAAATCAAATTTATAAGGCCGCCGGGATCCCATTAAAACACGCTGATGTAATTGCCGATCCTTTCTTTCTGGTTCTGTGCTATGCACTCGGCGATCCACGTGATATTACGGATTTCCTAGGGAAACAGTCAGCGCCAGGACGGTCAGATAGTAGAGAATACTCGACTCACCTGTTCTCTCAGCTTTACCCAAGCATATACAATGGCGTAGGTGAATTGCCTGGTAAAAGCATTCTTTGAAATCTCCATCTCCTTCTGGTAGAACATGTCTTCTAGGCTCCTTCCATTGCCACCAGAGCCGCCGGCCATGTTACCAGGTCCCGAAGGACCGCCACCCAAGCCTGCAGCATCGAAGAAGTTCTTGTAGTCGGATACACCGTCAACGGCTAGTCGCACGCCCTCGAAATCATCAGCCCGCGAAAGCATCAAGGTGCCTTCTGGGTATAGCCGGCCGAAGCTTGGGTATAGCTTTTTACGATCCGCCTTGCTAAGCTCGGTCCCAAACGAGTTGAGTGTGATGTTGATAGCCCGTCTATCTGCTTCAAATTCCAGAATTTCGCTCATAACTTCCGCAGTAGGAGTGCCAGCCATATCCGGGTGTGTGTTGACGAAGTTATGGAAATCTTCAAGATAGTTCTTGTATAAGGTGTTCCTCACAATCTCAATGTTCAGCTCATCTAGATCTTGATGGCTCAGGCTGCCTTTGAAGTAGGGGGCCAGTGGTGTCTCTATTAGAACACTGTTGTAAAGCTCCTCAATGTTGGTAGCAACACAGAGCACCGGCATCGTCTCGAACCAGCCTAAGGGATGACATCTCTCTAGTAGCTCGCGGGTGTCTCGCTCGTGTAGCGTGCCCGTGATGAGCAGCGCAACGTTGTCGATCATATAGCCATAGGTAAGGTAATCCAAGAACTGTGCCAGTGATCCCACGGCATTCGCACGAACATATCTGAACTCAGAGACTAATTTGTCGGTTGTTTTCGCAGCAAGACTGGAAGTGGATGGGTTCGGCGGTAGGGAGGCAAGGAAGTCGCCGTAAGCTGGGCCAAGCTGAAGTTTGAGGTCTGTCTGATGTCAGGAAAATACTTCACACGACTGAAGTCAATCAAGAGAGGCTAACCATCGATGGTCTCGCATTGCGTCAAATTGGAGTAGTTGGCACCTGTGAGAAGGCCATTCCGATAGCCTCGAACAATGCCCTCGATATAGCTGTCATGGTTCTGCGTATTAGCACAACTAAGATCACAGCACAGCAATGGTTAGGCTTACCCATTGTTCACATTAAAGAACAGCCCTTCCATCTTGGTAGATAGGAATGCGAACTTTCAGGGGAGTATTTGATGCAGATATCTTGATATTTGAATCTAGATTGGATGCCTGCTGCACCAACTCCAGCAGTTGATTTAGAGTTGAGGTATGATAGGTTGGTTAGCAGGCGTGATGGCAGTGGAGCTTGCTTGCGTTGGATTAAGCCTGGGGCCTTGAAGAGCACATGCCACACGCCGCCATCGCCCGCTACAACGTACCTGCTGTAGTACATTCCATAGGCTCCATAGGCTGTCCATAGGTATTAGGTATTCCAGAGGCGGGAGCCCACGCCTTGCCTATCGTAGACTAAGTTGGAGCGATAAAGACTAAATGGTCAATCAGATAGCATCAGCCACAGGGGTCCCACTCTTATCTAGCTTTACTAGCCGCAGCCGAACTTTGAAATTTTCTTTTCCTTAAGCAAAAAGTCGAGTGAAGCTTCCGTCCAAGCTTGTCTCCTGGTCGCAACTTCTTCAATTGACGATCCACCACTCTTTCCCCAACAGGAGACGCTGCGCAGGGACAAGCACGACCACTCACATCATCCTGCCGCCATGCCTCTCTTCGTTCTTGCCGAGACGCCTGCGGGGTGAGCTCTCCTGAAGCTCCTGGATCGCGATGCTGTGCTAACGCGGTGATAGCTACGGTCTCTTCAAGGCCAAGGACAAGAAGCTCTTGTCTCGCGATGATATCGCACAACAACTTTCCAGCGCCGAAGCCATCAATTCAATGTAAGTCGCGCCATTGCTGGTCACTTTAAACGCTTTTATGCCCCAATCGATATTGATAATCTGCTGTCTAGGCTGTCGCTTAAGAAGATGGTCAAGTTTGAGGACTCTGCCCAAGCGCTCGGCGAATATAGCTCCTTGACTGAAGGAAAAGTCACACCTTTGCTACAGCAGCTTCTTGATGATATCAAGGAAGAAAGAAAAGCGTCGCTTGCTGTAGCGGATCCTAAGCTGGGTGCGGCGATTAATGTTCTCCCCGAGCTCCAGATCTCCCCTGTCTCCGACTCCTCTACCAACGAGCTTTTCCGAGCTGTCAAGACATACCTCCCCGAGTTGTTCCCCGAGCTCGATCCCGACTACCTTGGCAACATGGCGTTGGCTCTTTCTCACTCCATCTCCCGTCACAAGCTCAAGTTTTCTCCTGACAAAGTCGATGTCATGATTGTGCAGGCTATCAAGCTTCTAGACGATTTGGACAAAGAATTAAACAACTACGCTATGAGAGTCAAGGAGTGGTACGGCTGGCATTTCCCCGAAATGGACCGAATCCTAAATGACAACCTGGCGTATGCTCGCGTGATTATGCAGATGGGTATGCGAGAGAATGCTGTTAACACAGACCTCTCTGAGATCCTCCCCGAGGATTTGGAGACTCGCATTAAGGCAGCGGCCGAGGTTTCTATGGGAACTGAAATTGGTGAAATTGACTTGGAGAATATCAAACTCCTTGCTGAACAAGTGATCAGCTTTACAGAATACCGACAGCAACTTTCTCAATACCTGTCATCACGTATGAAGGCTCTCGCTCCCAATACCACCGAGATCCTCGGCGAGCTTGTTGGTGCTCGTCTCATTGCTCACACCGGGTCCTTAATGAGGCTTGCTAAGAGCCCTGGTAGTACGATCCAGATCCTCGGTGCCGAGAAAGCCCTCTTCCGTGCACTCAAGACAAAACACGATACGCCCAAATATGGTCTGATATATCACTCATCGCTTGTTGGACAGGCTACAGGCAGAAACAAGGGCAAAATCGCTCGTATGCTTTCTGCTAAGGCTGCTTTATGTCTTCGTGTCGACGCACTCTCAGACCTCAGCAACGAAGGTGTTGATGGGGCCGATATCGCGATAGACGATGATGAACGAGCCGACATGGGTATTAGACTACGTGCCTATCTTGAGGACAGACTCCGTAGGTTGGAAGGCAAGCCTATTTTGTCCAAAGGCGCTCAAATTGCACCTAATGGTGCTGGTCCCTCTAAGTTTGAGATTAGACCCAAGCGAAACTATAATGCCGATGCCGATGCGCCTACCCCGCTTTCAAAGAGCACGCCCTCCAAACCTCTAATACAGGAAGTCGAAGACACGCCTATGGCGGACGATGATAGTGAAGAAGAGGATGACGAGGAAGAGGATGATTCAGATGCCGAGATGAATGGCACAGAAAATGGTAAAGTCACCACACCCTTTCCACCTCGATCTCCAACCATCTCTACCGCTTCAGACGATACCGAGTCTATCCCTTCGCCCCCCGGGGAACAGTGGCAGTCTTCCATTGTTGGTGCGACTCGGGAAGCCAAGAAAGCGCGAAAGAAAGAGAGGCATTTAAGAAACCTTGCATTAGCTGACACACGAGCAGCAAAGCGCAAGGCCAAGAAGGAAAAGGAGGCACGCAGAACAGCACGTGAGGAAAAACGGCAGGCCAAAAAGGAGCAAGAGAAGAGAAGAACTGCATCAGTGGCGGGCGAAGCACCGGCTCCAAACACTCCCGCTACGCCAGGCAAACTTACCGAAGCAGACTATGCTCGCTTAGCGGAAGAGGCTGGCATCTCAGTCAAGAAATTCAAGCGGAAGTTCGAGCGAGGCGACGTCAAGCTGGGCTCTGATGGTTCCCCACAGGTCATCAGCAAAAAGGATATCAAGAAGATGAAGAAGGAAGAAGCCAAGACCGCCGCCGCCGAAGTCGAAGCGTCGTCGAACAAGAAGCGAAAGCACGCTGATGATGATAATACCGAGAAGAAGAGTAAAAAGAAGTCCAAGAAGGAGAAGTCTTCTTAGACTTGATTAATGTTCTCGTTATGTACTATCATGCAAATTTTGTGTTTTTGATCACGTTGGGCGGCGTTCCGGATCGCATACCAAGGTTATCATATAGGAGTTGATCGGGCTTGTTACTAGTCAAAAGAATTTTCAATGCTAGGCCTAGCGATAGTTAGCTAAGTCGAACTTTTTGTGCAAAACACTGCTTCCCATGAACATTTACTGGTTTAGCCAATTGATTGACTCTTGATACTCACTCGTTAACCCACTCGGCCAACGTCCCAGAAACCAACCTGACTATAATCTCTGCACAAGCCAACAAGATAATTGGTTTAGCGGCGGCGGCGAGCTTGCACCACTACTAGTTCCAGCTTGATTTCGATGTTTAAGTTAATATTCTCGTTGGATCAGCTTCGGTATATTCATAAGCCTATTGGAGTGTAAATGATATCTGCCTTCTTAGGTGTGAATGTCCTTAAGCAGCGTAAATTACCCTTGTCCGCTTCACTACCGTGGCCCAAAGAATTAATTACTTTATTCCTATGTATGTTCAAGTTGTTATGGCGTTTCTGTATTTTTGTCGGGAATTTATTTTCCACCTCTTGCCATTGGAACGCTGTTCTTTGCTGTTATCTCTGATTTGTTATTGGGGAAGTTTGGGTTTAATTACCGCCCCTACGTCTCATTGCTGATGTGTTATCCATCATGGGATGGGTTACGGTATACTTATGCCTCTAAAAGCAACACATCCAAGCCTCGCTTGGATTTTTCAGATCATTGCTTCTTTGGACCCCGGAATGGTTAATATGTCTATACTTCTCCCAAGTGCCCTTCCATGACTTCCAGAGTCGGACGTCGCAACCGCAACTGCTACCTTTTCCTTCATCCGTACATTTAGATTTGTATGAGGCGTGACAGTCTCCTCGATTCTATTCAACGCTTTCTACAATCAGAACCTCCATCTTATCCATGATGCTACTGCGCAAAACCAATCGAAAGACGGCGGGGCATATGCGTTTGTGTCACGATTTCAGGTACAGGGGTGTGGATAAACGTACTGTTTAAGTAAACAATAAGCATTGTTCAAGCTACCTTTCTAAATTAAAGTATCAAGGCTTCTTGATTACAGACAACTTATGGCAATCTCTTGGTCTTCCGGTTGGCTAGATTTCTAGCCGCAGCATATTCAGGAATACGGGGATTCACATACCAGTTTTCATACGTGTAGTGGTTAATAACGGCTCATTAGAGTTCTATGCATGGTTGGCGGAGAGTGAATTTCTCCATACTGGTACGTCGTCCAAAGTCCGCCCGATTATTGATCCTTGATCTCGGCTAAATTGCTGATCTGCCCGGTTACATATCGGAGACCTGATTAGAGCGTCTGTATACTCGGAGGGTAGGATCCCGATATATTAGATTATCTCGGCGCTCATCCTCGGTGTGGTTTACATAAATTCACCCTGTTTCTTGTCTATAGACCTCGGAGAAGTTGAGACGTTGGGGTCATATTCGTGTGTATATATATATATATATATGCGCAAAAGTAGTTTACAACCTCTCCACTGGGCCATTGGCTCTCTGGCATCACGACGTAGTGTTCCTTTGCCACTCTGTTCCTGCTTGAACAATTTTTCTCCTAGTAGCAACCATGCTTAGACTCACGAACTATCTCGCGGCTATAGCATGCCTTGTTCTGGCGTCGCTCCACGTAGTGTACGCCGACAACTCGGCAGGCTGCGGCAAGAGCCCGACGCTCAAGAACCAAAGCTACAATATGCAGGTCAACGGCAAGCAACGCCAGTACTTCATAAAATTGCCCGATAACTACGACTCGAGCCACCCATACCGACTCGTCTTCACGTGGCACCCACTGGGCGGATCAGCCCAGGGGATTGTCAATGGTGCGAACCCCAGCAACGGCGGAATACTCCCCTACTACGGCTTGTCAGCCCTCGCCAACAACAGTGCCATCTTCGTTGTCCCCAATGGTCTCAACGCTGGATGGGGAAACCAAGGTGGCGAAGACATCACCTTCTTCGATCAGCTAGTCAAGACGGTTGAAGCTGACCTCTGTGTCAACACAAACCTCCGCTTCTCGACAGGCTTCAGCTACGGCGGCGCCATGTCCTACGCCCTTGCTTGTGGACGTCCTAATATGATCCGTGCCGTTGCCGTCCTATCGGGTGGGCTGTTGAGTGGATGTCAGGGTGGCACCGGTTCTGTCGCGTACTACGGCCAGCACGGCACTAGAGACTCCGTCCTCAACGTCAGCGGCGGCCGCCAGATGCGCGACAAGTTTGTTAGCAACAACGGCTGTCAAAAACTCAGTTCCGAGCCCCAGCCCAACGGTGGCACCTCAGTCATGACCAAGTATACCGGCTGCAAGGAGGGTTACCCAGTGACTTGGGTCATTCACGACGGGGATCATAACCCCAGCCAGGTTAACCAAGGCTCTAGCACACCGTTTGCGCCTCAGAACTCGTGGGATTTCTTCACCCAATTTAGCTAAAGATATTGGAGCTTAAGGTTTCGCTAATCTATCTCAAAAGCGTCGTGTGGGACACTTGAAACAACTATGTATATAGGCAAGCGAAATGTCGTATATATCTCTTACGAGAAAAGCAATCTATCTAAGAGTAGTTAACGTGGCCCATGAGACCCCATTGACTATCAAATCTTGAGTGGTGTCGGCACGCTGCACAGAATATTAGCTTAATGAACCTATATGGCATCTCAGTAGCAATAAGTGTTCACATTATAGGAAATCCTGTAGAAATAATCAATCTCCTAGACCCCTTTTCTATAGAATGGTATCTGGAATTTAGGCGGCCTGTGTGTATAGGGGGGAGATAGATTGTGTCTTGAGCGCCGTTAGGGCTTACTGATTTCATACCTACCTGGGATTTTCGTTGTAATTGGTACCAAGACAGCATACCTCTGCCGTGACGGAATGCGGCTACGGCTACGTCTGCTAGTCCATGTCGATCCGTCGCTATAGTAGCGGAAGCTGTAATTGTGTGACTTCATGAAGCAGGAAGACTTTCATGCTGTCTACGATGAGCTATCAGGGTGTTAGGATTAAGATTTCGGCGATCTGATCTTAAGCCAAGATTAGATCCTTTTGACTACGTAGCATACACGACTCATACAAAAGTTGAAGCCATTTTTCCATGTTTAACGACGCAAGTGTAACGCAGAGAGAGATGACTGCTACGAGCTCAACATCTCTCAATTTATAGATACATGGAGTGTATGTACTTATACCTGTAGTCCCAGCTCTGTTTATTGTGCTCTCTTGCTAACACTAGAAATGCGACATAAGTCAGATAGTGTCACAGTACAGTACTATATAGTGAGTGCAGAGACGTCAAGACTTCGACTTGATAACTCGTCGTTACCTTTTGGTGGCGTAGTGGCATAGTACTGCACTCCTTATGTCATTCCGTGACAGATAGAACTACCATGATCTCAGCATGGCCGTTCGGAGACAACTGCTGTGTACCATCCTATTCACTATTCATCCTCGCTAACCTCCTCAGTATTCTCCTAGATATCGTGCTCGCCTCCTCCTTCTAATCCACTCATACTCCAAGCTCTCACTGGATTGTGTTCTGTTAACCCCTGAATATACAGAGTTGCGTCGTTAGCGCACTGATCCGGCGGAGAGTGGAAGATGTATTCTCTAGTATTCGGGCTCATCAGTTGATACTCCTGCCCGTACGACTCTCCCAAGCCTCCGTTAATTAGTCCTTGATTCGATTTTTCGAAATCACCGACTCGTTGCGTAGACGTATTGCGCTCCCGGAGAAAATCAAGGACTTCGACCCACGAACCGCTCATCAAATATCCAAACCATTGTAAGTCGACATCTTGCCCAAGAGGCTCCACTATGGCTTTAAGCTCCCGGAAATGGAAGGACCCATGGAAAGACAATTGCTGCAGCTTTGGCCAGCTGTAAGAAGTGAGGATGGATGCCATGCTGAACCTTGGCTCGATGAGCTGAGCGGGTAAGAAATAGAAATCTAATTCAATTCTTTGGATGGACTCTGGATGTAGGTTACCGAGAAGGAAATGACCAAATTCGGTCCACATCTCTGGTACCTTGTAGAAAGGACCTCTGAGCCTTCTGTGTATAGCCGGACGGTATACAAAGCTTTTGAGTCCTGCGAGAGCGTGACGAAGCATTGTGGATTCAGGTGTTGTGGCCATACGTGAGGTCGGAAGCCAAGACATAGTCGGCGGCGTCACAAAATCAAGACTCTTTAAAGGGTGCCCGAGCTGTTGAACTGCAAGCAACAAGTCACCAAGAACGTGTAGTGGTAGATGCTCTGGCGGGTTCTCTATAAGCCACCACTCATATCCTTGCGAGATCAGATGATGAGGCAGAGAATCAGACTGGACTAGATCTTCAGGATAAATTATCCTCGGTTCCCGGCGGAAGTCTTTTACGACAATTCTGGTCGCAGAGGGCATCCTCATCATCGCAGTGGCGATAATCTGGGCGGAGGAGTCCGCAGTGTTCTTATACTCTCTGTAGAGCTGGCAATACTTCTTGTATTCCCGTGCGATAAGGAGATCATCTTCACAATTTGGATCAACCCCATGCCTGGCCACTTTCGCCCATGATATCGCGAGAGCATCGCCCATGTTTATTGCCCTTTTGTACAGCAAGGTGTGGTTGGTCACTTGTCTCAGGAAGCTTGGTGTGGTTGGTGTATGTCTCCAACAGAATAGTTCACAACTTAGAGCAAGTGCACCAGCAGCAGCAAAACCGCGAATGCTATAACCGGCGATCAAGAAATGAGAGGGAGACAAATATAGATCAATGGTCTCAATGCCCTTGGATATCAAAGGGTGGCGTGATATCTCGTCTAAACAGTCGAGCGACGAGCGTGTTAGGTTGACCTTGAGATTGCGGAGGAGGAGATGCGAGCTCAATTCGTTAAAGCGGCGGCAAGTTAGGCGGATTGCCTGGATCGTCTGAATTTCAAGACTACCAACATAGTTCCGGTCTCCTCTCGCAAGTTCGAAGATATATATTAGTAGCTCGTTTGCAAGGTAAATTGGTTCTGGTTTCGACTCAGTGAGGTTTTCCACCAGGGTTGGGGTCCACTCCATCTGCTCTTCTTGTCTTCCAGCTACAGAGTATTGATCGTGCGGGCTCTCGGGGATAGAAATCATCTCGTTAAACTTTTCTTGGGCAGCATACTTGGTCTCAGCACCCATGTCGGCCATCGTTGCTGAACAAGCTTCAGCTTTATTCGAGTATGGTCGTACTTTGTCAAAGCAACGGGGGAATTTTATTGACATGAGGAAATAGGATGGATTTGGGCTGTTGCGTTAAATAGAATTAAGCTGATGGTTTGTGTATGATGAGCTGGTCAGTGCGAGTTGCCCGGCAGATGCACTTCAATGTCTAATGGCTCAGTCGATCATTGGCCTGAGTAGTACTACTATTGTCTACTTGAGAACCTATGTATTGCGGTGAAGAACATGAATAGGGAATGAATATCAAGGTCAATGGTCTTCCAGCGTACAATACCACATTGGGTACAAGGTGCTCTGTAGGAGGGGGCCATTGTAAAGGTCCTTCCAAATTTCCATTGTGTCTATAGTTAATCAAGTCAATCCATATCACGGCGAGGTTTGTAACTACGTAAGCCTTTTCTGGAAGAGATTTGAGAACATCGCCGCTGCTGTATACTTGGGCATACTAACCAGGGCGAAGTGTCAAGTACCTGACACCTACTAGCTGCCGCTATTGACGTATGAGTGTCCATTGGTTCCAACTCGGAGATGATCTAGAAAGTTGCTCTGCCAGCTCGATATACGGATCCGAACCTGGGTGAAAAGTAGCCTCCTCCGAATTGAACATAGCCATGCAAAAATTATTCTAGTCTTTTTCGATATGAAGCTCGTGCGTGCTGAACTGCGGTATGTGCGCTCATCCTGCTAACATAGCTACTGGGTTGCTGTGACCCGACTAGTAAGACGACTGGCCCGTCTCAACGACTCCGGGCTGGGTCGGTAAGCGAGCGGCTGCCTGACGGTACTGTGCTGGTATCTCCCTTCACTCATATTCGAAGGTAGCTCATCTTATTGCCGATGCGCGCAGATAATAGATATCAAGCAATCCTCGTATCTTCGGCACCCTCAGCTTAGTCATAGCTCTGTTGAGTTGCTATATATATTTTTAAGTTGATGGGGCGACTTACTGTCTCTTCTCTGCCTTGAATTTGCGGGGAGAGCTCTTGGCAGTCTTGGCTATGCGATAGTCGTGGAGTTGTGAAGTATGGAGGCTGTGTTGCGGCGTACGCTGAGCTTCGCCACTGCCAACCCATACTATCCACCAGGTCGAGGCAAACGTTATATGGCCAATCACCTACTATCATGACCACCGATTTAATATTTACATCAATCTCCAAGCCCTCCTGGACGCAAAAATATGCTTCTCCTCGAAAATGGACCCCTTGACCATCGTCGGACTTGTTGGGAATATCGTGCAATTTGTTTCATTCGGCCATGAGATCCTCACATCTGTTCGGGAGCTCAGCAGCGGCGGGGGACTTCAGGAGGTGGAACAGCTCAAGCTGATCGTGCACGACGTGCAAAGAAACAATCGTGAAATTTCAGAGTTTCTTGATGACGAACACAATTTCAAAGACAATGTTCGTCGGGAGATGAGGCGACTGCGGGGTTCTAAGGTGGAGGGGATATTTGAGCGCGAACTGAAGCCCCTCCAAAACATCGCTGACGAATGCGGGAAAATTGCCAAAGAGCTTCTTGGGCATTTGAATCGCTTCGAGATGAAACATAATGGGTGGCAGCGGAAGCTTGAGGCTATCAAGGTCTCTGGTGAGGTCATGTGGAAGAGGAAGGAGATGCGCGAGTTGAAGACGAGGCTTCTCGAATTAGAAAACAGGCTCGCAAGCTGGTGGACAATGACGATGCTTAGGTAAGTTTGTGTTAAGATGCCGACTGGAAGTAGAAAAGAAAACTAACAGCGAAACCTCATGTGTAGGCGCCAAGGTGACAGTTTTAAGGCCGTGCTGGCGAGTATCAACAGTCTAGGTTACCGACTAGACAATTTTGACAACTTCGATGTTAATCGGTTGGACACTCTGAAATCCAACATCGACTTGTCTTTCGTATCGATTCAGGCCCAGGCAACCAAAGACAATGGCGAGTCTGATAGTACGACTCATCAATCCGACACCAAAGCAGACCCTATTGGGCAACGCCACGCCACCGATCTTAATGACACGATACAGTGTGTCCATGAATATATCGCCGAATGGCACAGGATGATTAGAGCGATTGAGGTCCTCAAGTCTCTGGCCTTCGATTCTATCCACAATCGACGGGATAACATCGAGCAGGCCCATCAAGAGACATGCCTATGGGTCTACGATCCCAATAGAACTAATTTTACAGAATGGCTCAAGTCGGCTTCTGGCGTCTACTGGATTAATGGATTAGTAAGCTATTCTCACCAGCTCGTCTCGATATCTACCGTATATTGTTTAGCACACCGACTAACATGCACTACAGGCAGGAAGTGGGAAGTCGACGTTAATGAAATATGTAACAACGGATAAGCAAACATATAGCGCGCTTGGAACATGGACTGGTGGTCGCAGATTGATTACTGCGAGTCATTATTTCTGGAATGCAGGAACAGAGATGCAGAAATCGCATAAGGGGCTGCTACAAACCCTCTTGTACCAAATCCTCGAGGCTGATCCCAGTCTTTGTGATGTTTTATGTGCAGACCATCACCTAGGAACACCATGGAAAATGGAAGAACTCACTACAGCATTCGAACGACTATCAACAATGTCAGAAGCCACAAACATGTTTTGCTTCTTCATCGACGGTTTGGACGAGTACCAGGGTCAGGAGGAGACGTTGATCCGAATTGTAAAGTCTCTTGCAGCGGCACCCAACGTCAAGATCTGCGCATCTAGTCGACCTTGGCCAGCGTTTTATGCGGAATGGAACACCAGTATCTATACTTTCAAGATGCAGGACTTCTCGAAAGCGGATATGACGAAATATGTGAAAGAATACCTCGAGGGTAGCGATAAATTCAAAGCAGCAGCTGCTCTCGATAGCAAATGTCTTGATTTAATCCCCAATATTTCGGATAGAGCGAATGGGGTCTGGCTATGGGTGTATCTGGTTGTACGAGATATCCTCAGGGACATCAGAGACGGAGAACCGTTCCAGCAGTGGCAGAACCGACTTGAATCATATCCACAGGAACTAGTTGCCTACTTCCGGAAGATGATGGAACGAATTGACCCCTTCCATCGTAAGCAGGGTGCTGAGATCTTTCTCCTGGCACTAGCGGCAATTGGTACCAAGATACCAATGATAGGCTTGTCAATGCTATACGATGAAGACACATCCTGGTGCGGAATTGATCATGATGGGCGTCTTTTGACTGGAGCCGATCTGGAGCAGATGTATATGGCCTGGCAACCTCGCCTTCAGAATCGTTGCAGGGATTTAATGCGGCTCAGCCGCGATCGAAACTACCGGAACCAATGCGAATACTATGAGATCGACTTCCTACACAGAACGGTTAAGGATTTTCTTCAAGAGCATTACATTGGCGAGCTCCGGGCCCTAGTATCGCCTGAATTTAGTGAACCGAACTATCTGGCTCGTCTGACATTTGCGGTTATCGAGCAAGTCCAGCTCAGTCGCTCGTCGCTCCCAGATGATGCCCTAGGCAATCTAATTAGCAGGCTGTTCTGCTATCTGCGCGAGGAGCAGAATGTCGAGGAGGAGCGACAGGCATCGCCCTCACATTTCAAACTCGTGGAGGCATACGACAGCATGATGGTTCGGCTTCTGGCGGCCAGCGGCATTACCAATCAAGGGAACCCCTATACGTCTTGGGCCCAGCTAGTGACCGGTATGGACATCGATTTCACGCACATGACGATTCAATTCCGGCTGCGGCGCTACTCGTTGCATCGGCTGCAGGCGCAGCGCCAGTGGTCGCGCAAGGAGGCAACGATGTACATGGAGTGCGCGCTCCAACCAGTGCTCACGCAGGTCATTATCTGGAAAAAGCCGCCGCTGGATCCGAAGCTCGTCGCGGGCCTCATCGAGCTCGGCATGGACCCCAACATGCACCTTTCCACAGGCCAGACAGCTTGGGCTTGTTTTCTGCATAAGTGCGTGAAATGGTGGCTTGGATGGTCGCCAGCTGAAAGGGCCGAAGCCCTCGATGCTATTCGGATCTTCCTTCGCCACGGCGCAAAGCCGAACGTGGTTGTTAGCGGGCGGCGATTCCATGATATACTTAGTGAGATGGTCGGTCGGGATGCGATGGCAGAATGGCAGGATCTTATCTCAGGGGGTCGAGCGGGATACGGGGGTTGGATTGGCAGGGCACTGGCGTTACCGTTCAGGGCTTTGGGCACCACTAATTAACTTACCTTGGGCAGTCTCGCCAGTGAACTGCTAACCAGAGAATCTACTGGCTCAAAGCTTGCATCTTTAAGAACGTGTTGACGCATTTCAAGATACCAGATACTTAGACAAACCGAATTGATTTAGTTAAGTGTTCAAGTTGGGAAGACCTATAGCCAATTAAATTGTGGTATGCATTAGGGTGGGCCACTACCACAAAGTGCGAAAATAAAAAATCAGGTCAAGTGCGGGGTAAAACCTATTTTCCAACTTTACCTAAGGGGTTTAAATATAATAAAGGATATAAAGTAAAGTTTTAAAAATATAAATAATTATTTTAAATACCTATTTTAAAAGCTATATAAATAATTTATAGCTTATATTAAGCATTATAATTATTTAAGTTATAGCTTTTAGCTATATAGGTTTATATTATAAGTCTATATTAAAGGTCTGTATTGAAGGTCTATATTGTAGGTTTATATTGCAGTCTGTATTACAGTCAGTACTGTAGGTCTGTATTGAAGGTCTGTATTGAAGGTCTGTATTGCAGTCAATACTGTAGGGCTGTATTGCAGTCTATATTGCAGTCTGTATTGTAGGTCTGTATTCCAGTTAGTACTGTAGGTCTGTATTCCAGTCAGTACTGTAGGTCTGTATTGCAGTCTGTATTGCAGTCTGTATTCCAGTCAGTACTGTAGGTCTGTACTGTAGGTCTGTACTGTAGGTCTGTACTGTAGGTCTGTACTGTAGGTCTGTATTGAAGGTCTGTATTGCAGTTAGTACTGTAGGTCTGTATTGCAGTCTGTATTCCAGTCTGTATTGCAGTCTGTATTGTAGGTCTGTATTCCAGTTAGTACTGTAGGTCTGTATTGTAGGTCTGTATTGCAGTTAGTACTGTAGGTCTGTATTGCAGTCTGTATTGCAGTTAGTACTGTAGGTCTGTATTGAAGGTCTGTATTGCAATTAGTACTGTAGGTTTCTATTACAATCTATGTTGCGACCAAGCTATATAGATTATATATAGGAAGGTTAACTATATATAAGCGTATATATAATAAGCTATTAATTAAGCTATAACTTAACCGTTAAATAGGACT